CTGAAGCAGAAATTTAATAGGCAGGTGCAACTGGGTCAGGAATGTGGGCATGGCCTGAAGCTGAAAAAGGATACCTCCGTTTCCTACGAGCCCTCTGAGTGCAAGATCAGCTTCCACTGTGAGAAGCAGCTGGCCACCTATTTACAGACCCACTCAGGGTGGGAGTCTTTCTCTGCCTTCGAGTTAGAGGACAGCCTTAGGCACAGGCCACAGCTGAAGACCCAGTCCAAGACGACAGAACAGCATCAGTGTGAGGCATGCATGAGAAACTTCAGCTGCAAGGTGAGCCTGGTGACCCACCAGGACTGCCACTTGCAGGAGGGTACCAGTGGTGGCCATCGTGTCCAGGAGAGGAGAAACAAACTGGTTTCTCTGCCCAGCCATATGTCCTGGAGGAAAAGTCAGTTCCCTCATCTGTGGTTACTGTGGCAAGAGCTTCAGCTACCTGTCGGATTTGGTGTGGCATCTGTGCATTCACACCAGTGAGCAGCCCTACAGCTGTGCCAAGGGTGAAAGGAGCTGTGTGCAGAAGCATCACCTCCGGGAGCACCAAAAGATCCAACAGCAGGAGGGTAGCAGGCTGGTCCTGGAGCCTGGAAGGGTGCTTTAAGGGTGCCAGCCCTCACCTGTTCAGGGAGCCAAGGGGGCTGGCATTGGTCCCCCAAAGACAGACTGTGGAGTCAGGAACTGACTTCTTCCTGAGGGGAGTTGATTTGTCTAACCTTGGCCAAGCAGCAGGCTGAGCCCCAGTCCTCAGAACTGTGTGGAGGAGGGGCAGGGCCAGGCCTGTCCCTACTGTCTGTTCTGCTGCTGAGTTTGTGTCTCTGGCACCTTCAAGTCTTGGGTTTTCCCATCCATGCTGACACTCGTGGACTGGGACTGGTTCGGGGGCCTGTTTCAGTATTTCAGGTCTTCCCACGGGGTAGAGCGGGCCCAAAGGGGTGGGCAGGTATGCAGAACACCCTGGGAAGCATAATTCTTTATTTTCTCTTCTTTTGTTGTCTCCTTGTTAATCGCAAGTAGAAGAAATCATTGAAATGAACTGCTCACCCTGCTCTGAAGAACTTTTTCAAAATTAAAATTTTCATTATTTAAAAAAAAAATACAGCCTGACACTTGAAATAAAATCTAAAAAGAATTTAAAAAAATATCGGTATCTGTATCTACCTATCTATACCCATCTCAAATGTTATGTCTTTCTTTTTTAAATATATTTTTAAGATTTTATTTATTTTTTAGAGAGCAGGAAAGGGAGGGAGAGGGGGAAGAAAACATCTGATGTACTAGAGATACGTTAACTGGTTGCCTCTCACTAGCCCCCAGCATGGGCCCACAACCCAGGCACGGGCCCTGACCAGGAATCAAACTGGCAACCTTTAGATTCAGACTGGCGCTGAATCCACTGAGCCACACCAGCTTGGGTGCAAATGTCACGTCTTTTTAAAGCCTTTCCCAGAGCCAGATAGAATTCAAAATGCTCTTCTCTGGGCTTCCATTGACTTTTGTTCCAATTGCTGCTATGTTACACACTATGTATTAGTTAGTTGTTTGACTGTCCTCAGTAGACTCTGAGCTCCTGCGCATCTTTGCATTTCCAGTTTCCAGCATTATGCCTGGTATAAAGCATGCACTTAATAGACATCTGTTAAAGGGAATGTTGGATTTGTGATGATTTTGGATTTTTTAATAAAGGTACTCTTCATTGAATTTAAAGAGCATTTTCCCTCATAGGTATGCTTCGATGTAGAATAAATTTGAGAACTGTAAATGGAATACAGACAACAGCACCATTGTTTTTTTGAGGTTGATGATCCTGCAATTTTCACGGACTCCACAGACATTTTCTGATTCTAGCTCCTGTTCTGATCCTTTCCCTGCTGTCCTTCACATCTTTGTTACAAGAATACAGGCATCTGCCGTGAGTGCTCCTCCCCACAGGTAATGAGGTTCATAAGACAAAGGCAATAGAGAAGAGGCAGGATGAGATCACACTCCTTTTTGTGTGATACCTGTGTTCTTTTGGTGGTAGCAGATTTCTATTAGTGCATTCATTCAAGAAACAGTACTTACTATTGAATGAGTAGGCCCAATGCTAGGGAAGAAAAGGAGTTTATAGTTTGGTACCAGAAAAAAAGTCACGTAGAAAGTACTGTGTTTTATAAAAAGAAACAGAAAAATCTCATGAGATTCCCAATGAGGAAAATGAAGCTCAAGGAAGTGAACTAACTTGCTCCAGTTCACACCCCATGTAGCTGTGAGAGCTGAGATTTATTTCTCTTACATCTGATATCAGATGGACTCAATGGAGGAACTGAGAGTCACAGCCAGTTCCAGATGGTACAAAAGCTTCGGTCTACTACACACCATGCTGCCTCCCATAGACTACTTCTTTAGTTATCTGAGAGAGGCAATGAACCTGTACTAGGTTATTGGCAGTGAAAATAAAAAAGAGTGAAGGGGGTAAAGGCAAGAAATAAATGCAGGACCCAGAGTTAGCATGCTTGGCAACTAAATATGGAAAGAAAAAATCGGAATTAAAGATAGTGTAAGCTTGGACCCTGGGTAATTACAAACAATGATGTCATTAGCAGGATTAAGGATCTAAGGGGAAGGGACAGTTTTTATTTAATGAGAGCTCTAATCCTTCAAAGCTCTGTTCTCAAGCCACCCCCCTCAATGTAAGCTTTTCTGACATCCTCAGGGCTATTACACAGTTTTGTATGTCAACAACAATGGTAATAATGACCATGATAATGACAGCTAACATTTAAAAAATGCAGACAGTGTCAAGAATGTGCTAGGTTCCTCTTACTTCTCAAAATAACCATATGAAGTCAGTACTATTATTAACTCAATTTTACGGATGAGGAAAGGGGGACTTACAGAGCTTTAAGGTTACAGATATTACGTGGCAGACCAAGCTTTGAATTGAGGGAGGGCTCAGGGACAGCACTCTTCTCAGAGGCAAACAGGGGTCACCGTGTACACAAGGGACACGGTGGCAGCCTGACTGGGTGTTCCCGACCTGCCCTGGATCAGCCGAGTGGCTTTGTGCAAATTTTTGTGCCTCAGTTTCACCATCACCATAGCCTGTGTTAAGTGGGGATAGTAACAGTATTTGCCTCCCAATATTGTTGTGAGGGTTAAATGAGATCCTCTTTACACAGCATTTAGAAAAGTGCATGGTTCATAAAGTAAATATTTAAGTAAATAATGGTTAAAAATAAATATTAACCACTGCACTCTACCTCTGGTCTCTATCTATCTACAATATCTATATCTCTCTCAATTATTATTATTAATTTCTCACTGCACGGTGAGCTCCTTTAAGATAGAAAATGTGTCTGTTTCATCTTCTTATCCCCAGCACCTAGGATCACGTCTGCCACATATTAGGGCCTCAGCAAGCATTTGTGGCCTGAATGACATTATTCCGGCAGCTTGACACTCTATCTCTGAGCCTTGGAAAAGAGAGGTGGATGGAAAAATTAGATGAGTCCCCCACACAGACATTTACACCTGACAACAAGCAGGGCTGCTATGAAAAGCAGGAATAGAACTAGAATATTGGAGAAAGACCGGGGGCGGAAGATGAAAGGAGACAGAAAAAGAGCTCTGGAGGGTATACTTTCAAGAAAGCCACGGGGTGGGGGTGGGGGGGAGTTCAAGGGAATTAAGCTGAGTCCAGATGAATGGGTGCCTTAAAGGTCGGGTATGAAAACTTGGTGGTTGGCATGCAGCTGACTCTGAAGTTTAAAACAATGGTTTTTGTTTTTTGTTTTTAAAGGCTCAGAGAAGGTAAATGAGCGTCACTGCCTAAGGTTTCTAAGACTCTACCTTGCTGAGAAAGTTGAGAGAGCAAGAGTATGTAAGTTCACCAGTGAAAGGAAGGCTCTGGGGCTCTCCAAGGTGCTACTTCTACACTAAACCGTAACGCAGTTCAATTCTATTTTCACTCTCAATGTGAACTAGAGAAATCGAATAAAACGTGTCTTTCTGCCCTTCCCCATTTCGTTTGGGCTGGTAAAGCAGGATCGATGTCGTCACTGTCAAGTTGACAAACTTATCAGCACCAGGTTTTTATGTGGAATGTCTTCCTCATTACACTATGAATCTCAACAGGGTTCCACCACCCACGGCGACGGAATAACCGGTTTTCCGAGTTCTTCTTGATTCGCTTTATTACGAACGACGTGGGATCCCTACTCCCCTTCAAAAGGTCAAGAAAAAGGAATCAAGATCAATATTCGAGAACGTCGTTTTTATAAAAACGGGTTGGCAACACTTGTCCGTGTTTTGTTTTGTTTTTTTTAAACAAAACAAGTTATTCTTTTAAAACTTTTGAGGACTAGAAAACCTGATGTGGTCAAATGGGCCCCCAGGCATCATCAACCAAACAAGATGCAAATCAGGGTCTTAGGGAACTCCCCCCTCCCCCATTGTTAATTGCGGAAAACCAGACCCTGTCCAGTTGCTGGAGGGACTAAACCAAGTACCTTTTCAAAGGGGAGTTTTCCGTAGTTAAGTGAGGAGCCCCTGTTCAGGGCTCTGCTGCAGGCTCTCGTACCTTTCGCAAGTCGCTCCGCACTCTAGGGCTCACGTTTTCTTTTCTGTAAACTAAAGGGAAAAGTGTGTGTGAGTGCTGCTCTCAGGTCTTTCCGTAGAAATGATTTCTCCCCTTCCTTCAGGCCACTTCCCTCGAGGAGAAACAGTCGTGAACTGATTCTCTGGAAACGAAAATAAAGAGAGCAGACTGCCTCGCCCGGAGAATAAGTGTTACAGAAAAGAGATACTGAAGGGTTCGGGCACCCGAGCTCCGGAGTGTACCTGCACTGCCGGCCCCACCCATCCATCCACCCACCCAAGCCCGCAGCCTGCCCGGGGCCAACAAGATGGCGTAAACCCACTGCGGCGGCCGACGGAGGCCGCACCCTATTGGCCGACTTCAATGAGGTTATCTTAGGGGCGGAGTCCGGCGGCGGCGCGGGGGCGGGGCCTTGCTGACGCACACACGTCCAGGCGCTGCAGCCAGGAGCTGGGGAGACTGCGGGCTCGGTCTGCCGCGACTGCCTGCCTTGGTAGTGGCCCGGCTGGCGGCTGGAGGTGAGCGGGGGCTGTAGGTACAGCGCGGCAGGAAACGGCCTCCGAGGGGCACAGGAAATCCTCCTGGCAGCCCCCTCGCTTGTCAAAGAAATTGGCAGGGATCTGAGGTCTCTGAAAGGAAATATGGGTTAACCCCTTTGGACACCCCTATTTGGACACTCCTCTTGTGGACAGAAGAATTGGAGGTTGACTTCTCTTTAGAGGTCCTGATCCCTTCCCCCATTTAAGGGGTATGCGGAGGAACTGAAGGTTATTGGGATGTCCGAAAAATATGGGGGGGGGGCTTCTTAAAGGAGGTCCCAACTTGAAGATTTTCCCCTTTTAGTCCCTATTTAAGGAGGTAGGTGTGCCTGGGCTCACCGGGTAGACAGGAAATGAAGCAGGTGAATCTAAATACCTGGTTAGGTGGTGAGGATTGGGTGACAGGTCGTACGCGGAGACGCGTTATTTGGGTTCATCTCGTGCAGAATTACTGTTTTTTCTTATTTCGTTTGGTGACAGCCCCCCACCCCCCATCCTCTAATCGCTTTGGCCTGTGGTTTTCTGTTTGGCTCCAGTCGGAGAGATGTTCTAGGGATATTCGTAATCGTTAAAAAACAGGAGGGAGGCAACTCATTGTGGGCTGTCATTATTGGCAGCCTCTGAACTATGCTGATCAGGCGTAATTTTGTGTTTAGAGATTGTGGAATCTATCCCATCATTGAGGAGCGATGTGTGTTGGGGACTGGTAGCAGCTGATTTGGATGATTCAGGTATAAACAGTCATGAAGTCAAGCTACATAATCTCTTAAAATCCTTGCTTATATCTGGGTGTGTTGTTCTGTTGCCTTGAACGTCAAATGCACAAAGGTTTTGTCATTCAAATTTCTCAAAATGTCTCCCAGCCTTCCCGAAGAGTAATTCTCCCTTTGATGCCAGCTTCACCTATCATTATGGATGCGCTCATGATACTAAAAATACTGCACGTTTTGCTGAGTTTAGAGGGTACAGTCTGTGCCTCCCAATAGCTGACTGAGAATAAATAATTGCAGTTTCAGGACCACTGATAGCGCAAATTGTCTTTCTTACCTGGCAGCAAGCAATCGGACAGCCCTAAAATGAAACCTTTATTGGCCCAAGTATGAGAATCTTTAACAGATGGGGCAATGTAATTAACCTTGAAGGTGGTGATAAGAAACAGAAAGCTTCAAAGGTCGAAAGCTTATTCTCGGTGGCTTGATAAAACTGCTTTGTCATTACCAGTGTATTCCTGTTATGTTTGACTTGAAATTGAGCATACCATGCAAGCTGGCTCCTTTTTATTTATTTTTCTGAGATAATGGTTATGTATTTAGATTCCTTAGAGAGAAAATGGTGCTTTCTGGGGAATTTGGAAGGTTAAGCTCTTTAAGGTAGCCATAGCTTTAGGGTAATGCTGGGACTTGGGCTGTTAGGAATGGACAGCAGAGGGTAGAAATTCTGTTTCCTGACCCAAGTGGATGTGCGAATGTCCCTGCTTCATAATACTGTGTCCAGGGTATTAAAAAGCTGTTTGGGATTCCCAGTTCCTGTTTATAATCTGGATACATTCTTATGTATTGAGATGTCCCAAAATATTGTCATTTGATCCTGTTGTTGACCACAAAGGAAGTGACTTTTCATCAGGCCTTCTGTGGAAGAGGATTCCGTAACAGCCTCAGCAATTTCTCCTTTCCATCTTTCTAAGCAGGATGTCAAAACAGTTGTTAAAGACCTGTCAGCATGAGCGGGAATACATGACATGCAAAACAGAAGAGACTTCCTGGGCTGCTGTTTGCTCTTAGCCCTCTTAGTGCTTCCCAAGACCATGTAATTTTTCTCTTTTTGCCTCAGGTTGGACCAAAATCCAGATACTCAGTTGATGTACTGTCTGGCGCCATGGGGGAGCTTTTCCGGAGCGAGGAGATGACACTGGCTCAGCTTTTTCTACAGTCAGAAGCTGCTTATTGTTGCGTCAGTGAACTAGGAGAACTTGGAAAGGTTCAGTTTCGTGATGTAAGTAGTTGTGGATTGTTCCTGGATTACCACTGAAATGTATTTTTCTTGTAATGGCCAATTGTCTTATGATGAATGTTTTGCTTTTTATTTGAAAAAAAAAACATAGCACAGCTTACTATTGGTACAGTTTTTTTTTTAAATTTTAATTGTTGTTCAAGTACAGTCTTTTGTCTTTTACTCCCACCCCCCCCAGCCCTCCCCATCTCCCTCCCATTTCCACACCACCCCCCTTGTTTTTGGTACAGTTTTTTGAGTTGTCTTTCTGGAGCTGAGAATGTCGTGTGCCGATCCTTTTTATGTTTTTACTGTTTCCCTCTTTGAGAATAATCCTAAAAGGATTCTCCAGGGAATTGCTTGGGATGCAGGTGAAGGACACCAAACTAACCTGTTCAAAGCTTGCACTTTGTTTTTGGGGTCTTTAACACCCATACCAGGGTACTGAGATTTCTTCATCGCTTTCCCTGCACTCTGATGTATTTATTACAAGATCTGAAACACCCAGTTACAGATGTATCGTACAGAAGTAAATATATACTGACTACCTGTTATTCTGAAGCATTGTGTTGGGAAGTTGGAGAAGACATCAAAAGGAAATGGACAGTCTGAGAGTATAAAGAAGTACGCCCTGTGGGGCTTACGACCTGATAGATGCTGCTGAAAGGAGAATGGAAACAATTCTCCATTACACCATCTCAAAGCTCATGTACCTCTCATTGACAGCATTCATTATAGACGTGATTCTACATTCATCCAAGTCTCCTTGGATGTTGATTAAAGTCTCCTTCCCCTACTATGATCTAAGTTCCATGAAGACAGAGACACTCAATGTCTTATCCTTAGTGCCCACATAGAAGATACTCAATCAGTATTTGCTGGAATGAATGGATGGGTGAAAGAGGAATGGTCAAGGGTGAAGGGTTTTCAGGAACAACTATAAAGGACACATGGACAAAACCAGGAGGGGGTGGAATCAAGGAAGGGAGGTGGGGATGGCTGGGGTTGCAGGGGGGAGTATTCATGGGGAAAGGCAGACAACTGTACTTGAACAACAATGACGTTTAGAAAAAAGAGAAAAAGAAAGAGGAGTGGTCAGAAAAGTGTGAGATGCATCGATATTGGCTTCCTGGAGCTGGCAGGTTTTCAGGAAGTTCACAGCTTGAGCTGACACTACACAGATAGAATCCACTGACTTAGTCTTATTCCTCTTTCTCCTTGAACCTTTCTACACTACCTCTTTTGGAGTGTTCTGCTGGACCCAATCCCTTCTCTTCCCTTTCTGAGACCTTCTAGATTTCTTCCACCAGCCCCTCGTTCTTCTCCTCCACCCCTGCCCTTGGAGTCCGTGTTCCCTAAGCTCTCCCTCCACACCCACATCTCCATTTATCGTGGGGTTTTTTTTGGGTGGGGGGGAAGGGCAGGTGATCTCAACTATTCTCAAATTTTCCATCTTTATTCAGTGAGTCCCAAATCTGTATTTCTGGCCCTGACCCCCAAACACCTTCTCTGAATTTATATTCTCTAGGATCATTCTCATCCCTGCTTTTCAAGCTAGAACATCTAAATCCCAGCACCTTACCTTTTCACCAACCATTTCTTCCTCCTGACTTCCTGAAGTTGAGCCCATGCACTGATATTCTTCCAGTTTTCTAGACTTGAAACCTAAATCAAACCTAAGTCACCCTTAATTTGCAATCCTTCATCTGGTCCCATAGTGTCTCCCTTTCTAACAGCCTTTTTGTCCACTCAGCAGTCTTAACTTTTACTTATGATGTATTTCAATCATACAAAAAATTACAGGGAATAATACAATGAATAACTATCTACTTAAGAGATAAACATTCCACATATAATTGAAGGCCCCTGCCATTCCCCCTTCTCCCCAGATGTAACTTTCTACAGTGACTTCTGCTTTTATCATTCCTATATGCTTGTATTTTTTTACTTTTGCTATATATGTATGTATGTAACACTAAGTAATATATAGTATAATTTTGTATGTATTCTTCAGCAGATACTTTTAAAACTTAACATTTGTCAGGTTTGATCATGTTGACACTTGCAGCTAGTTCTTTTATTGAAATTGCTATATAGTTATTATAAAAATATACAATTTATCATTATTTCCTCTGATGAACATTTAGATTGATTGCAGTTCTTTGCTATTACAATGTTGCAGTGAAAATTCTTGTCTATGCCGCCTGGTGAAACTATCTGCGATAGTTCCTCCTGGGTAGTGGTTCTCAAACATTTTGGTCTAAAGACTTCTTTAAAGTCATAAAAAAAAAAAAAAAAGAGCCCTGGCTGGTGTGGCTCAGTGGATTGAGCACCAGCCTGTGAACCAAAGGGTTGCTGGTTCGATTCCCAGTCAGGGCATATGCCTGGGTTGTGGGCCAGGTCCCCAGTGCGGGGTATGTGAGAGGCAGCCACAGATTGATGTTTCTCTCCCTCTTTTTCTCCCTCCTTCCCACTCTCTAATAATAAATAAATAAAATCTTTTAATTAAAAAAAAAAGAGAGAGACCCCTAAAGGGCTTTTATGTGAGTTATAGCTATTCATAATTACTGAATTAGAAATTAAAACTGGGAGATGTTTAAAATATTTATTAAATCATTTAAAATTATAATAATAACTCACTATGTTATCATAACATTTGTAAAAAATAGCTATATTTAAAAAACGAGAAGAGTGGTATTACTTTTACATTTTTTTAATTTTTTATTTACCAATTTGAGTGTGAGAGAGAGAGAAGCATCAATTCGTTACTCTACTTACATAAGCATTCATTTGGTTGATTCTTGTATGTGCCCTGACCAGGGATTGAACCCGCAATCTTGGTGTATCAGGACAATGCTCTAACCAACTAAGCTACCAGTGGTCAGGGCTGCTTTTACATTTTTGAAGGTCTTTTAGTGTCTGAATTAATAGAAAAAAGCTGGAGTCTCATTGGCTTCTGCGGTCAGTCTGCAGTGAAAGCATCATTCGACTCTGGAATACTTTGCTGGACACTCATGAGACAATGAGAATGAAAAAGGCGAATGAGGTCTCAGTGTGACTGTGAAAGTGGCAGGGAGCCCACCGACCTGCCGCCACTGCAGGGAGGTAACTAGGATGGGTGTTGCTGCGTGCACTTTGCGCCTCCGACTGTGAGGTGTTGTCAAGGGGTACTTCCCAGCACGCGGGTCTCTTTGCACGCCCATGGCGTCCCTCCACAATGGTATCAGCACTTCTGTGCTCAGACTTAAAGAAATTTTCCAACCCAATGGGCTGTAAGTGGTATCTTACCGTTTTATTTTGCATTTTCTAGATTAGTACATTTGATATCTTTTTATCTGTGTATTGGACATAATAGGTTTCATTTTCCATGAGTGTCTGTCCGTATCAGCTGCCTGTTTGCAATGGCGTTTGCTTGTCGTTTGCTTGTTAACTTACAGGGTTTGTAAAAGTGCTTCATACCTTTGTGGAAGCGAACCTTTTTCTCTCCTTTACTGATAAGTGCTGGGCTGTCGCTTGTCTTTTCCTTCGGTTTATAGTTTATTTTGTCATGCATAAAATTTCATTTTTCTTTTTTGCAGATTGGCATTTTTTTCCTAAATATTTTATTTTGAAAAATGTCTAGCCTGACTGCTCTTACAGAGCTTCACCAGTTGTTGACATCTTGTCACGTTTGATAGAATCTTTCCTACTGCGCCGTAGGAGAGCCAGCCGTCTCTTCCTTTCGCATCCTTGCCCTTTTCTTGCTTTTCCTCATTTCCCCGGGCCCATTGCGACCTTCAGTAACAAGCTGAAGAACAGCGCGCTCGTGCTGGTTGGGATTGTGTTTAGCCGTGTGTAACTGAAACGCCGACTGACGGACGGGGTGTACGTTTCTCGCGTAACATGGCGCCCAGCCCCACACTGTCATCAGTGTCCTAACATCATTTCTGTCTCTCCGTCCTTCTGACCATCCTTGGACATTTGGCTTTTGTACTTAGATAACCACCACCGCTCCAGGCGTTTCACTGAAGGAAGTGCAAGGAGGAAGGGGAGGTACCTATATCTGGAGGAAAAAAACTATCCCAGAAATCCTCCTTCCTGATTTTTTATTGGCACCAAGATTATGGCATATACTAGCTGCAAGGGATTCTGGGAAATATGGGTTTTCAATTGAGCAGTTGCTACGCTGAACAAAATTAGAATTTTTGTTACTGAAGAAATAGGGCAAAATGTTATGTCCTGTATCTGTCATATAGACTCTTGTCTTGCTCCTGACTTTAAAGGGTATTTATTTTGGTGTTCCACAATTTAACTAAGATATTTACTCTTACTTTTTTTAAAAAAATTCTGGCCTTGGCTGGTGTAGCTCAGTGGATTGAGCTTGGGCCTGAGAACCAGACAATTGCGGTTCGATTCCCAGTCAGGGCACATTCCTGGGTTGCAGGCCAGTTCTCTGCAGGACAGTTCCCAGCAGAGGATGCACGAGAGGCAACCATACATTGATGTTTCTCTCCCTCCCTTCCCTTCCCCTCTAAAGATAAATAAATAAAATCTTAAAAAAAAATAATAACATAAATAAAGGGTGTGTTGGAGGTGATGGATTTTTAATTCAATAAAAAAATTCTGTTTATTAGATTATGCAGATTCCTTTCAATTTGTGATTTTCTGAAGTTATTATTAAAAATGATTGTAGAATTTCATTGAATGCCTTTTCATCTATTGAGATTATCATGTTTTTTCTCCTTAATCTAGTAATCTGGTGGGTTACATATCCAGATTGTTTTTCTACTATTTTTAATAGCTCTACTGAGATGTGATTATATACCGTATAATTTGTCCTTTTAAAGAGTACAGTTCAATGATTTTTAGTATATTCACAGAATGTTAGTATATTCACGCATCACCACAATCAATGTTAGAACATTTTCATTACTTCGAGAAACCCTGTACTCATGAACAACCACTTCCCACGACCCCTGGCAGCCACTAATGTACTTCCTGTTCCTGTGGATTTGCCTATTCTGGACATTTCATGTGAATGGAGTCATGCAGAGTGTATTTTGTGACTGCTTCTTTCACCAGCATAATGTTCTCAAGGTTCATCTGTGTTGTAACACGTATTTGTACATTTCTGTCTTTTTGCATCTTTTTTTAAATACAAAAATATGCAACACACCAAAATGGTTGGTTTCAATATAAGAAGTAGTTGGTATCTTCTCTCTTCTCTGCAAAAGATATTGCTCTGGGTGGAGAGACACAGCTGAGAAGACATGTTTCCTCACTCAGCTTGTTCAAACTCTTATGTCCCCTCAGCTATTCCTACTCTTTGACATACTGTCTCCTACTCGTCAGTCCCTTCCTGTCTGACATGAGCATAATGACAATTAACATTTTTTTCAGTAGATGTCACGTTGAACATTTTGCATTATTATGTAGGCATTTCTCACGACAACCCTGCAAAGCAGAGTGTGCTTTTAATTAGCGGAGCCTGCCGCTCTCCTTGTACAGATTGGGGGCCTGTGGCGCATAGATGGAAATGATCACCCCAGGACACAGAGATTAGCACCCAGGATTACCTGGTTCCACTGCCCGTGTTCTTTTTAACTGAGATACACCAAAAATGCCACCCTTCTGCAGTGTGCAGTTCAGTGGTGTTTAGTGCCTTCATAAGGTTGTGCAACTGTCATCACTACCCGGTTGCAGAACATTTCATCACCCCCAAAAGAAGCCCTGTACCCATTAGCAGTCACCCCTCTTCCCCCCCAGCCCTTGGCAACCACTTAATCTACCTTTCTCTGTGGGTTTTCTTATTCTGGACATTATACCCAGTGGGGCAAAAGGAGGCTTATAGTTGTAAGTACGAGAAACAGAGTTCATTCTTGTGTTATTATTTATTATTGTATTATTTGCCATACAAATAGCCGTAAACCTAGTTTGCCCTGCCCTGTATATAAGTGGAACCATACAGTATGTAGTCTTGTGACTGGCTTCTTTTCCTGAGCATATTGTTTTTCAGGGCTCATTCGTGTTATAGCATGTGTTACTATGTCCTTCCCTGTTACCTCTCAGCACCCTTGGTATGGATACACCACCTGTTACTTATTCATGAAGCAGATGAACACACTTGGAGCGTTTCCATCGTTTTGGCTGGTGTGGGTAATGCTGCTGTAGATATTTGTGTGCAAGCCTGTGTTCGAGTGCCTGCATTCACTTCTTTGGGATGTATGAGTACCGCTAGGAGTGGACTTGCTGGATAACGTGCTAATTCTGTGTTCAGCTCTTCGAGGAGTCCCCAGACAGCTTTCCACGGCAGCCGCGCCGTTTTATGTTCTCACCAGCAACGCGTGAGGGTTCCGGTTTCCTCACATCCTCACTAGCACTTGTTGTTTTCCATTAAAGGGAAATCATGGCCATCCCAGTGGGTATGAAACAGCATCTCACTGGTTCTGATTTGCATTTCCCTTATGGCTAATGATGGGGAGTGTTTTTTCATAGGCTCATCAGTCATTTGCATAGGTTTTTTAAAAACATAAAGTCATGCTTGCAAGCCTGGGATAAACTTAACTGGTCATGAGGTGTATTTCAAAAAAAATTTTAGGTTTCAGTTTTTTAATATTTTATTAGGATTAAAAAATTATTTATAAGTGAAATCGGCCTATAAAGACCCTTTCTCAAACTACTCTTACCTTATTTTGATATCAGAGTTATACAGGCCATTCTTAGGTATTATCTGAGCAGTATTCCTTCATTTTTCACCTCTTTGGATTAATTTTTCTAAGATTTGAGCTTATCTAGTTGTTGAATGATTAATAGAATCTATCTTGAAACTTTGTAGACCCGGTGTTTTCAGATTATAGGTTACTCTGTCTTTTTTTAAGTTAGTTTTAGTAGTTATATTTTTTTCTAGAAAATAGTTTCTTTATGATGTAAATTTTCTGAGACATTATTGGCATAAAGCTGATTTTAGTATTATATTTTAAAAATCTTTTCTATGTATAGTTGCCCTTTTTTATTCTTATAGTTATTTCTGCCTTTTCTCAGTCTTATAAACATTTTGGCCATTTTGTCTTTTCAAATAACTAGCTGTTAAGAAAAAATAATGAAATATTAAGAAAAAATAGCCAGCTTTTGATCTGGGGCTTTGTTTTATTCTGGGACTTTCCCTCATTTCTGTTTTTTTGCTGTTTTCTACTTCCTGTTATCTTTTTCTAACATCTTAAATTTGAATATTTAGTACATTGATTTTTAGTCTTTTCTGTTATATGCAATTAAGGCTATAATTTTCCCCACCACTTTAGCTGCATCCTACAAAGTTTGATCTTAAGCATTTTCATGATTGTCTCATAAATTATTTAAGTTGCTTTATATATATCTGTTATTAAATACTAATTTCTTCTTACTATCATTAAGCTCTTTTATAGGGAATTCTTACAATCACTCACAAATAAATCCTTAAACACACACGACCTGTAATTTTGTGTTGGGAGCATTGTTCTAATGAATGCTGAGAACAAGAGTTAACAGAAGTGGTTCTTCCTGCCCTGACCGATGTGGCTCAGTTGGTTGGGCATTGTTCCTCAAAGTGATAAGTCACTCAGTTTGATTCCCAGTCAGGGCACGTGCCTGGGTTGCACGTTTGGTCCCTGGTCAGGGCGCATATGGGAAGCAACCAATTGATGTTTCTCTCTCACCTTGATGTTTATGTTTCACTTTCTCTCTCCCCCACCCCACTTCCTCTCTAAAATCAATAAACATATCCTTGGGTGAAGATTAAGATAATAATTTTCTTATTTGGAGGAACAAATATGAAGGACACGGGGATGAGAACTAAGGGGGGTGGAAATGGGAGGGAGGTGGGGAGCACGGGGCGGGGTGGGCTGGGATGGGAGAAATAGACCAAAAACTGTACTTGAAAAATAACTAAATAAAATTATTTTTAAAAAGATAATAATTATTTTAGAAATGAAAATTACTTGTGATGTGTGAATGAGTGAACCAGCTTGTCACTTAGAAGGTGGGAAACCTGGAACGGAAGAACAGGAGAAGTGTGCCTTCTGTGTCCTTCTGATTGGGAAGAAGGAGAGAAGGGAAACCAGGCAGTTTCTGTCGCATTAGTGGTCCAGAGCTTTGGTGGTGTGTTGAGGAGGGGGCTGACTGGGACTCTGAGCCTGGGAAGAGCGTCTGTGCCGTGCCTGATCTGCCTTCAGTCCAACATGTAGCAGCAGCGAGGAAGGGTTTCTAACTTTAGTCGGTGCGACCGGCTCCAAGGTGGATCAGCGTGTTGCATCATAGGTTGATGCAAAAGTTGGCTTTCACCTTGCAGGGTGTGTGGCTCATGAAACAGAGGAAATAGAGGCAATGTTTGACTATTTGGCATTGTGTTCTTATTTTGCAGTTAAATCCAGATGTGAATGTCTTCCAGCGCAAATTTGTGAATGAGGTTAGAAGATGTGAAGAAATGGATCGAAAGCTTCGTATGTGCCCTTTGGTCCTATCATGAGTCATTGGTCTTAAATTAGAGACACCAGCCCTCCTAATAAAGAAAGGAAATAGCATAGGAGGGAAAAATCTTATGGTCCTGAGGTTTAGATGAATTTCTAGTATGCAATAGAGTTTGTGGTGTTTGGGGTAAGTAGTACTTAATGGAATCCTTGTTTGAGGTAACAATGCTGTAAGCTGAAAATACTATTTTTGTTTTGTTTTGTTATATTTTTTGTGGGAAGGGTTTTAGAGTAGAATTGTATTATAGAATTCTGAGAAATGGGAACCCAGACTACCATCAATTTTAGATGTCAGCCTAACCACTTTTTAATCTGAGCTATTCATGTATAAAGGAAGAAACTAATAGTTATTAAGGTCCCCTTGAGAGTTAGGGTGTCCATATACCTTATTTCATTCATTTCCCACAACATTCCTTCAAGATGGGTGACCTCATTTAATAAATGAGAAATCAGAGGGGTTAAGTGACTTGGACCAATAATGTAAGTGGTCATGATGGAATCAGTATTTGAATCCAGGTTGTCTCATCTGGCTCTAAAACCCAAGTTCTTGCTATTATACTATGCCAGCTCTCCCTTAGCTAATAGGTAAATTTGTTCCCCATCCTAAAAAAAATGTCAGTGGCCAACGTTTTTCTCATGTTTTGGGGTCTTATTCTGCCTCGTGCCTTTTGTTTGTTTTGTTTCAGCAGACAACTCTTTTCAAATGTAATGCAGCCCTTTCACCTAGAGTTGTCTACTCGTGTGTCAGTTTTCAAATATGCTATTGAATTGGCTCTTCCGCGGTTCTGCTTTGCCTGCAGTACCTGTGGCCAGAACCATCATGCTCTGGGGTAGCAGTCACATGGGGTGCAGAGCTGCAGCAGGGGTGGGCCAGTGTGAAGGTCAGAAGAGGAAAGAAGGCAGTAGTGGGATGGTAATCCTCTTTGGAGTAACTGTGCTTTAGAGAATGTGGGGAGAAAGAGGAATGTAGAGAAAACAAGGATGTATGTGTTCTGCTTCTTTTATGTAAAAGTGCCTTTCTTAAAATGAAGTTCTTCTTTAGCTATGTTTGGCATCTTATTATTATTTCCTCGAATATTGGCAATTCCAGGCATGTACTATACAGGAATGTTTTGGTTCTGTCATTTTAGGATTTGTCGAGAAAGAGATAAGAAAAGCTAATATTCCAATCATGGACACTGGCGAAAATCCAGAGGTGCCCTTTCCCCGGGACATGATTGACTTAGAGGTAAACAATTCTGGAGAAGCCAGACAGCTGTGTTGCTACTGAAATGTAGAGACTGCCAAGTGGATGGAGAGGAAATTCTTGCTCTCCTTGTCAGCATTGCCCATTGGTTGCAGATTTCTTGTGGGTGGGATTAAAACCAAGTCTCTTTTATGGCATGGAACAGTATGTTGAACAGTATCATGTGCCCTGAAATAAATGTTTATTGGCATACTGAAACCTTATGATCAGTGAAAGGACAGCAAAGTCACAGTTATTAACAACCACACCTAAAACAAAAGCAAACTAAGCAGACAGCTAGATCAGGAGTGGAACCATGGAAATGGAGATCACATGGAGGGTTAGCAACAGGGGAGTGGGAGGAGGAGAAGAGGGAGAAGGTACAGAAAATAAGTAGCATAGATGGTAAGTAGAAAATAGACAGGGGGAGGGCAAGAATAGTATGGGAAATGTGGAAGCTAAAGAACTTATGACACATGGTCATAAACTAAAGGGGGAGAATGTGGGGGAAGGGGGTGTGCAGGGTGGAAGGGAATGAAGGGGTGAAATGGGACAACTGTAATGGCATAATCAGTAAAATATTTAAAAATTAAAAAAAAGAAACCTTATTGTATTAATGTCAGTTTATCTAATAATTTATTAATCTCATAGGCTAAATAAATTAATAGGTAATAGATTTTAATATTTATTTTCTCCATCTGACTTCCCCTGAGAAATGCAACCAAACGTATGATAGAATATATAACCAAAGATGATTTTAAACAAAATTTTTCATAATGAAAATTGCCCTGGGAAAAAACATATTTGCAGGGTAGACAGAAGATCGCCATTAAGGTGGCAAGAATTTTGTTGGATGAATTCATATCTTTCAGAGCAAAAACACTGAGCTTAGTGTGAGTTAATAGTTTGATTTCCTTTTGTGTCTTGTAGGCCAATTTTGAGAAAATTGAAAATGAACTGAAGGAAATCAACACAAACCAGGAAGCTCTGAAGAGAAACTTCCTGGAACTGACTGAATTAAAATTTATACTTCGCAAAACTCAGCAGTTTTTTGATGAGGTCAGACTATTGTTTATTTCAGTATTTGAGCAGCTGATATTACACCTGCATAAGTGGGCCATATTTTTATTCCAATAATTATTTTAATTTGCTAGTTTGAAAGCAGTGCCATTTCCACACCCTGTTTCAGTTGAAGGAATATCAGCTTATGTTCCATTTTTCATGCAGTACACAGCCGGACATAGTTTCATATATTTTTTCATTTTTTGTAATTTTTCATTTCCAGATGGGGGAAGGAATCCTAAGGTAGTTGTATAAACATAGTTAGTTGAAATTTTTACATTATATATTAAGGTAAGTAAATGTTTAAGGTTAAAATTGAAGCGACAAGAAACTTTTGATTATATGTGATATGATAACAAAAGTTTAATCTCCAAACCTCTGGTCATCAAATTTTAATTTTATTATCTATGTTTGCCCATCAGTCTTTGAGCACACTTTTAACTACCTTAGACAGCACACGTAACACTTTGTGTTTTTTTAATGCTATATGGAAATATTGGTAGAATTCCTGGATTTTCACATAAACTCAACTGCATTGCCATACAGGGGAAATGTTAATAAGTTCCTGGATTAAAAATGCAGGTGACTAAGTGGCCAGATGACAGGCTTCCTTCTTCTGATTAAACTCAGGAAGGAGTCTTAGCTTTCAGCCTGGACGTGCTTTTTCTGATGGCTCAAAATACGGGTACTTCACTTTTTTACAAGTGACTTTGCCACCCAATTAGCACCGTCAGACACTTCAGAGATTGTTCAAGTCGCTGTTCAGCGTGCCTTCCCATAAAGTTCTTTATTTCCTTTGCTCAAAAAAAATTTTTGCCTGTGTGGCAAAACTTTTCAAACATAGAGGGCCCATTTTAGTGAGCAGCTGCTGTGTCCTCAGTTCTACTTTTAGTGTCTGTCTTTGGAGGAAAGGACAAGTCCCTGTAGTTCTTAGATGAGGGCAGCATTTCTCCAACCAGCAGCATCAGAATGCAGATTCTCACCCCCGCCCCAGACTTCCATCTGGAACCCTGAGGGCGCGGCTCAGCAGTCCGAGTCCACCAGACAATCCCAGGGCAGGCTAGTTTGAGAACCACAGTGCTAGAGAGATCCGAACATGTGATACATTTCTCAATAACTAAGGAGTTAACTTAGAGAAGCTATACTAGTTAAAAAGATCTGCTGGGACAAGGGAAAGGGGGAAAGGTCTTATGAATTGAATTGCCTGGTCCTTCCAAGAATCAGAATCTGGCAATATTTATTCAGAGAAGCTTGGTGTGAATATTCAGCCTGCTCCCTGAGTTGAGAACTTTGAGACTGATGGTAACTCCTTTCCAAAGTCCCCAATTACCATCCCATTGCAGGGCGTGGGACAGTGTGATTAACTCTTTATGAGTCTTTCAGATCTTTTGCAACAGGCGTGGCCACTGTACCATGTGGTTTTAGTGAACAAGCAATGGGAGTTTCAGTGTGCTCACTGCCTACATTGTATCCACCCTCATTAATTCACGAGGATTTGATGAGGAACGCCTGCTCTTTGTGAGGCCTAAGATGAGTAAGACAAAGTCCCTGGACTCAAGGAATGTTATCACTTAGTCATATCAGGAAACGTCCCAGACTCGGGGGACCGCCAGGTGCTCACAGGTGTGAGCCTGTCTCAATGTGTTCCAGCTGCGGCCCCCAGATGCAGTGTAAACCTGGCCTGGAGATCAAAGCCCGGCTATGTTTAGCATCATTCGGGGCTTAATTCTCCCCCCTCCTCTTTTTTTCCTTTTCATACAGTCTTTGTTCACTGCTGAGATGTTGCTGCAAAGTATGAAAAGGTCTTTCATAACCTCCCGAGTTTAAGGAGTGAAATAGGCTTCCTAGTCTCGTTCATTCCATAAGAAATTCTGGATAAAGATCGACAAATGGACTCCCTTAAGAGAAATAGTTACTTAAACTTTATGTTATCATTTTTAAAAAATAGTAAAAATAAAATAAGAGGAACCACTTGGAAAGACGATACATGATTTTAAAATCCGAAGTTAGGGGTCAGGCGCTTCTTTGTGATTGACACACCCCTACATGAAAACCCCGTGCTGAGAAGCCTGGCTCTGAGTCTCTGTGACCTTCACGCCCAGTCCATGGCGAGTTGTTCTTCCCTCCTAATTAAGCAAAAACAATCAAACACTCATGTACACACATTTCTGGAAGTGCTTTGGAGCACGAGGTCTTGGCTGTGAGAGGTTCTCCGACCGCTTTTGTCATCAGTCCCCCTCGTTCCTAGCGAGGAACGTTCGGTGCAGCCCAGGAAGTCTGGCAAGAACCACTTTGCGTCTTCACTCCAAGTGCCTTGCCTGCTCTCGCCACTGGCTTGCGGCCTCGGCCAGGCCCCTTTCAATAGCCATTGCCCTGCTGTTACTAAACAGCAGCCTCAGAGGTCGCTGCCATGACGGAGCAGACCTCAGAGCAGCTGCGTGTGCCCGTGCAAGGGCACGCTTTAAATAACACAAAAGATAGGGAAACGTGAGACCCTCAAATCTTGAAAACATAGGTTTTTCCATGAGATTTTCTTCCATGCCTGAAATTAGAAGATTTGCAAATGGCCTAAAACACTACCAAGTTCAAAGCTTTCTTTCTGGTGGATGTGGTTCATAATTTATAATAATGAGTTAGCAGAAAAATGACTAAATCAGAGAATGATTCTTCCCATCTTTTGGTGGAAGGTCTATGATTGATTGGTGAGCGGTATAGCAGGGGAAAGGTAAACAAATTGAATATTCTTATGATTTAAGATGATTACAAATCCGACTTCGCCATTTCTTATCCATAGCATTTAAAATGACTTGTTAATGATTATCCTTTTCTCAGTCTTCTTGCTTATGAAGACCTGTAAGAGCTGGAGAGATTTCTCTGCATCTTTTACCATAAGCACCATAACATATGAGAACGTAAAGAAGACTGGAAAAGTAATGGTTAATGGCATGCAGACCCCTGCCTTCCTTTCCTTCTGAGTTTTCCATTCATCTGCTTTCCTTACTTTTCTGTTCCACCTTCCATCTCCTTTGGGGTGGGGGCAAATGCCTTAGGTGATAGAGTGTCATTTCTGTCTTAATGTTAGATGGGAATAAAAGTGTTGTCTCTTGGTAACTGACATAGCTGGAACTGAAGGAGTTGCTTATGTGGAAGAGTAGAGCCAGGACTGGTGAGGCTCTGCTACTTCCTGTTTCAAGGCCTGGTCTCAGCGTTCTGATTGGGCAGCAGGCAAACTAGAGGGCGTAGCTAGTGCCTTAGAGAACACTGGCTGTGTTGTTAGTGTTACTGGAGAACCCAGATTAGGATTTAGATACTTGAAGTCGTGGTTTTAGAGATTGCTTTAAAGGCCTTCAGTTACTGGTTCTGGTCATCCTATTTTCTCATCAGGCACAATTACTTTAAAAAAATTTTTTTATCCTCATCTGAGGACATTTTTTTCATTGCTTTTAGAGACAGAAAGGGAGAGAGAAACATCAGTTGGTTGCCTCCTGTACACGCCCAGACTGGAGATCGGACCCATAACCTAGGCATGTGCCCTGACCAGGAATCTAACCTGCAACCTTTTGGTTATGAGATGATACTCCAACCAACTGAGCCACACTGGCCAGGGCAAGCTCGATTACTTTATTTAAAAAAATTTTTAACTTTCCTGTCTAAAACATGGGATTCTTAGGTATGAAGTAGTGAAATTATGAATTAGAATATTATCGGAAGTTTTAACCAGAAGAGTCCCAGATAACACCATTTGTCCCCGTTAGAGCACATGTCTGCTCTGAGCCTGATCTCCAGGGCTGATTTGTCCCAGGTCTCGTGGGCCCCACGGGAAGGAGGCAGGAGTCCTGTGAGGAGCAGTCTGCTTCACTGGTTTCTGCCAAGGGAATCCCTGGAACAGGCTGCAAGGTGGTAGTCATCTGGACCCTCGAAATAAATTGCATGTGGCTTAGCGTCATCCGATTTGACTTTTAGTAGAAACCAAAAGGGGCCCCTGAACTTCCACTTGGCAGCAGGTGGTAACCTGTGCTCCCGTTATCTGTCTCAGGCTTTTCCAAATCTCGTGACAGTGTTTCTCTGCCCTTCCGCTCTTCGTGCTCAGTGTGGCCCTTCCCTTTTTTTTTTTTCTCCAATCAAAGTTGATCCTGCTTTGAGAATTTACTTCCTAAAACAATTGCTTTCACTTTTTCAGGCTTTCAGGCTTATATTTGAGGTTCCCATGAGGTGGTTTTTGTTTATGAGTTGACAGAAACAGAATCCTAAAATTCAGAATGAAAATGATGGAGAAAAAGTTTCCTCTTTTTTTTTTCCCATTAATTTTGCTCTTGACAGAGAAGACTGTTCTGGCTTACTTTTAGTCCTCAGTCAAACAAGAATTGCGTGGATATTGAAGCTGGGGAGATCGGACAGCGGGGGCATTGACTGGCCTTCATTTTTTAAGGCAGCTTCTCCTTCCTCATGGGAGTAGAAAATGGTGGGATGTGTTAGAGAGAGAGAGAGGTTAGGAAACACAGACTTAGCACGTCTGAGAGGGTCCCTCTGCTCCTTCATTTCATTGTATAAACTGTCACGGTGGAAATCATTTTAAATCTAAACAATGAAACTCGCCCGCACACTCTCTGTTGGCTTAATATCTGTTACTGTCTTCGCTGTCCTTGATTTAGATTGTCGGATTAAGCTATGTTCTCAAGAACCCTTGAACTGTAAAGCTTGCATGGACTTTTTAATATTCCTGGATTCCCGCTCAGAAAGTAGGACATTCAGATATGTTTTCACCTTTTCTTCCCTTTATGGATGCAGTGGGGGCCCAGGCCTGTCCAGCTGTCATGCTTCTTATCCTTTTAGGGAAAGAAATGCTCTTTAAATCCCACAGTGGGGAGCATTTTATCCTGCAGTGGCCATGCTGAAAGTTCTTATATTGTACATTTTTTTAAGAGCACAGACAATCCAGCTGCCCGGAGAAATTTCTCCTGCCTTTCTTCAGATCACACACTGTGGCAATGCTCTGCTTTTTTCCCTGGGAAGAGGGTCTGCATCTCTCACATCCTCACTCAGGGAAAATTCTCGTTTGTAACTGCCTGGAAATGCGATGTTGAGAGTATCTGCTGAGCTGCCTTGTTTTTGCTCAGAAGGAAGAAACACTCCAGCTCCTATCCACGTGCAAAGGTATTTCCTGGTACTTTCACGGCTCGCTTAGGAAAATATAAGGGAAAAAAATGGCTTCCACCAAGTGAGATTTATACATGTCACCATCATTTCATGTCGTTTTCTTTTTAATTTGTTATTTCTTAAGCCGTGTCCCCAGTTGCTTCACTGGGTCAGTTATGCTTTCTTTACCTCTCGTTTCTTCCCTCTGCTTTCTTTCCGTATCCTCCTCGTGTCCTTGTTGTGGGTACGTCCTCTCTCTCGGTGGTTTGTGTTTCATCTTTCTTTTCTGAACTCATCTCCTGGTTCCTCGTTCCCTGCATGCCACTAACTATTTTCATTAGATATTAATTGATTTGTGAATTCAGGCTGAATTGCATCATCAGCAGATGGCGGATCCAGACCTGTTGGAAGAGTCCTCATCCCTCTTGGAGCCAAGTGAGCTGGGAAGAGGCACACCTTTAAGGCTGGGGTAAGTACCGCTTCAGCCCTCCGCACTCAGTGGGGCCACGCTCATTTTCGCTGTTCAAAAGGGCAAGAGGCTGGCCTTCACTTGCTCCCAGACGCACGCTCTTCTGAGCCCATTGAGAGCTGTTTTGGACTGAGTTCCTGAGTTGTGTTTTGGCAACTCTCTTCCTGGCCCAGGAATAAAACGTTACCAGTCCTTTTGATGTAACGGTGCATAGCCTCGTGATCGTCTTTGTCCCTCTCCTCGTTTTCCTTCTTTGTCTCGAAGCCTCCCACCCCAGGGGCAGGGAACAGATTTCCCAATCTGGCTCTTCTTCCCACAGCTTCGTGGCTGGTGTGATTAACCGGGAGCGCATCCCTACTTTTGAGCGCATGCTTTGGCGGGTGTGCCGGGGGAATGTGTTCCTGCGACAGGCTGAAATCGAGAACCCCCTGGAGGACCCTGTGACTGTAAGACAAGGGAACCGTGTCTCCTGGAGTAGGTCTTGTAAAGGGAGCTCAGAGCTGTAACCCAGCACGGCGCCACCTGCCTCCAACCTCCCACAGAGGAGCCCTTGTGTTTGCCCTGCTGTGAGGGGCTGCTCTTTTCCTCTTACCTGCCATGATGTATACATTTTAACGCTATGCCTGTGTATTACTTTGATCGCCAATATGTTTTCCCAGTCATTTTAACCTTCAGCCTTATATGTTTGCTGTTACTTATCTGGGGCCAAAAGCTATCTGGCTCCAAACTGGGCATTTTGAAGCATGGGGAACAGACAAGAATGGCTCTTCTCTCTCCTCTGTGCCTAGGGCATTGGGGCAATGAAGATTTAAAGGGGAATTGCTAAGTAGGGCCAACTTGTACTAAGAGGAGAATCCTCCTAGAGTCTGTGTCAAGCTCCTGGTTGAGATCAAGGAGAAACACAGAACGTGTTTTGGGGCTGAGCGATTACAGGCGAATGCGATAGTAGGGGAGCCGAAGAGGCGGGTGTGGGACGGCGGTGGGGGTGCAGGATTGCCTGTCCTCACGGAGTCCAGCCGGTCCTGCACCACCAAGGCAGGGGGGGATTTAAGACGCTCTCTCCTGGAGTAGAAGGCTGAACCTGCGCTTGTGGCTTGGGGCCTAGGGCGACTACGTGCACAAGTCAGTGTTCATCATTTTCTTCCAAGGCGACCAGCTGAAAAACCGAGTCAAGAAAATCTGCGAAGGGTAAGAGAAACGTGCTCCCTCTGAGGGTGCAGCCAGGCTGCACAGCCCTTTTTAGCCTTAGAATATTGAACCCTGACACACAAACCCTGTTAGTTTGCCTAGACCTCGTGAACATACCTATGAATAATGTAAGGGCTATTTTACGTAATTCGAAATGGTCCAAGTTCGGCTTTGAAAGGGCCATCACAGCCACAGCTCCTTGTCCTGCAAGAAAGCAACTTGGATGCTTGGTTGATGAATGCGACGTTGTTCCAGGACGAGGGGCCTGCCTACCAGGTGGCGAGCCGCAGGCGTTGTGCGGGTCCTTAGGCTTTTCCGAAATTCCGCCCAGGGATCTTTCTTTTGTGCCATTAAAAAAGAATAATTTATATTACTGGGTTTTGCTTTTTTAATCTAAGGGAATTGGATAGCTACAGAGAATGTCAAGATAGTTTCAACAATATTATTCCATTTGTAGGCCACTCCCTGGAAACCATTGTTTTGATCATGCATCAGTTTGAACTAACCCTGCTTTGGTCCTTCTAGAAAATTAGGGTTACCTTCTGAAATAATTTAAACTGGATAGGTTACAAAGTGTCCGGTTTCCAGGCTGTGTCTGTACATTCCAGGTTCCGGGCCTCCCTCTATCCCTGCCCTGAGACGCCCCAGGAGAGGAAGGAAATGGCTTCTGGAGTTAATACCAGGATTGATGATCTCCAAATGGTACGCAGAGGGCTGCAGGGCATTTGTTTTGTGAAACAGAAGACCAGTCTCCATGCCTGAAACGCTAACAGTTCACCAAGCACCTGCAGCAGCTCAGGGTACCAAAACCAGCCAAGTGCCCTTGGGAGCAGGGGAAGCGTTGCGGGGAATGGCTGTTAAAAATGGCATTCATCGTCCTCAAATGAGACAGGAATGCTATGCATCTGAAATCATTGTTGCTTAGAGGATTCAGTTCTCCTCGTGATGAGTCAGATGTGTGCTTAGTTAAGAAAGAAATCAGATAATACAGAAGTATGTGCAAAGTCTGTCCCGCCCTCTCGCATACACACACTGCGAACGAGGCAGCCGCTCTCGACAGCCCGGTGTGCATCACTCTGGTCACCTCGCAGGTTAACCACGCAGGCTGGCCAAAGCGTCCTGGTGTAAGTCTTGTGCCCGAGAAGGAGACTGTGTTGGATTTTCACCAAATCACGGTGTGTGTGGTTTACACACACCATGCTTGCCACAGGGAAGGTGCCATGATTTACATGTATGTGGAAGGAAAAGGGCGGCCAGTTGGAGCTTTGTTTGCTGTTGAGGGACTGTGATGAGCGCCCCTTGAAACATCAGTAGACGTGCCAGTCCTGGAGGCATGTCGTCCCGGCAGTGGCACAGGTGTCCGCAATAGACTGCAATTCGCGTTGCACCCCCCCCATCTCCCTCCAACCCCCACCATAAGTGACCCGGCATCTGGACCTACTGCCGGCTCCTCTGAGATGCACTTCCTGTTTAACCAAAACTGCCGGGGGTGATAGCCCATATTAGTACGTCCTGGCTTCTAGGACTGTCTTACCCCTTCCTGGGCTCATGGGTAGATTTTAAAGTGCCTGTGCAACCCAGCTGTATGTATGAGCTGAAACTTTAAAAAGACTGAATACCAAAGAGTGAGATGCGGGGGAGGGGGGCACGGACAGGGTCGATTATAAGTTTATTCGGCATCCTTCCAGAAGGTATAATTGTAATTGTGAAATTGTCTGTAGCCAGAAGGAGAAAAACTAGCTTTGTTCCTTTATTCTTGAGTGACTTAAGAGTTTCCCTAACACAGCGTGGCTTTTTTTTAAGCCTCTCTGTGGAGGTCACGTTCTACTGTCCAAGGCTGTGGTTTGGGGAGCAGTTACTGCTGCCCTCCGAACTCACCTGAAGAGCCATGAAGGAGACTGTGCTAAAATGACTAGTATACAGCTTTTTCCTCTTCAAAGAGATGCAGAGACTTAAGATAGATGTTCACACAAATATACGTGGCGGGTCGCTTGCCCAATTTCGGCTTAGCCCCTTTTCTGCTGTTAAAATCTTGACTATCTGCTGACAAATACGGCAGCAGAGTGTGAAGTGCCCTTGCCCGACTCTCCCACTCTCGTCTTGGCTTCCAATCTGGTTTCCAAAGGGTCGGCACCGAAACAGGGTCCCCGACCCCCCACCAAGCCTGACAGGAAGGTAAAGCCTCATCTGCCTGCCGACGACAGTGGAGTGTGGCAGCCTGACCCCCCACTCAGGTTTCTGGACCCTCCTGTCTGCTGTTATGGGGTCTCTCTTGACGCAGGCAGGCGGTGGGGCGGCACGGCCCCTTCCCCACCGGTGTTCCCTGACGGGCCGGTGTGCAGGGGGTTCTGCGGCGCGCTGTTCTTCAGTGTGGACTCGCTCCTTTGTCAGGGCCTGGGCCTGTGATGCTGACTTCCCCGAGTCCGAGTCACGGGCCTCACATGCAAAGTGCCCACTCTTCCACGCTCCGAGTAAAAGCCAGCGGCCACGTGGCTGTGTCTTAGACTTGGTAGTAAGGTCGAATGTGTAGTGAAAAGGTAAAATCTGTTTTCTCAGGTTTCTCTTGAGCTTGAAGCTAAGCAAAAATGAATCTTAGTGACTAGAACTCTAACTTCTTATACTTTGGCCCCCCGCAAAAAGCCATTGTAGCCAGAGGAAGAAAAAAAACAAGAGATACCCAGTAACCCTTCTCAGAAAGCCATGCCTCTTTGCCATTCAGTCATAACCGGAGACTGAGGGTTGGTGCTGGGAGGGTCCCTCCCACGGTCCTTTCTCTCCCAAAGGTTTTAAATCAAACGGAGGACCACCGCCAGAGGGTTCTGCAGGCAGCTGCCAAGAACATCCGCGTCTGGTTCATCAAAGTGCGGAAGATGAAGGCCATCTACCACACCCTGAACCTGTGCAACATAGATGTGACTCAGAAGTGTCTGATTGCAGAGGTCTGGTGCCCTGTCACTGACCTTGACTCCATCCAGTTCGCACTTCGGAGGGGCACGGTGAGTCCCCCGCAGCTCGCAGTGCAGCCAGCGGCCAGGAAAAGAGGTTCCCGTCACCGGTCACATTAATTACATTGCATGGCATTTTTACTTTGAGTTCTTTATGATATTTGTCTTGTGTTCATCTTGTGCCCTGATAATACATTGGATATGTGTCCTTTTGTTCCAAATGTGTACACTGTAGTCCAAAAAAGATGAAATGACTTAGTCATACATCCCTGATTCTTCAGGGTAGCTCAGGACCAGATGTCATTTCCTGACCCTATTCTCAGTCCATTAGACTGTTTCTGTCGTCTAACCCTGGAGCTTCACTTAGGAGTTCAAACCGCTGCCCTGAGCCAGGCACTGACCTGGGTCGGGCTGTGAAATAGGAGACCTCGGTGTGTTACCATTTCCTTGGAGAAGCGGACATGCAAACATGCAAGTCGGGGTATATGTGTGTGGAGAGAGGGTGCTAGCTGTGCCAGCTAGGATGATTGGACAAAAGCTTCAGAAAGAAGGTGGCACTGGGGCTTTGGAGAGTGGGTAAGATGTCGATCGACAATGGTGAGAAGAAAACATGGACAAAAGCAGCAAGTACAGGATGACCACTTGTGGTTGGGCAAGAACAGGAGTTATGATGGGTGAGCCAGGGACCAGGAGGTCGGTTAGAACCTAATTGAGAAAGGTTTTCTGATACCAGGTTAGAGGATTTAAAATTTATTCCAGGGGGAATAGAGAGGCATTGGAAGTTATTTAGTAGCGGAAGGACATGATGAAAGTAGAGTTTTAAAGGAATAATCTGGCCTTGACCAGCATGGCTCAGTGGGCTGAGTGTCGTCCTGCAAAGTGAAATGTTGCTGGTTCGATTCCTAGTCAGGGAACATACATGCCTGGGTTGTGGGCCTGGTTCCCTGATTGGGGTGAATGCAAAAGGCAACCGACCGGTGTTTCTCTCTCACATCAATGTTTCTTCCTTCTCTTTCTTCCTCCCTTCCCCTCTCTCTAAAATAAATAAAACCTTTCTTTTAAAAAGGAGTAACTGTTGATAGTATCTTGGTTGGGTTGGGGATTAGAGAGAGTTTATAGGTGGGGGTCAGTTAGGAGGTTATTTTAAACAAGACTAGTAAATTATAAGGACCCCTGGGGTAAGAATTGACAATAGAAAAAGAAAATAATGAATTTGTGAGGCATTCTGAAGAAAGAATCAATTAGGTGTACTTGGTTTCTGGCACTGTGTAGGAGAAATACAAGGAGAAAGAAAATCAATGTTTATGAGGCATCAAAGCTGGGCGGTTAGCAATATAATGGTTCCATTAATAGAAGTAAAAGTTCAGCAACAGAAACTTAGGGAAACTAAAGATGTTAAGTTCAATTTCAATCACCTGGATGGGCTGCACAGAAATCCACGTGAAAATGCTAAGCACATAATGGGACAGGCTCTCAATGGCAGAGGCAAAAGGGAAAAAGCCATTGTAGCCAGAGGAAGAAAAAAACAACAGATCCCCAGTAACTCTTCTCAGAAAGCCATGCCTGTTTGCCATTCATTCATAACCGGAGACTGAGGGTTGGTGCTGGGGTTCATGAGGGTTCATGAGGGTTCATGAGGGTTCATGGGTTCATGAGGGTGGGTTCATGAGGGTGGAAGGCAGTGAGACCTCAGAGAGAGAAAATAAGCAAGCTGGAGATAGCACCTTGAGGGCCCCAAAATGTTCTGGGGTAGGCCGAGGAGGAGAAGCCAGCAAAGAGACGTAAATAGCACAGGTAGAGAGCGAGAGGGGAGTCCTAGGGAATCAAGATTTTTACCCAAGAAGAGGAAGATCTCCAGAGTCAAGCTTGCATTTGGGAGAAAGAACGTTTGAACCTGGTGACCAGCAGCCACTTTGAATAAGCCTGTGCAACTGAACTGCAAGGGATTGGTGGGTAGAGCAGGTGGAGAAACGGGGGCGGAGCACGTACTCCGCTCTGCTGAAACGAAAACCTGGGCAGGGGACGCTGTCACGTCCCCAAGGACAGGCGAGGGCGTCTCCGGGGGAAGATGGCCTATGTTTTCGCTGGTGACACGTTTTAGAAGGAAATGTTTTTTCACAGTACGGTTTTCTTCCCCAGACTTAATCTAAATCTTTTGCTGTAAATTTTATGCCAAGTTTCTGTTTCCCCAAGACTGTGAAAGATTGAGGTATCATTTACAGAGAATAAAATACGTTCGCGCGTACCGCCCAGTGGGTTTTGGTGCCCACGTGCTCCTGCGGAAGCACGACCTTGCCCCAGACGGCCCGCAGTGACTCGGCCCGCAGTGACTCACGTGCGCTCCGTTCCGCAGGAACACAGCGGCTCCACCGTGCCGTCCATTCTGAACAGGATGCAGACGAACCAGACGCCCCCCACCTACAACAAAACAAACAAGTTCACGCACGGCTTTCAGAACATCGTGGATGCTTACGGAATTGGAACTTACCGAGAGATCAATCCAGGTAAAAAAGCGCGAATCGTTTCTCTCTAGAGGCTTTATTTTCTTGTTGTGTATTACAGTGCATCGCTTTAAATGCTGCTGAACAATTGGCTTAAAACTCAAGATACTGCCCTGGCTGCTGTGACTCGGTGGATTGAGCGCCAGCCTGGGAACCGAGGGGTCGCCAGTTCGATTCCTGGTCGGGGCATATGCCTGGGTTGCAGGCCAGGTCCCCCGGTTGGGGGTGTGAGAGAGGCAGCCGATCAATGTGTTTCTCGCACATTGATGTTTCACTCCCTGTCTCCCTCCCTTCCCCTGTCTCTAAAAATAAATCAATAAAATCTTTAGAAAGAAAAAAACTAAAGCTATCAAGAGCTCAGCCCCAGTGTAATTCCTGAAAAGAGGCGCCCATTTTTCTCCATGAGGAAGTCCCGTTCTCTGGTTTTACAGTGCAAGTTATGGGGAGAACTCTCCCGATTATGAAGCACAAGTCATACAATAGAAATTTGTGTAACATTTTCATAATTGTATTATTAAATGTTGAAAGAAGTATAGAAGTGATCTCATTCAAGCTCCCACCAGAGGAGAAAAACCTTACATATGTAAAGAGGAGGTGGTTTTACAGGAATGAGCTCCTCGGACTGGAGTCTCCCGTGGGCCCTCGCAGCTATAAAGCCACCTCCCTTGCTACAGCACGTCATTTGCAGGAACTGCTTTAAGCAAAAAGTTTTTTCCAAGATATCTTACATTTTAAAATGGCTTCCCTGTTCCAGGTTAGAGAAAACATGGTATAATTATTGACCACATGAGACAGAAAGCAGATTTCTCCCCGGTTTGCAGAGTTAAGTATTAAATCGATAGTCTGAGGATTCGTTGCCAGCTGCAGTCTTCTGCGGCACTTGCTTTGCTCCCAGTTCTGGGCTTCCCCCCCCCTACCCAGTAGCTTTACTCAGCTGGAAAATGGCTGCTGCACAGGAGGAGAAAGCTGGCCGCCTCCTGGGGCAGTGTCCCAGGGGTTAGAAAAAAGGAATTAAAGAACAGAATACATTGTTGCCAACGCCAGAGGCAAAACTCTCACTTCCTGTGTGTTCTTGTGCAAAACGCTGCTTTGTGAGGGAAGCTTCTCTCCAGGATCCATCTGGCCGGCTTGGGAGCAAGTCACCTCACTGTGATCTCAGCATACAGAGAGGGATATGACGTGTTGGGAGTTGTGGTTTTCTGTGCTTTGCCTTTTTCCTTCCTTGGAGTTTTATTAAGTTTTTTAAGCACGGGTGACATGCACCGTTATGTTAGTTTCAGGTGCACCACAGAGTGATTAGACTTACACCTTGCAAAGCGACCACCCTGATAAGCCTGGTACCCACCCACCTGACATCCTTTGGTTTCTTTTCAGCTCCGTACACCATCATCACTTTCCCCTTCCTCTTCGCTGTGATGTTTGGGGACTTGGGCCATGGCATTTTGATGACCCTTTTCGCTGTATGGATGGTGTTAAGGGAGAGCCGGATCCTCTCCCAGAAGAATGAGAATGAGGTAATATTAATTTAAGTCACAGCTGCAGTAGACTGAAACTTCGCAATTTCTCAAGCATTCATTGTGAATATTATGACCTGGAAGTCTTTTATCATGAATTTATGAAGAAATTATGTTCATTTTCACACTTAAAAGAGGCCACGTGCCGTGAAAGTGAAGTTCGAGTTTGTGTTGTATTTTGGTCTTTAATTCAAGCTCTCTGCCCCGGGAGGGGGTAAAAGTGTCTTGTAAATGACATTGTCACAACGGAAGCTCCCGTGAGCACATTTCGTTGACCTCTTCCTTCTGGTCCCCAGATGTTCAGCACTGTGTTCAGCGGACGGTACATTATTCTTTTGATGGGCATGTTCTCCATCTACACTGGCCTCATCTACAATGACTGCTTTTCCAAGTCTCTCAATATCTTCGGATCGTCCTGGAGCGTACGGCCCATGTTTATATCGAATTGGACGTAAGTTGCGAAAGAAGCTGAAAGTCAAAGCTCATTCCTTTCGTAGTCAGCTCTGTTTCAAAAGAGCGCGCTGTCTCTTTGGGCGTTCTAGCCTGGGAAGAAGCTCGTGGTTTGTCCAGCAGTCTCCAGGAACTGAGACCAGATTAGGAACATCGATTCTTTTTGCAAATTAAAAGCAGATTTTCTAAATTCCCTATGTGGCTGTATATGTGTGTTTAAATCTTTTGTTTTGGCTGTTATCGCTGGTCTCTTTTCCTCTGAGATGCTAGCCCCTGTTCTTTTACTGAAGGGACAAGGTGGCTGTAGTAGTTTCTTTTGGAATCAGTTTTCAGACCCAGTAGTTTCCCTCTGTTGATGAAAAAACAAATGCAACTTTCCTCCTGACTCGGCAGGGAAGAGACGCTTCTGGGGAACTCTGTGCTCCAGCTGAACCCGACCGTCCCTGGAGTTTTCGGTGGACCGTACCCTTTCGGCATTGACCCAGTAAGAGCCCTTCCTTCCTCTGTGCCTGACACTGAGATTTCAAATTGTGACCCAAAAGTGAGAGAGTGAAAGTAAAGAGAGTGGTTTGGTTTTTAGTTGACATCCTTTTGGAAAACCTTGGGTGTTCTGTCTAGTGTATTGGAAAGCCAGAAAAGACCCAAGTGCCTTGGGAGCCAAAATAATTCTTCCTGCACTACTTATCTCAGAGGTGACTGATAATATTCGGACTCTGGGAGGAAGGATTTTCAGGACTCCTTCCCAGCTTATCTATTTGAGTTTTATTTTCCACACATGTTTTAACAAAATAGAAATAATTCTTCCCTGTGGGTTTAGATTTCCATTCTTATGTTTATATACTTCTAAGAACTTATCCCAGAATTTAATTATTTTTTTTGAATATTTAGGCAAATAAAGTGTGATTAAATCTTTTGCAGTGTGTGCTTAAGAAAAGGGGGGAGGGCGAACTGAAGAATAAGTGTTCAACAGTAAGGATTATAAAATGCCAGAGCAAAAACGTAATCATGGGCCAGAAAGGTTTCTTGTTAAAATGGGGATTAATAGACTGTGAAGCAAAGTGTCACTGGTTCAATTCCCAGTCAGGGCACATGCCTGGGTTGCGGGCCAGGTCCCCGGTAGGGGGCGCCCAAGAGGCCACCACACATTGATGTTTTCCTCCCTTCCCTTCTCTAAAAATAAGTAAATGAAATCTTTTAAAAAATAAAAGTAGATGGACCAACAGCACCACAGGGACATGATCAGCAAAACAGAGATTGTGGGAACATCTACAGATTACCAACCCAATTTCCTCAATAAATGTTCTGTAAGAAATAAGAAATAAGAAACAAGGGCTGGAAGGAGAACCTACAGAGATTAGAGACATAAGAGTTACATCGACAGTCCTGGTGTAGAGGCCGGATCTGGGACCCTACTCGGAATAAATGAGTTAATTTTAAAAACTTGGGCACAACCAGAGAAATCTGAATACTGGCTATATATTTTTTCAAGATTTTATTTATTTATCTTTAGAGGGAAAGGGAAGGAGAGAGGGAGAGAAATATTAATGTATGGCTGCCTGTCATGCATCCCCCTGCTGGGAACTGGCCTGCAACCTGGGCACGTGCCCCAACTGGGAATTGAACTGCGGTTGTTTGGTTCGCAGGCCCACACTCAATCCATTGAGCCACACCAGCCAGGGCAGCTATATATTTCGTGATATTAAAGAATCATTGTTAACGCTTTGGGGTATGGTAACAGTATTGTGGCCATGTTTTTAAAAAGTCCTTACCTTCTAGAGATCTGCCCTGAAATATTTACAGGTAAAGTGATAGGACGTCTGGACTTCTCTTCACAGTAACCGGAGTGGGGGGTGTCTCGGGGGTATGATGAGACCAGCCTGGCCAGAGCCAGCGACGGGGCGGTAACTGTGCGAGCCAGGTGATGGGTGCATCGGAGCAGTTACATCGCCCCTCCACTGACGTATATGCCTAGAATTCTCCATAATCTTTTTAAAACCCTGTTTTTAAAAAAAATGCATGACTGTTTTTCCACTTGAGCACTCTTTGTGATACATTCCCACTCTCTCGGGTTGTAACAGATTTGGAACATCGCCAACAACAAACTGACCTTCCTCAACTCCTTTAAGATGAAGATGTCTGTCATCCTCGGCATCATCCACATGACGTTTGGGGTCGGCCTCAGCCTGTTCAACCATATGTGAGTTGCCCTGGTTCTGTCATAAGACTGTGCATTGTTTAGAAGATGCTTCTGCCTAAGGAATTTAGGACACTTTGGGGGAGGGATTAGTAGCTCAGAACCCCACTTTATGTATATATTTTTAAGTGCTCTTAAGAAATCTCATGTTCTTAAATGGGATTTACTTAACATTATTCCCTTAGCAATTCAGAATTGCAGTAAAGATCGTTGAGGGAACCTTGTATAATTTTCATCAAAATGAGTGAGGTTTTTTTCCCCTTGATGTGTAATTCACACGAAATGATGAACTGTGCCTTGGAATGTACTAGATTTTCCCGTCTCTCCTTCATGGGAGAATGGTGGGGTGGTGCTGTCCAGAGGCTGGGAAGTCGTAGTTACTTCTACTTGTCTGTGTTGCCTCCAATGCTTCTGGCTGTCGCTTCTTAAAGTGGTAAAGACAGAATTGAGGGTGCGTTAGGAAAAAATCGAGTGAGGACGCCACTTGGTGTCGGCTTGACCCTGGGTCTGTTTGCTTTTCACATTTTTTCCTCTCTTCCTTTTTAGCTATTTTAGGAAGCCTCTGAATATCTATTTTGGATTTATTCCCGAAATAATCTTCTTGACCTCCTTGTTTGGCTACTTGGTTATCCTTATTTTCTACAAGTGGACAGCCTATGACGCCCACACATCTGAGGCAGCACCGAGCCTTCTGATCCATTTCATAAACATGTTCCTCTTTTCCTACGAGGACAGTGAAGACTCAATGCTATACCCTGGACAGGTGCGTCAACCCAGGAACGGACTGTCCTAGGTGTTACCCAAGGCCAAGAAGTGAGATGCTTCTGAGACCCTAAAAAAACTTTAAAAATCCCTTTCTGTAGAATTTGGCTTTCCATTCACATGTCCAGATCTACATTCAGCCCGTCCCCCTTACTGGGGAGGGTCTGCTATAATTTCTGCATCCAACAAGGGTAGGATGATAATTCTCCTCCTGTGGGTTTGTGGGCTTTGCTACATCTTCATGGCACTTTGAGAAACTGGACAGTGTTATTCACAGATCGGTTAGAACGTGCTCTTTGGGGGTTAATTCGTGCTGGAGTGGGAAGCTGCATGTTTGATTAACGTGCGGTGTCTTGTCCTTCTTTGCAGAAAGGGATTCAGTGTTTTCTGGTCGTGGTCGCCTTGCTCTGTGTACCGTGGATGCTACTGTTTAAGCCACTGATCCTTCGTCATCAGTATTTGAGGAAGAAGCATCTGGTAGGTGTATTTCTGTTGCTGAAAGTTACTAGGTTTTTTTTTAAGACCAAGGCAGTTCCTCATTGGATCTGATGAACTGTGCGTACATCTACATACTCTTCAAATGCATTCCTGTCCTACCCTAGCATGAGCGCGGGACCCACTGAAATCAAAAAAGTATGTTTCTGCTGCCCAGACGTCTGGATTCGGTTTTGAGTAGCTCGGGTATAGAGAATAAGTTACACGTTTTTACCTCTCCTGGTCACCTCTTGCTTATTCTGTGCCCAGCAAAACCCAGGCCTGGGTCTGTGTAGACGCAGCATCAGACACAGCAAGGCTGCAAGGGCTGGGACCCCGCTCGTGCGGTGACCACAAGCCATTGTCTTTTGAACTAAGACCGTGATACTTTCCCCAACTAAACATCTGGGGAAAAGCTTTGGTTTGAAGCATGTTGTTTTCTTTTTCTTTTTTTTTTTTTTTAAAAAGCAGCATACATACTTATGTTTACTTAATGTGTGTGTACATATGAATTCTGTACACACACACTTAAGTTGCCAAATGTCCATTTCCAGCTACGCAGCGATGCTTCCTTATCACACTGGTAAAGCCCAGATCTTTCTGCATGCCTCTCATATGGCTGTTGGATGACTGCTCCCGTTGGAGAGCAGCGGAGTTACAAGACCCCCCTTCTCCCTTTTCTGACCATCTTCATCCTTCCATGTACCCCGCATCCGTCTCCCCCGTCACTCCCCCCCCTCTTGTTTCCTTCTCCCTTCCTCTTTTCTTCCGTCCACTATCAGGAAGGGCAACCAGTGGAGGCCCCTGTCAGCCCAACCCCGAGCCAACAGGGACTAGAGGCAGCAGCGGCTGCAACAGTGAGTGAACTCAAACCAATCGCCCATCACGTTCTGTTTAAAAAGGTAGCAAACAGTGCAGCAGAATTCTTTTTAACTATATTGAGAGTGTGGGACATGTACACTGGGAAGTATGTCCTTGTTATTTACTGGGACAACAGAAAAGTTTTCCCCTTCTTAGGGGTAGATTCTGATGCCATCTTTCCCATTGGTCTGCTACGTTCTGTCTGAGTACGTCCGTAGTCATGTCTGTGGAAACAGAGTGGCTGTCGTACCCTCTCCCGAGTCCCATCCCGAGTCTTAATCCAGGATGGCAGCTCCCTGACTCCTCTACTTTCGTGTCTGTCTTTGGTGACCGATGATTGGATGAGTTTTCAGCACGGAGCGAAAACATCTCTGTAATTCTTGAATTCATTTCCGACACTTAACGTGCTACTTCAGAATGACGCTCGGACATTTGGTCCATGTGGCTGTGATGTAACCGTCTCTCCGATGGAAGCTTATACACGTCTGCTTTTTCGTGAAGAGCTCAGTAGCCCTCATGCCCTCAGCCACTCCCGTGAGAGCCCCATCCAGCTGTGTGTCTCGCGTGTACCGTTTGTCTGGTGTGAGGGCCAGACGCGTCCACTGGGCTGCTGTTCCCTTCTTCCCACACGGACTTACGGTTCAATACCAGCACCCCGGCTGTTAAGCATGTCAATATTTGTCCTTCAAAACATCTCTTAACCAAAATCTTAACAACATCCTAACATCAAACTAGTCCAGACTGTTCTAGATCATGGATCTGTAAGATTTTTATGTCTCACCATCAATGAGTGCTCCTGTACTACTGGGCCCTGGTAGCATGTACTCCTTTCAAAGAACAGAAAATACTTAGATGGATCACCATTTCTTTCATCAGGCATTTCTGATCATTTGAAACTTAAGAAAACTACTGTGATCATCCTTCTAGAACTAGTCTAAGAGGTGATATTTTGGATCAGAAGATATTTTAATATTGCTGCTCAAAATTATTTTCAAGCAGGGACATACCTTCTCCTTTCCTGCGAGAAATTTTTTACAAGTACTCAAAGCCCACACTCGTACGATCCATTTATTGGCATTTTTCCCCTGTGCTCTTCTTTCTGCCAGTCCCAGTGTTTTTAAGGGGTGCTTCTCATGCATCAGTCTTAGTGCCTTTGAGTCTGGCATCCTTTTCTTCCCAACTATTCAAGTCAAAAGTCTGTAGCCTAGAAACCTGCACATTCACAGGGCCCTTGTAGCCCACTGGATGGGGGGTTTGTTTTTGTTTGCCAGCCAAACATCTGGTGGGCGGTCTGAAAGCATCGGGGTGAGAGTTCCGTAACAGGGCCCTGGGCTTGACCCCAAGAGCTGCGGATGTGAACACTGACCTGTTTCTGTTCTGTGCTGTGTCCTCTCGGTGGTCCGTGAGCTGTGTATCCCAGTTGAACTTTTTTTCTCTTTTCTGCTGGTGTGCATGTGTCCCTTTCCCCTTCCTGTAACTCTCATCCCCCATGTTCTGGAAGGGCAGCCATTACTGTCAGGCTGGGAGGTTCAGCCTGTCTGCCCCTCACCTTACCCTCTGGCTGCGGGGAGCTCAGGATGGGCCTTCTGCTTCAGGAGCCTCGGAGCTGGCCTCCCATGCCCTGGGTCCCACCCTGGGAGTCCTCTGCTGTCACTCACGCTCTTTGTCACCCTCTCAGCCCACCTTCTGAGGGTTGTTGGGTGTCATGTGTGCGTGACCTGGAGGTGCCCAGGGCTTCGGCGGTTCCCGAACCTGGCTGCACATTAGAACCACCTGGTGAACCTTATATTTGCTTCCAAACAAATTAGTAGGAGAAGAAATAAAAGTGGGGATAATTCTATGAACCAGACAACCCCCTACTGACATTGAAAAGTACAATTAAAGCAACAGGTGCACTCGGTTAGAGAACGCAAGTAAGGGAGCAGTTGGGATCTTGCTCCCAGGATATGTCACCTGTTTGGCTCAAATAAAGTCTTGCAGAAATTTGGAAAAAAAGAAAATGCAAATGAAAGCAAGAAGTGTCCCTGTCCCCAGCACTCTTCTCCTTCTCAAGGAGAAGGAGAATTATGCTTTTGAGTTTTTCTGCATATGTCAGCTTAGATCTGCCATCGATACACGTGTCTGTGTGCATATAGACATTAAATGTTACACATTGGAAAAAAGGAAGAAAAAATAGGAAAAATGAAACACACTAGGAGTCGTGTTTAAACTGGATCTGTTCTGCCCCTTGATTTACGAGGCTGTTAAAAACTGAGTGTCTCCTAGAGGTGGCTTCACAGTGATGCTCTTTTTCATAGTCAACCGGCGCTCCACAGGCCTTTCCGTTGGTTACGCTACAATTATGTGAGCCCTTTCTCACTGATGGGCATGTTCACTGTTCCCAGTTCTTTGCTATTACAATAACAGTGCAGGGCACGTCCTTGTCCTGGACGAAATGCCACACGCCTGTACCCGGCAGTGGGTGGGGTTGCTGTGTCTCAAAGGGCGCACGCATCTTCAATTTTTGACAGACAGTCAAAGCGATTCTACAGTCCGTCCTTGGGGAAATTTCTTTTTAAATACAGATTTCCCAGGCCTCACCCCGAACCTACTACATTAACACTTTCCAGGAGTAGCGTTTGAGAACGTCTACTTACTGAAACGCAGCGTTCGCCGTGATTCTGGTGCCGCGGCTTCTCTAACCAGCAAGTGAGAACCGCTGCCGGAAGGAAGGGACTCTGCCCGCGCTGGAGGCCCGGCGGTCTGTAACCGCGGGGTGGGCCACCGCACCCGCGCCCACGCTGTTGGTGCTGCTCGCGGGGAAGGCCGCGCCGCGGGAGCACCGGCTCCCACTCCCACCTTGTTTGGCCCCCAGACGGAAACCGTAGGAAGTGGGTCTCGGGCGTCTCTTAAGCCCCTCCCTTCCGTGGCAGGCTGAGCACTGATTGGTACCTGCCAGGCTTGACCCCAGTTCTGCCAGGTTTTTGTGGCCACAGGGCCCTTTTGCCTCAGTAAACCCGAGGTTTTCCCAATCAAGTTGATGCAGAAATTCTGGCTCCGGAGGCCCCACTGAAAACTCTGCCTGAGAAGTGAACAGAAGCAAACAGCCCATCAGTATCTGCCCACGTGCCTATGAAAGACTTGTTTTCACACTCCAGAATCCTCCACTGAAGGAAGGGAGTCTTTGTTCTTGTTTCAAAACTTGGTATTCCCTAGCCACAAGCTTATTTATGTACAGTGAGGAAGCCCTTTGCTCCGGGGCAGAGACGCCGCATATTTCTGGGAGAGGTTTCCGGAACCCTTGGGGCTCCTGTCAAAAGCTTATCAGACCAGGTTACAACCACCCTGTTTGTCATTTGGTGCCCCTCCCTCTTAGAAAGTCTGCTCTTCAGTTCAGCTCCAGAAAAACTCAGGCCATCGAAGGCTTCACAGATAGAGCCCTGCTTGTTAGGAGAGTCTGTTCGTACCGAGCGTCCCCGCTGGCGCAGGCCTTTCAATGAGCAGTGACCATGGCGAGGTTGGTGTCTCTCGGTGCAGCAGGCGGAGCTGCACGCATCCCTCCCGCTGGGAAGTGGTGGTGCACGTGGCTAGGGCCGGGGCCCGGGTAGCGGTGGCCAGGGCGGGGACCGTGGTGCATTCTGACTTAGCCAGTCGACCAGCGGGTTTCGTTTTTGTTGTTAGCATATATGCTTTTCTGAGGTTTGTATGTACTAACCTTCGCCCTCCCCCCCTCACAAAATGTCACATTAAAGCCCAGGCAAATTCTACTCTTTCTGTTCATGTGTGTAGGGAACTCTCAACTTTGGTGGGATCAGGGTGGGCAACGGACCGACAGAGGAGGATGCTGAGATTATTCAGCATGACCAGCTCTCCACCCATTCAGAAGATGCAGAAGAGGTAAGATGCAGTGGCGTGGGCCTCCTCTCCTTCCGCCCCCGGGTCAGCCCTAGTCTGTGTCTCTACGTGGCCTCACTCCAGTCTTCTCCTTGAAACATGGAAATACTAACGCTAATGCTCAGCCCGCCTTTTGGACCTCTCAGGGCCGCCCCGCTCCTCCCAGCGGGCCCCTGCTCCAACCCCCAGGTGCTGCCCGCCCAGCCCGCAGCCGTTTTGTTCTGGTCTTCGACTTCCCTGAACTCTGAGTTGCATGCAGAGCTCCACTACTAACTGCTCTCCTGGGCACCCGGCAGGACAGGCCGCGGCCGCCCAGCTCTCCGCGGCCACGCAGCCCACGTCTGCGGCGTCCTCATCCCTTGCCCCTTCCCAGGATGGTTTCCGTTGGAACTGTAGTCCCTGTCACTTTTGAAGCCCTGTCCCGATGTGCTCTTGTCACAGGTACTTTACTGGGGCCTGTTCAAAATGTCACTTGCGTACTTTTTATAGGGAGACTGCACTTTCCCTAAATCTCCAAGCTCCGTTTTTGGACACGCAGTCTCCTTGGCCGACCATTCGCACCACGAAGCCTCTGAACTTTGGAATCTCATCCATTCGTTATATTCTTTTCAAAGCAAACAGAACAGGAGTTGAGGACGGGGCTTTTCCATCTGGCTGACCCCTCTTGCCACGCATATGACTTTTTAAGAAAGTAACGGCAACAAGCATGCGCAGGCTCTAGACCCTGCTGGTTTTGCTTTCCGTGTGTGCCGAGGAGGCCCGCCCCCCACCTCGCTAGACCCCTTTAACACTCACCGCCCTCCCCGGAGAAGCGATCGGGAGTCTTGTGTTCGTGACTTGTGACCTTGCGTGTGCCCCGGCCCCCCACTAAGTGTCACTTTGTGTTTTCAAGCCTGCCGAGGACGAAGCGGTAAGAAATGGGCTGCTTTGCCTTCATGTTTATCTGGGGCTCCTCTCCCCGTCCTTGTCACTTTGCTGAGCCTGCTGCATCCGGGGGCCACACGCGACACCCGCACCCCCTGCATCTCACTGGCCATTTCTAACCCAGCGGTGAACCCGCGCTCTGAAAACGCTCGTCTCCATTCACTGCATCTCATGTCGGTCACCTCTGTCTTTGTTTCATTGACTTCACTGATCTCATACCTCTGAGAATGGCTTTGTAAGGGGCCACAAGTAATGTCCGCAGCGGCATTCTTGAAGTGACGCCCCTCAGGGGTTAAATCCCACTGGCTTCTGCCTGCCTCTCCTGAGTGCCACGTTCTGTGTGGTCTGTGGTCGGTCGCTCTGCCACTGGGAGCAGCTGTCTCTTCCCTGATCCTCTGAGTGCTCCTGGTAAGCCTCCCCTCCCTCCCTGTCTGAGATGCAGCCAGCCTCTTCCTGCTGCCTTCATCGGCTTGCTGATGCTTGAAGTGAGAACCGCTGCACCCTTGCTCAGGGTCGGCCCTGCCTCTGTGGGACCCGGGTGGGAGGTAGGCGGCTTCCGAAAAGAGGCTGTGCCTCTTAGATGCATCCCAGAAAAAAGCAATGCATCCGCACGAAAGGAGTTCACATTAGATCAGCCACACACGCAGCCTAACAACAGGGAGAAAGAAAGTTGGCTCAATGTTCGGGCCACGCCGAAGGAGGCCTTCTGGCTCCGTGAGAATTCATTCCGTAACAGACGAGTCTGGAGCTGGGTTTTTAAAAGGCCATGCTGCACTGTTTGCATCTTCCTCTCCCGCCAAATTTTCCTCTCAAATGCTTACCTTCCCTTTCCTGCCTCGCCTGGTCCTCTGCAAGGGGGCAGTGGGATGGGAAGGGGGGAACCTTTGCAGTTTGGTGTAGAAACAGACAGTGCTCGGCCCGCCCAAAGGCCAGGAGGTTCTGTGGGCCTCTGGACCGCCCACCGGTGCCCAGTCTCTGGCTGAGCTGCCTGGAAGGGCTGGGGGGGCGCCTGCTGCACATTAGCGAGGTGCTCAGCCCTCTCCCAATCACGTCACCTCCGACAATACTGCTCGCTCTTAGCGTCTTAGACTCACTGAGCACCCAAATGTCACCGTCACGGTCAGAACAGCCCTTACTTGTAACCACGTCCCAGGGGGCTGGACATCCAGACGAGACGGACTGTAGTTCAGCTGTCCCAGTCACCTCTGACGCCCCCTCCCCACGGCTCCCTCAGGGGTTCTCTTTCTTGTAGCTTCCTAAGCAGACATAACACTTTATCGGGAATGTACACAGTTGAGTTCTCGACGGCCAAAGTTGGGTAGCTGTCACAGTTATCTAAAGATTTCAAACAAAACAGATTTTTTTAAAGTCCAGCCTACTTCTAGAGCTTCCCCATTTGGCTTGGCTGTGGAAACCCGCTGGCCCCAAGCAGGCCGTCGCCCCAGCCCGGGGGGAGCAGCTGCCCCCCTCCCGGGGGTGCACACAGTGCAGCGGCAGACCAGGCAGCTGACCGGGAAACCTTTGAAGCCGGGACCGCTCAGCTGGGGTCAGTGGCCTCTCCCTCCTGTGTCACCTCATCATCAAGTTCATCCCACCCACCCATTCATCCGCCTGGCACACGTCGAGCTTTCTGTGTAATGAGGCGGAAACTGAAAGAAGAAAAACATAGCCCTGGCTTTCACGGAACTCCCAGACAAATTGAGGAGACCATCTCGATGACAGACAGACGCTGTGACCCAAGCGAGCCCAGGATGCTGTGGCAACACAGGAGGGCACCTGGAAAACACAGGAGTCGGGGCAGGGAAGGGGCGGCCAGGAAAGGGTTCCCCGGGGAAGTATTGCTCCTGCTCAAGCAGGAGGCTCTGTGGAGGGAGGAGGGGATGCAGAATCGTCGGTATCCATAGTCACTGCAAAGACGCAGAGGCCTGCAGGCCTCAGGGCTGGGCGATAGGCAGGTATTCAGCCCGGCTGAAGCTCAGAGTCAAGGTTTGGGGAACTGGTGAGTGCTGAGGCTGGAGGTTGGTAGAAATGAGCCACAGGTGGTTTGGACAACAAGGAGCCATTAGGTGGCACTGGAAGTGACAGTAAATGTGCCCCAGTGGGGCGGCAGGGGGACAGCCGCTCTGCCATGAGCCAGGAAGGAACTAGGCCTGGAGAGAAGGCCTGAACAGGTAGGGACCCACAGGAGACTGAGGACGTAAAAGCTACAGGCCCCGGTGCCTTGACGGATGCTGGCGGTCAACAGTGACTGCCAGGCTTGGGTTCCTGAGACGGGTAGTGACACTGCTCAGCATGGGGCGTGAGTGGACTGGAGGTAGGTCTCGGTGGGGTCCGAGGACAGCAGTTACCTAGTTTCGCCTGGGGGCTTTGAGCTGAATGCCGGTGGTGCACCGGGTGGCCACAGAGCACAGCTAGCTGGGGACGGGGAACGTGGGAGCAGAGGTGCCCATTTGGAAGTCACTCCGGGGGCGGCCTTGGAGCCTCGAGTGGCAGTGGGACAGGAAAGATGTCAGGCCTGAGGTCGGGGCTCCCACGTTTAAGGAAGAACCAAGATGGAGATGGAAGGGGCCTCCAGAGGAAGAGGAGGAAAACGTAGGGGAGGCGAGTGTCTCCAGAGGGAGGAGGAAAAGGCGGCAGAAGTGGACACTGCAGAGGCTCTGTCAGGACACAGAGTGGACCTCATGCTGGGAGGTCAGGGCATGCAGCCCAGAAGGCCCGTTTGTGGGGTGTGGGGGGCGGAGGCCGAGACTCAGCGGTGACGGGGAAGGGAGACGGGGTCTGCAGCAGTTCGTGGTCAGTCATGGCCGACACATCAGGGCGTCTGCATGAGACTCCCTGAACACTCACCCTTTACCTTCCCTCATCACACAGAAGACTTGCCCAAGGTTATAAAGCAGGCAGTTAAAAATGAAGGACAGGAGAAAGTCCAGGCAACGCCTGGAAGGGAAGCTTCCTCGTCCTTCCTTTTTTTTTTTTTGTGGGAGGAACTGGAGGTGGGATAAAAGTGCAGGGCGTGGCTGGCCCTAAGAGAGCTCAGCACTGACTGCTCTTGGGAGTGAAGCCCTGGGCTCCTTGAAGCCGGGGGCCTCTCCTTCCTCTGAGCACGGGTTTTGGGGCGACAGGCAGCAGGGGTGGGAGCAGCACTGTTGGGGTTGAGGTAGCTGGGGTACCCTAGTTTTTGGAGTCACTAGGTGGCCTGACGAGCTTATTCCGGAAGAAGAGCTCTGGGGTGCTCTGGGTGACCCCAGAAGTGAGGGAAATGAGGCAGCTGCTCAAAGACTGTGCCTTGGAGCGGGTCCCTCTGCCCGCTGGCCACACCCCGGAGGCCAGGGCTGTGGGCCTTGCCCAGCCCAGCCCCTCCTCTCGTCCTGCCCTCCCCTGACTTCCCAGGCAGTTCTGGTATGAGGTCTTTGGGTGTGGAGTCATGTGAGTCTTGAAACTAGTGAAAAATAGACTCTGACCTGAGGGCAGGGCAGGCCGGGGAGGCCCGCAGGGCAGCTGCCCTCTGCCCCCCGGGGGTCTGGGCCAGGCTGTGGGGAGGGGCCCGGGAACGGAATGACCTCTAGTTCTCCAGCAGCTGTGGGTCTCCCCCGCTGGGAGAGCCGGAGGCCAGAGATGCCCCTGTGCTTCCGGAGCATCTGTGTTCTTCCCCAGCTGTGCATGGGGCAGCCCCGAATGTGAGCTCCCCACAGCCTGCTCCAGCCCTGCCCCTTTACTCTGGAAAGAACGGTGACGTTGAAAGGGAGACTGGGAGAAAGGGAGTGTGAGGAAAACAGAAACGCCATCCAGTAGAGCAGGGGCATCCAACTCATGTTCACTGGGGGCCACATCAGCCCCGCTGCCTTCACAGGGCCCAACGTGGAGCTCCTTGTTCCTAGGTAAGGAGCAGTTACATTTACACAGCCCTAAAATTTCATCGGGCCCTTTGAAGGCAACTGTCAGGCTGACGTGGCCCCCAGTGAACACAAGTTTGACGCCCCTGCCGTAGACAGTCTGCCCGGTCTTAATAAACTGTCCAAGTAGCAATCAGTAAAAGTTTTGCTAACGTTTCCCTGTGTCATCTCTTCAGAAGTCACAAAAAAAAGGGGGGGGGGGAGAGAAAAGAAAAACCTTGCTCCCAATAGTTTGTAAAATAATTGAGTGAAGGGACTGTAGAGATTTGGGGCCTCGCAGCTGGGAGGGCCCTTCCTGCTCTCCTGCAGCATCCACAGCGGGCGCTTCCCCTTCCCCCCGGGCACCGGTGGGTGGGCGGCGGGTGGGAGTCGGGTGGGAGTCGGCTAGGGCAACGCGGGAGTCCAGACGGTCTTATTCTCTGAGCATTGTCGACTTGCACATACACTCTGCTTAAGCTCACGGCCTAGCAGGGAAAAAAACGAAATGTGTTGGGAAGACTCTCAGGACGACGTAGTTCATTAAAATGTAGCGTATCAAGGGGAGCAGGAGTGTCCCCGTCAGGGTCGAAGCCAGGCAGGCTCTCCGGGGACGGCATAGCTGCTGTGAAGCTGATGTCACCACCCGAGTCCAACGCTGGGGCATCCTGGCCATGGAGCCCAAAGCACCACCTGGCCACAGCCCAGACTTCCTCACACCCCTCCAGCCTTACCCCTCCTGTCTGGTTTCCTCCACCGCAGTTCGACTTCGGAGACACCATGGTCCACCAGGCCATCCACACCATCGAGTTCTGCCTGGGCTGCATCTCCAACACCGCCTCCTACCTGCGGCTCTGGGCACTCAGCCTCGCTCATGCACGTGAGTGTGTTTCTCTTGGGCGGAAACCGGTGGTTGCCCCCTTCTCTGGGCACGCTCCGGTGGTGGGGTGGGTGGATGGCTGAAAGAGAGTGGAAATTACGCAAAGGCTCTGGGGTTATTCAGACCCCGAAGTGCAGACAGAGTGATGTCCAGATGGCAGAGTCAGCGCTTCTGCCAGGTTAGCCACGCACAGTGGTCCCACCAAGGTCGTGGGGAGCCAGGATGCAGGGCGAAGTGCAAGGCCCACAGGGACCATTTTGTCTGCGACAATGACCCGGATGTCGTGTCTCTCTCCCGGCCCCCAGAGCTGTCTGAGGTGCTCTGGACCATGGTGATCCACATCGGCCTGAACATGGAGAGCCTGGCAGGGAGTCTGGCGCTGTTCTTCATCTTCGCCGCCTTTGCCACGCTGACCGTGGCCATCCTCCTGATCATGGAGGGCCTCTCCGCCTTCCTCCACGCGCTGCGGCTGCACTGGTGAGGGGAAGGGAGGGGTGGGGGGGGCAGGGACGTGTCCTTGGCTGCACTGAGGGCAGCTTTGCTCCTGTACAGAATCCAGAGACACTAGGAAGTGTCTGCTTTCACATCCTCACAGCCAGGGGCCTATCTTAGGCGTGAGCTTCAGGAAGTGCCCACAGACGAGCCCAGCTCGCTTTTCAGCGCCCAGTGGGCCTCGTCCACCCCCTCTCTGCCTTCCCGGCATTCCCCAGCACTCTTGATGATGGCTTGGGAGATCTGCTGAGGTTTTACTTCGTGTTTGTTTGTTTGTTTGTTTGTTTGGGGTTTTTCTTGCTCTGGCGTAGAACTTTCTCCTGTCTTCGGAGCAGCGGAAGCAGCTCTTGATCCTAAGCCCAGGGAAGTGCTAGAGCGCAGTGTTGCACTCATGCTTTGTCCCATTTCTGCTCCACACTTGTGTCTTTGAGTAGGACCCCCGCAGCTCGGCGTGGGTGGCAGATTCCCGCTTTCCTAGCTGTGTCTTAGTGCCCTGAAGCAGCTTTGGGGTGGGGGGCAGGTCTGTTTGTTTTCTCTGACATCGTTCCTTCGTGGCTGTGAATGGCCCTGTGTAGTCGGGGAGAGGTCGGCCCAGGGAGTGGGAGAGCTCAAGGCTGGGCTGGGCTGTGACCTGTGACCTCCAAGTAGGGTTGCCAGACTCAGCAAATACAATTACAGGACGCCCAGTTAAGCTAGAACCTCAGATCAACAACAAATAGTTTGTCTTTGGAGTTTAAGTATTTTCCAGGTGTGCACGGGGTGCCCTTACACCGCAGCTGTGTACCTGCCTCCCCTCCTCCTCGAGTCCCCATTTCCTCCTTTATGCTGTGATTCTTCCTTACGGGGTCTCCACCCCCAGTGGTTCTGGAAGCCCTGGACCCTCTCTCCAGAGAAACACCCCCTGCAGTGTGCACACCCACAGTTTTACTAGTTTAGGGGTTCCCAAACTCACTGACCTGAACTTAGAAATCCCTGATCTGTGATCTGTGGTTTTAATGATCTCAGGGTCAGAAGAGGGGTTTGAAAGTCTCTATCCATCACTAATCTAAACCTGAAGAAAACCCAGAATCTGAACCTGAGAAACTTCTTCCCGCACCCCTTAAATTGATTTTTGTCCTGGTGCTGATACAGCTGAGTCTCGTAAAGGTTCCGCTGTTCGCTGTTCTAAATCACAGAGGAGCAGCGTGAGGCACGTCGGGGGAGAGGGGCCGGGACTCAGCCTTCCCCCAAAAGCTCCTGGCCGGCTGTGCCGGCACCTGTGGCTTCTCAGTGCCAGGCCCCCTCCCCTTCTCCCTCCACCCTCCCGGGTTGTTTTCTGTCCAGCCCGAGGCTGGCCGCTCCCCTGCCCGCAGCTTATCTGCCGCGCACACTTCCTCGGCCACAGCTGCTCCACGGGGAGGGGGACCGTCCCTGGAGCCAGCCTGCCGTGACTCACTTTTTCTTGTGCTCTTGGCTTCCTTCCTTCCCCGGTCACTTCTCTGTCTCCCGAGCCCTGGGATTGCGGGACCAGTTATCACCCCACTTTGATCCCGGGTGGGACGGGGTGGGGGGCAGCCGAGGTGCTGGGCCCACCACGGTGTGGGGCAGGGAGCCTGGGCAGGGGCGAGGTCACGTTCTGTGGCGGCGGGAAGGGTTACCTCGTCTGCAGGCTCACCTGCGGTCTCCCAGTGAAGGCGTCTTCCCTCATCCTCGCAAAGGAGCCGAGGAAGTGGCCTGTTGCGGGAGAGCCGGCTGCAGAACCAGGCCTGCCTGGCGGTAAAGCCCGGCTCTGCCCGCGCTGCCCGAGGAAGCACGCGGCTCTCTGAGCCGCCCGCTCTCTCGTGGGACGAGACAGGCAGCGTCACGGCCAACAGGGTCGCCGCGATCGCACACGACCTGCTCTGCACAGCAGGCGACTCTCCCTGCGCCCTGGTGCAGTGCACGCTGCTGGTCAAGCGCAGGTCAGGGCGGCCCCGCCTAAAGGTGGGGTGCCCTGTGCAGAGGGCGCCTGGCCGCGGTGGCTGGTAGAGAAACTGCGTTTAGTCTGTTTAGAGAAGGGGAGACCCCCGGCCGGCGGGAGGGAGGGAGACACCCCGTCAGGAGCTCGTCAGGTCCCCCCACCGAAAGGAAGGGAATGAAACCGGTGCCCGCGCACCCCCTGCTGGCCAGACGCGGACGTGCGCCCGGGGTGCTGGGCCCGCTGGGCCCGGACGCGCTCGGGGCCGTGGCCATCTTGTGAGGCCTGAGAGCGGCTGGTCCTGCTGGAAATGGCTGCGGGGACACGGTTGCCGCTTCTCCCGGTGTCCAGCCTGGACGTCTTTGTACCTGTCACCTGACCCCTGGTGTTCAGCTGGGCTTTCCTGATTCTGACGCAGCAAAGGCTGCCCCCGTTGTACAGGTTCTGGGTCCCTTCCGTGGGGACAAGAAGAAAAACCTGTGATTCGATAACGAATATAAACCGCTAGTAAGACCCATGCAGGGTCAGGAGGAGCTGGGTGACCTTTGAAAACAGCAGTGGGCAGGTCAGCGCACCAGCCTGCTAGTTCCGTCGCCCTCTGAGCCGTCCTGTTCTCCCACCAACTACCCCCAGTGGGTGAGCTCTCCTGTCTCGCTAAGGAGCTGTCTTTTCTTCTCCAGAACTGGCAAGAGCAGCGATATGACGAGTAGTTACAGTGCTGCCAGACCAGGGGCCTGGGCCCGGCCGGGGTGTGTGGGTCCTTCACTTCGTGCAGGGAAGACTGCACAACACGAGTCCAGGTGGCCGTGAGGACACGTTTACTAAAGCTGGGGACAGTGACACAGGAAGGGCTGAGCATGGAAGAAGCAACAGGAGAGCGTGGGCGGGGCTGCCTCGGCTCACTGGGAAGGCAGAGAACAGGGGGCCCTGGGGACAGGTTCAGGGGGTCAGCTGGGGGTGGGCTGCTGCTGCTGCGGCTGCTGCTGCATTGCTGTCCTGGTTGCAAGTTCCTCTGAGTCCAGGAGCCGCGCCTGTGGGGGAAGAAGAGGAAAGGAAGGGCGAGTGCGTGGGCCCTGGCTCCTTTGTCTCCAGGCTTTTATCTCTCTCGCAGGCAGGAATCTTAGGGGAGGTCTCAGGGGAGGGTTCCAGTAGAACATTCCTCAATTCTCCAGGTGTGGCCCTTCTGGGGTCGTGGTCTCCACTGATTGGTCAGTGACAGGCAGGCAGAGGGTCTTTAGTCTTTGTAGTTAGTCCTGGCATCGCCTACCTGGTTTTGCTGCTTTTCTGGGCCTGGAGCTGAAACAAAACTGACACCTAGATGTCATCTCCAGGGAGGTGACTCTATCTGGCTGTAAATTGCCCCTCCAGTTTGTCCAGCCATCTGCCTCAGCTTCCCCTTCCACTTGTTCTGGCTTACTGGCCTGTCTCAATAACCATGGATACCAAGCTGATTTTAGCAAAGCAACTGTGGCCCCGTGGCCTACCTCCTCACCTAGCAGAGCCCACACACGTGGAGGTGTGCACACCTGCATGCTCAGGGCGGTCAATGGCAGCCGGGGCGGAACCGGGCCCAGTGTGTTGGGAGGAACACAGTGGTGCCTCTGCAGACACCTAGGCACCAGCGAGCGCACGGCTGCCCAGGAGAAGTGAGCACTCCCGAAACGGAGCCCCAGCCAGACAGCCCAGTCGGACCCTTGGGCCATCAGACAGACGGGCATGTGTTTCCCGCCCTGTGCTGTTCCTCAAGTGACAGAAAGGATCAGAGAAGCAGCCGGACCTGGAATCCTTTTTCTAAAACCACGTCCCCCCAGTCACACCCTGCCAGGAAAGGGAAGAGGGCCCAGAACTCCTTCTCCTGCACCCCGTCAAGGAAACAAGGTTTCCTCTTACACTGCAGGGGCTGACTCTCTGGGGCTGCCAGTCATCCTCTGGGCCACCGGGTGGCCTTTGCCAGGCGCTGCAGCTGGAAGGGGTGACAGCACCTCATCTGACTGCCTGGGCCGTCCTCACAACTATGGGGTTCGGAGGTGCATTTTAGTGGCTTGGAGCTTGGCGTGGCCCGGAGGCTCGCCAAACAGAGCCCAAAGGAAGGAAACACTTGCGTGGAGGCCAGCGGGCCCAGCACACAGAGAACTTCGTGTTCGTACTTTCTCAGGAAGCACACGTTTCCCTGGTTTGAAGGGCGAGGAGGGTGGGGAGGCCGACAGGGAAATCGCCTTCCAGCTCGTGCCAGGAGGCTGGGTGAGCACGGCCGAGGAGGCAGGTGAGGTCAGCCCGAGCCAGAGTCATGCAGAGGGACAGCAAGAGAAGGGTGGTGACCCCACGGGCATCTGAAAACTTCTGAAGCTTCTCCTCCATTCGCCCAGTTTGTGAGATTAGCCAGCCAGGAGGTCAGAATTCTGACTCCTCCAGGGCCCGAAGGTGACTTGCCCACCATCTGGCTACGTACTGTTGAATGGGAGTGGGACCCGTCCACGTATTTGCAGTTGTTCAGAAACCCCTCACCACGTGCAGACCAGCCTACCCACGGCGAAGAAGTCAGACCTAACGGCAGTGGGCCGGAAGCAAGCCCCTGCCCCTCTCCACCGCCTGCCCCAGAGGCGGCCGTAGCTGGACTTCTGAGGAGTGCCGGGGCGTGGGTGCGAATCCAGGTCCTGGGTGGGAATCGCTCTGGCCTGGAGTCCTGTGACTGACTAGTTTGAAACTCCCCCTCCTGCATCCCATTTTCCCTGGGAGCATGGCCCAGGCACTGATGGGAATTCCCCAGCGTCTGGGAGGCTGGGGGACCCTGGCCCGGCCCCTGGACTGTGGGCTGGGGGAGAAGGCCGCCCACTCCTCCGGCCCCACAGAAAACTCTTCTCCCCAGGGTGGAGCTGGCAGTTCTGCAGTCGGCGTCCTCAGCCAGCACCCACAGCCAAAGGGGCCTCTGTGGACCCCTCAGTGCCACCCACAGACAGTCCTGGTGCCCACAAACGGGGTGACGGCCCCAGGCCCCCCTCCCCATACTTGTTGCTAATTCCCACGTCCTGCACCGGCCTGCCCCAGCCCCAGCCCCACCTGTTCTTGCAGGGCTTCTGCCGCCCCCGGGGTCACATAGCCCTGAGTGGAAACTATTCCTCAGGGCAGCTCTCCTTGGCTTTTCTATCCTCTGAATCACGCATTTTTTCTGCCCTTATTTGGTGCTGATTTGGTTGCTGGGCAGCCGTCCAGGGCGTCTGCAGGGGGGGCACAGCCAAGGAAGCTGGCTGTGCTCTCGGGAGCGCGCCCTCCTTCCTGCCCCCCGAGCTGGAGAGGGCCCCAGGGAGATGGGCGGGCCGAACGCTGGGCTGCCTGGGGAGGGAGTCAAAGCTCTGTTTTTCCTTTCAGGCCCCAAGAGAAGAATTCTTCCTCAGATGTTTTTGTAGTTGGAGCATATTTTTGCACCATGGCTTTGAGGAGACTTCCCCTCCTGACTCACCCCCTTTCCTGGGAATTTCCTCCCCTAAATCCAAAGCCTCCAGTGTTCACTCAGAAACCTCCCTTCTCCTTCCTCCCCGCAAGGAAACAAACAAGCAAGAAAATAGTGGGGCTGGAGGGGTTCCTGGAGCTGAGCTCGCAGCCGCTTGGGGGCTTCCCTCGGAGGTCTGCCGCGAGCCTTGCCAGGCCACGGAGTCCGGGAGGCTGGTAGAAACTCGCGCCCGCCAACTCTGCACATGGCTCTCTGCTCAGCAGGGCAGAGCAGGCGCCGCTCGGGCCAAGGGCAGGCCCTGGGCATCAGACGCAGGGCTGTGTCAGGAGTCACAGGTTTGGGCTTGGTGGGCTGGCAGGGACAGCCCTCGGGGGCAGGGCAGCTCCCCCAAGCTCATCTAGGAAGGCAGGGCCTCCGGGAGCACGGGGTCGGGCATCTTTCTAGCCCGACTGTGAAATCCCAGGTTTCTGTGGGATGACGACCTCCCTCTTCCCTTTCCCCAGGGTCGAGTTCCAGAATAAATTCTACAGCGGGAACGGATTCAAGTTCCTACCCTTCTCCTTCGAGCACATTCTGGAAGGGAAGCTTGACGAGTGAGCCCCTCGTGGGGCTGTGTGCCTGCTGCCCTCCCCCACTCCCTCCGTGGTGATTAGCTGTGTCTCCTCTTGCGTGTTGGTTGTGATCCCTGGATTTCGGGGCATTTGAGTCATCCTTGCCACCCACCCCCAGCCACCTGTGGGTCATTTAGATAGACCCAGCCCTCCCCCGGGTCCCCTGCCGCCTCAGCTTGGTGTGTTGACGTGCAGTGATTTTCTAGAGAAGCTGGGCTCTGGCTGTCGCACTCCTGGGCACCACCAGCCTTGCCCCCCACCCCTCCCCACCCCTCATTCCTCATCCAGCCAAAGGCAGCTCCTCTCTGCCCCCTGGTGGTGCATTTACACATGAGCTTGAAGCCCATGGGGGGAGGGCCTTCCCCACCCTCACCCAGACTCGGAGCTTCTGTTCCGGCCGTTCTAGTTCTGGCTGCAGTGGGGGTGCCACTGGGGTGCTGGCGCGGGTCCCAGAGGATGGTGCTTCTGTCCTCCATCTCCCAGCTCCAGTCTTCAGAGCACTTGGTAATCAGGAATTCGGCTGGAGTGATGGACCCCACTGTGCCATCATGCATGGCTTCTCTTGTCACCCCCAAAGGTCCCAGGGAACCCAACACCACCTTCCTAATCCCCATTCTATACTCATACCCACTCCTCCTTCCTCCCAGAATCCCCTTCTTTCCCTTCCCCATTTGCACCCTGCCTAATAGCACAGCTGGGAGTGACCCAAAACCAGGGTCCTGGGGAGCTGCTGCTCAGGTCCTGGGTGGGCCCTGCCACAGCACACCCTCTGGGCAGAGGGTTTAAATGGACCCTCTTCCTGGTGCAGACCCTGAGGCTGTTCCCCACCCCCAAATCATGAGTCTCGAGTGAAGAGCTAGTCCACAGGGGCGGTTCTCTGCCAGGCCAGCCTTGCTCTGCCCACTGGTGCCCTTGCCCATTTCCACAGGGAGCCCCGAGTTGCAGGAGTGAGGTCCTGGGCAGGGAAGGTCACTGTCATTTGCAGTTTTCTGACTGGAGGCTGTGAGAGCTGCACGGCCCTGCCTGTGAGCTGGTGGTGAGCACCCCCAAGGGGCCGGCTCCCCTGTCACCCCCACACCGGCTGTGGGTCTTGGGGCCTTTTAAGCACTCGGCAGCCCTGGCTGCGTCAGCTAAATGGATCCAGTCCCTTTCAGCGCTGAGATAACCCCCGAGCCAGCCAGGCCCTGTCCTCTTCCCACCCTGACTTGCCTGGGTGAGCTCCTTCAAGCCGCTCACTCAGCTCCCCAGGGCGGGCCTGGCCCTGGCTGCAGCACCCACCCCAGGTGCCCTGTGCTGGCCAGTGCGACCTGCCCGGACCTTGTGTGGAGGCCTACCCCCCGTGCCCCCTGCGGTTTACGTGATGATCTTTGTTCTGTTTACAGTGAGGCTTGAAGCCAAGTTCTGTGTCAGGAACCTGGCCCAAGGCCCCCCTGTTGAAACATTCCTGTGCTGAATAAAGTGTGTTTGACCCCGAGGAGAAGGCTGCCTGTCTGTGCTCACACTCTCTCCCCTCCCTCCAGCATCACTGTCTCTCAGCGAAGGCCACAGCAGCAGTGGCCCTAACGGGCAATCAGTTTGTGAAATTCTCACCTTATCTCAAGTTTCACAGGCACCTTCCACTCCTATGAGCCAAGGCAGCTTGGCAGGCACTACATGTGGTGGGGAGGGGACGTGGGGCCCCGGCTCCATCTCCCCTTCCCACACTCCCCATCCAGCCAGCAGGGGCTTGTGGGGGTCTGGGCATCTGCCTGCCCTCTCCCTCTTTTCCAGTTGTGCTCTTCAGGACTCCGTAGCCTGGCTGTTGTGAGCCCTGATGCCCTTGGCCTTGGTGTGTGAGGCAGCTCAGTGTGCAGTTTCTCAGGGCAGCTGGAGAATGCAAGGTGCCAAGGTGGGCAGGTGGCCAAAAAGCCTGCAGACTGTCCGTGCAGGCAGGGTGGGCAGGGAGGGCACCTTCTGCCTCCTAACGCCATGTAAGGCGTCCACATTCTTTTCCAGTGCCCTCCCTCTGTGCTCCTCCCTCCTGGGGCCTCTGGGGCAGGGGCTACGAAAGGCATGTGGGCAGCAGGCTGACAACTGGGGCTCCAGAAGGGGCGGACACCCTGTTCACTGTGTGTGCCCACCCCCTCCCCCAGCCTCAAGCTCACTCCGCCCTGGCAGGCCGGCTGCCCTGGAGTAGGCCCGGGTGCAGCTCCCCTGGCCTGGCTCCTCCTGAAGTCCAGAAAAGAAATTCAGGTAAATGAACTCTTTTAGCTTCTGCTCTGTTACTGGCTTAAAACAGGAGGCCTAATTAAAACAGATATGAGGAATCAATGGAATAGAATTGAATTGAGAAGCCAGAAATAAATCCTAACTTTTATGGTCAATTGATTTTCCACGAAGGAGCCAAGATAATTCAATAGGGAGAAAGTCTTTTCAACAAATGGTATTAGTACCACTGGGTGTCCACGTGTGAAAAGACTGAATTTGGACCACGACCCCACACTCTATACAAAGTTCCCTCCAAATGAGCCATGGACCTAGAAGTAAGAGTACAAACTAAATAAAACTCTTGGAGGAAATCATGAGTCTTCATCCTGACCTTGGGTTAGGCAATGATTTAGATACAACAAATGCGTTAGAGCCCCTGGCTGGTATAGCTCAATGGATTGAGCGCAGGCCTGCGAACCAGAAGATCGCGGTTCAGTTCCCAGTCAGGGCACATGCCTGGGTTGCAGGCCAGTTCCCAGCAGGGGCCAGTTCCCAGCAGGGGATGCACCAGAAGCAACCATACATTGATATTTCTCTCCTTCTCTCCTTCCCTTCCCCTCTAAAGATAAATAAATGAAATCTTTAAAAACAACAACAACAACAAATGCGTTAGATACCACAGCAAAAATGCAAGTGGTAAAATGTAAGTTGTGCTTCAGCAAAATTTTAAAACTTTTTGCTTCAAAGGACAGAATTAAAATGTTAACACTGGGGGACAATACTTGCAAATCATGCAGTTGAACACTGAATAACATATTTGAACTGCGCGGGTCCACTTATACTTGGATTTTCTTCAATAAATACACGGTTGGCCTTCTGCATCCCCAGACTGAATGGCCAATAAGCCCATGCAAACATGCGCAACGTGATTAGTCATTAGGGAAATGCAAATCAGAAACCGGTGGAGCTACCACATCACATCCGCTGAAAAGTTATAATACAGGAAATTCATGACAAGTGTCGGCAAGGGTGTGGAGAAATTGGAACCCTAGTGCCTGCTGGTGGGAATGTAAGATGGAGCACCTGCTTTGGAAAGCGGTCCAGCAGTTCCTCAAAATGTTCGACTAGAAGCAACGAAGACCCAGCAATGCGACGTCTGGGTATCCACAGCAGAAACGTGCAGACACGCACACACTCCTACACAGCACTCATGGTAGCATTATTTGTAATGGCCCCAAATGGAAACCACCCGGCTGTCCATCAGCTGGGTAAACAAGAGGCAGTCCGTCCGTACAATGAGTATTACTCTACAATAAACAAGAATAAGGTACTGACACATGCTGCAACATGAATGGACCTCGAAAACATTATGCTAAGAAGCCAAATGCAAGACCACATAATATTCCATCCATGTGAAATGTCTAAAATGGGCCAATCTATAGAGACAGAAGGTAGATGGCCAGTACCTAGGACTGGCCACTGGGCGTGTCGGTGGCCTCCTGGGGCAGGATTACAGTGGGAGAGCCCCTCCTGGCGGACTCCCTGGACCCCAGACATCTGCGGAGTGAGTCTGTGCCCTGTCCAGCGAACGCCCCTCATCTTGCCGTCCTAGGACCGGCATGGAAAGGGTGGCTTCAGGCCTGCTCAGTGCTGTAAAGACGGGGGCAATTCCATCACCACCTTCAGGGCCCACTTGGTCTTGGGCACTGGCGGCCTGGTGGGACTGTGCCTGTTCCTGCCCCAGGAGGCCTGGGTAGAGGGGACACTGAAGTTCCCCTCAGATTCCATTGACAGGGCTGCCTCCCAGCTCCCCAGCCTGCCCAAGGCCTGTCCTATGCATGGCCTAGGCTGCCCCCTGGTGGCCAGACAGGGAAGGACTCAGTCCTCTTCACTGGCAAGGTGAGTGTAGAGTGTAGTCCTAGCTGGGTTGTGACAGGCAGGCAACTCCATGGGCTGGACGGTGTTCTGGGGGACACGGGTGGGAAGGCCAGGAACAAGAAAGGTCGGGATGAAATGGAGAGCGGAGGGCCTGGCCTACGTGTTTCATACACATTAACTGAAAAAGTCAAGTCCACCTGCAGCATCCCTGTGCCCCACGGGAGGAGAGAATATAGTTTGAGTAACATTCCAAATCATTAACAACACATCTTCCTCCTTTTTTAGCAAATGCTTAATATTTTATACCTTAACTTTTTCACCCAGCCCCCTACTGCCCTCAAAGAGCTCCCAGCCTAAAGGGGAGGGTAAGAAAAGAGTGGGGGGTGCTCCAAATCACCCCTGTAGCTCCCACCTGGCAGCTATGAACTCAGCTTTAAATGTGCCACCAGCCCCCTGGATGAGGTCCCCAACCTACCTCCCCTGCCCGCAACCGCCACCACTCTGGGTGAATCCAGACCCCACCTGTGTGTTCCCTGAGATCCAGAAATGCAGGTCTGGGCAGGAGGAGAACCTAGTAAGTTTCAGCTGGAGGGAAAATGGGGTGGGGGTGAGGGGGGAGGTGGTACAGCTGGATGAGGGCACTTCTCTCTGGCCTGGTCTTGCAGCCACTCCCTGGGAAAGGCTGAGAACCTCCTGATACCAGGAACTGAGAGCGGGGTCGCACCTCCTGACAGGGCTGCTCACTGAGCGGGAGCAAGGCAGAGGGGCTGCAGCTGTGGCTGCAGCTGGGAGCAGGGAGAGCTCAGGGGACTCCTGTGGGGTTTTTTTGGCCCAGACTCCAGATTCTCCAGATTGACAAGCCGCCTGTGATCCCTTTCCTGTTTCTAAGCAGCTTCACTCAGGCCTGGCACTCCGCAAAAATCTACACCTGCCTCCAAAAGGACTCATGCTCCTGTTAGAAAAGCTTTTCTAAAGGGTCACCAGGGGGCAGCCTAGGCCATGCATAGGACAGGCCTTGGGCAGGCTGGGGAGCTGGGAAGGCAGCCCTGTCAATGGAATCTGAGGGGAGCTCCAGCGTCCCCTCTAACCAGGGCTCCTGGGGCAGGAAGAGGCACAGTCCCACCAGGCTTCCAGTGCACAAGACCAAGTGGGCCCTGAAGGTGGTGATGGAATTGCCCATTTTTACAGCACTGAGCAGCACTTCCAGCCAAGATGGAGGCATAGGTGAAAACACTGTACCTCTTCCCACAACCAAATTAAAGAACAACAAAGATTTAGAAACAAAAACACAACCAGAACAGACAGAAAATTGAACTGTACCAGAGTCCGACAACAACAAACCATTCATCCAGACCGGTAAAAGGGGCGGACTCGGCGGCCAGTGGAGAGGGGTCCTGGCAGGAAGAGGTGATGGTTAGCAGACATGGGTGCAGGGAAGAAGTGAGCAAACCCAGTGAGACACACAAGGCGGCTAGCTGACCGGGGACACACATTCGTGTGCAGATAAACCAGGTGAAAACGGGCAGTGAGACAGACCACACAACCCAGGGACACAGTGACGGGAAATACAGCCTAAAAGCACCAATCGGAAAAACTTTTGGGGGTTGAGGTGACAGGAGAAGCTCCCAGGTTCACAGAGAGTTCGCTGGAGAGATCCACAGGGTTCTGGAGGGTGCAGAAGCCCACATACCTGGGAACCAGCACCAGAAGAGCCCAATCTGCTTGTGGGAAACAGCAGAGGGGACAGAGATCTGAGAGAGAGCAGAAAAAAAACGCCATTGCCCCTCTCTGACCCCACCCCACATATAGCATCACAACACAGTGACCTGGGTTGCCCCGCCCTGGTGAACACCTAAGGCTCTGCCCCTCATATGTAACAGGCGCAAACAGACCAAAACATTATGGCTCAAGAAGAACGGCTCAAAGCCCCAGAGCCAATACTTCTAAGCGACCAAGAGACAGCCAATCTATCAAATGCATAGTTCAAAACACTGGTGATCAGGATGCTCACAGAACTGGTTGATTTTAGTCACAAATTAGAGGAACAAATGAAGGCTAAACTAAGTGAAATGAAGCAAAATGCACAAGGAACCAACAGTGATGGAAACAAAACTGGGACTCAAATCAATGGAGTGGACCAGAAGGAAGAAAAAACAACCAAACAGAAAACAATGAAGAAACAAGAATTCAAAAAAATGAGGAGAGGCTTAGGAACCTCCAGGACATCTTTAAACGCTCCAACATCCGAATTATAGGGGTACCAGAAGGAGAAGAGGAACCGCCACAAGTGGAAAACTTATTTAAACAAGTAATAAAGGAGAACTTCCCCAATCTGGCAAAGGAAATAGACTTCCAGGAATTCAAGGAAGCACAGAGTCCCAAAGAAGTTGGACCCAAGAAGGAATACACCAAGGCACATCATAATTATATAACCCAACATTAAAATGAAGGAGATAATCCTAGAAGCAAGAGATAAGGGGACAGTCACCTACAAAGGAGTTCCCATCAGACTGTCAGCTGATTTCTCAAAAGAGACCTTACAGGCAAGAAGGGGCTGGAAAGAAATATTCCAAGTCATGAAATCCAAAAACCTACATCCAAGATTGCTCTATCCAGCAAAGTTTTCATTTAGAATGGAAGGGCAGATAAAGCACTTATCAGATAAGGTCAAATTCAAGAAGTTCATCATCACAAAGCCCTTATTATATGAAATGTTAAAGGGACTTATCTAAAAAAAAAGAAGTTAAAAAATATCAACAGTGAAAGGACAGCAAACTCAGTTACTAACAACCACACCTAAAACAAAAGCAAACTAAGTGGACAGCTAGATCAGGAAAAGAACCACAGAAATGGAGATCACATGGAAGGTTAGCAACAGGGGAGTGGGAGGAGGAGAGAGGGGGAAAAGGTACAGAGAATTAGCAGCATAGATGGTAGGTAGAAAATAGGGGGGAGGGCAAGAGTAGTGTGGGAAATGTAGAAGCTAAGGAACTTATGACAAATGGACATGAACTGGGGGGGGGAATGTGGGGAGAGGGGGTGTGAAGGGTGGAGGGGAATAAAGGGGGAAATGGCATAATCAATAAAATAAAAAATAAAGGGTCCACCACAGAGCCCAGCTCAACCCCTCCGTGCCCAGAGAGGTAGCCTGAGAAGGCGCAGCACCTGGGGAACAGTGGCAAGAATGCTGGTCTTCGAGACAGGAGTTCCAGCTCTGGTCCCAGTCCGGCTCTCCTACTGGTGTTGATCTTTTCTGAGTTATTTCCTTTCACTGGCCCTCTGTTTCTCAACAAGACAAATACAAATAACTCCTGCCTTGTGCTGCTGCTGCTGCCCCTTACAGGTGCAAGGAGCGACCTTACCAAGTCCGCTAGGCCCTGCCCCACCGCTGCCAGTCTAGGCTTCCGTGGCTCATGGCCCCTCCAACTGTGTGCGTGACCTTAGTTCCTCAAATCTGCCCAGCTTTCTTTATCCTTCGGGGGTCTTCATTTCTCTCTCCCTCCAATGTTTCCGACTCTTCTAGTCACTCACAATATAGTTCAGGTTAAGCGTCACTTCCTTTTGGAAGCCTGAGGCCCTTGTATTTCTTCAGAGCATCGCAATTGCAGTGGCAATCTTCACAGGGGTGTATGGTTTCCAGGTCTCCCCCAGGAGAGGGGAGGTGCTGCCCGGAGGAGTGGAAGGAACGTGATAGGCGCGGGAAAGGGCGTTGCATCTGAAGACACCAGTGAAGGGTAGCGGGCCACCACCGGCCCTGGACTTCCGAAGTTCCTGGAGTCACGCGCCCCCGCACCACGTGCAGCCAGAAGACTCCCTCCCGCGGCGGTCCACCGCCCGGAAGCCAGTCTCCGAGCTGCCTGCGGGCGCTTTAACTTTCGCTTCCACGTGACCTGAAACTCGCGGCTGATTGGCTCCAGGCTGGCCCGCCCGCTACCCCTGAGTCTTGAACTGGTTTTCCATGGGCGGGGTTGATACCGCTGGACTATGGAGGTGGTGGCCGTGGCCATGGCCATGGCCCTGGGGCTCCTGCTACTGGCCGTGCAGGGTGCCCCGGCCCGAGACGAGGCCCGGGAGGCAAAGGCCGTGCGGGAGCTACTGGTCCGGCTGCTGGGGCCCGGGCCAGCGGCCGCCTTCTCGGTGTCGGTGAAGCGCTCCCTGGCGGCCGAGTCCGGCCTGGACACCTACCGCCTGAGCGGCGGCGGCTCCGGGGCGCAGGTGCGGGTGCTCGGCTCCACAGGTGTAGCTGCTGCCGTGGGGCTGCACCGCTACCTGCGTGACTTCTGCGGCTGCCACGTGGCCTGGTCGGGCTCTCAGCTGCACTTGCCGCAGCCGTTGCCTGCCTTGCCGGAGGAGCTGACCGAGGCCACGCCCAACAGGTACGGGCGGGACTGGCCCCTGGCTCCCGTGTGGCTGCCTCCAGCCCCGGGCCCACGCGCCCGCCTTGCTGAAGTCCCGCCCCACCCCAGCGCTGGGCTGGTAGGAAGCGCTAGCCTTAGGGCCGCACACCTCTGGCTTCAGATCTCAGCTCTGCCTTGTCCAACTAACTCAAAAAGAATCTAGAAGCTTTGGGTAGAAATAAATGATAAAGATTTATTCCAGGGTCTTAGGGTATGTAAACTGGAAGCAATTAAGCAATACTCAAGAGTGTTTCCAAGAAGAAAGAAACGCTTAGAATTCTTATAGTAAAATGTACATTTTTCCGAGATCAGACGAGACGGAGGGGTGGGGGGGCACGTTCAGGGTCCTAGCTGTAAAAGCTGTATTCTTGAGAAGAATCATCTTGCACTCAACCTCTGGGTGGGTTCCAGGTAACCCCGTGGGCTGGATATGACCGTTTGTCCCTTAGTCCTTCAGGAATAATCCAAGCGTTATCTGGATCTCCAGTGCGGGTATCTGCAGCGGGCTGCACATCCAAATACTGATGCAGGACCCGGAAGATCAAAAGTCTAAGTTCCCAGACAAGTTAAAACAAGAGTAAAATTTGTCTCCCCATGTTGCAACCTACATAATTTTAGCGATTTAGCAGCTTGACCATAGTGACTATACTTTACTTATTCACTCTATTCCTCAGCCTCTAAAAGCTATGTGTCCTGAGGCAAGTCACTTCACTTCTCCGAGCCTTGGTTGGCTCATCTGAAAAATGGAAACATTGACCTCTACCCTGCAGTGTTGGTTGTGAGGATTTGCACAGTGACGGGAGCAGGATTTGCATAACTGGTGACCAGTAAATGTCATTTCTTTGCTTGCCCACTCTCTCTTCGAAGATACTTACTGGGCAATGACCCACATGCCTCTTCCAGGCCTCTGTTCTAGCTCTTACCTCACTGTGTGGGAGTGATGTGTTCCCCCTTCCAAGACAGGAACCACCTCTGCCAGATAGCGCTTCCACACCGTGCCCGGAGTAGGGATTCTAGGAGGGTTGAATGGAATATGCTTTCAAATGCCTGTGGGGCTCAAGAGCCCTGAAGGAGTGCTGGGGGCCCGTGGGTCCTGAGTCTTAGCTCCACCTGGGGTAGATCCCCAAGTGAAGCAGTAGAGGGGCCACAGGTGGAACTCCTCCCCTCTGGGCTAGATGTGGAGGCAGGCCACCCACCCTCTGAGCTCATCCGGGATGGTGGAAGTCCGGGACACACCCTAGCTCACGCCCCTGCCCACAGGTACCGATATTACCAGAACGTGTGCACACAAAGCTACTCCTTCGTGTGGTGGGACTGGGCCCGATGGGAGCAGGAGATTGACTGGATGGCTCTGAATGGCATCAACCTGGCGCTGGCCTGGAGTGGTCAGGAGGCCATCTGGCAGCGGGTACGTGCCCAGGGCATGGGCCACCCCAGGGGACCCAGCCCTGCCCCCACCCCCACATCAGCACAGCATCTGGCACAGAGAGCATAAGGGCCCTGGAAGTGCCTGCGGTGTGCTCGGTGGCTCCAGCCTTCTGCACACCTACAAACCAAGGCTCCCGCTGCTGAGACAAACGTTGGGATGCTTATGGAGAGCAGGACCCCAGCACGCTGCTGTTAACACTTTGAGAAGTCAAGGTCCCCCCGCCCCGGCCCTCATGTCCACTCAATCTGCTGCTTCTGCCGATTCTGTCTCATTGGCAGTTCCTAACCTACCTCATCCTCTTCATCCTTAGTCATGGCCCTCGTTCAGGCTCTCGTGCCCTCTTCCTGGACACCTACAAGAGCCTCTGAACAGCACTCTTGACTCTCAGCCTTCTGCTAGCCAGAGTGCCCCTTTCTGGGGCACAAAAGCGAATCTGGCCCAGACCTTCCACTAACACACTCAGGAGAGTGCCACTGCCTTCCATCTCTGCCAGACCCAGGAGCTTCCGTCCCTGGACCATCAGGGCTCTGGCTGAACTTTGGGGTGCTTAGGCTCCCCACAGAGCTCTCCTTACCCATCACTCTAGCCAGCCTTGCTTCATGAGGTCTCCTTAGGCCCCTTCCTCATTTGGGGGAGAGCCCCTTTGTGCCCACCTCACCTGTATAACAAGGGTGACATATTAGTAAACGCACCAGTTCACAAATCTCTTTCTACTGGACTGTGGGCTCCTTGCAGGTGGGGGTTGCATTTTGTCTGAGTAACTGTAGGGCACAGCCCAGAGAAGAGGTGAGTGAATGAGTGTTCAGTGAATGGAGATCAGTGTATTTACGTGTATGGGGACTGCCTTCCTCTGCAGGTGTACCTGGCCTTGGGCCTGACCCAGTCAGAGATCGATGAGTACTTCACTGGCCCTGCCTTCCTGGCCTGGGGGCGCATGGGCAACCTGCACACCTGGGGTGGCCCCCTGCCCTACTCCTGGCACCTCAAGCAGCTTTACCTGCAGGTAAAATAATGGAGAAGGGTCCATGGCTGGTGTGGCTTAGTGGATTGAGCTCCAGCCTGCAAACCAAAAGGTCCCAGCTTCGATTCCTAGTCAGGCCCTGGTTGTGGGCCAGGTCCCCCAGAGAGAGACCACTTATCTATGTTTCTGTCCCTCCCTTTCTCCCTTCCTTATCTCTAAAAGTAAATAAATACAATCTTAATAATAATAATGGGGAAGGGAAGGCACAGTGTTGGGTTAGACAGTAACAGGCCTAGCGAGGGTGGTGTCTGGCTGGTCTCAAGGCTTTTAGCTGGGCCCTGAGGACTCTGTGTGCCCTGGGAGAGTGAGGGCCTCCCATCCTGGGTCAGGCTCACCAGCTCCCTACCCCCCCACCCTCCTCAGCATCGGATCCTGGACCGAATGCGCTCCTTCGGCATGATCCCCGTGTTGCCGGCATTCGCAGGGCATGTCCCCAAGGCTATAACCAGGTGAGCCCCCCCCTCACCCACTCAGCTCAGAGATGGAATTTATCTTCTCCTACAAGACATTTAAAGAAAACCGAAGCTCTGGATGTAGCCCTGCCTTGGTTCCCGGCCCTGCCACCCACTAACTGTGTGACCTTGGACCGATCATGTAACCGCTCTGTGCCCCAGCCATCTCCCTTGTAAAATGCCAGTATATGCGGCTTGGCGTGAAGTCTTAGCAAAAGGCAGCTCTGTGAGTGGTAGTCGGGGGGCAATGTTCTCAGTCCTTCCTGCTCCTCTGTGCTCCCCGCTCCACCCCTGTGGTTGGGGAAAATGCTTCAAGGCCCAGCTGAGCCCTCCCCTCCCACGGGAAGTCCTGCTGGCACCCCCAGTGTTGGTTGCTGCCTCCTTCATGCCCATGAGCACCCAGTTTCCTCCATTCTCACGGTGCTCAGTGCGCGCTGCTGGCCTCGCTGGCCACCCCTTTGTCTCTCCAACCTGAGAGGCAGGAGCCTCCAGCACACAGGCAGCGAACGTGTGTTGGGCTGTCTGGGGCTGCCAGACCAGGCTCTGTGCTGGGCCCTGGGGGGGGCACAGGTGCACTGAGTTCCTGCCCCTGGTGGGAGGCAGGTTGCGGGGGGGGGGCTACGGTACAGAGGGCCCACTTCTCTGTCAAGGTCATTTCTGCCTGGGGAAGCGGGCAGCAAGGTCTCAGAGCGGTGGCAGTACTGGGCCAGACCTTGGAAAGCGAGTACTGCTTGTTGCAGACAGTGGGAGTGGAGAAGCAGCAAAAGCTTTGCAGACAAGGTGGAACCTAAAAGTTGTCAAGGCGTAACCAGCTGGATATGCAGGGAGGGAGGAGGAGAGGACTGCGGGCACAGGGGCACAGCATGTGCAAAGGCACGGGGGTATGGGGGACCAGGATGAATCCCAGGAGCTTTGGGTGAGTTCATGAGACAGGTGGTGAATACTGCATCAGCCTCCAGTGAATGTCTGGACTGTCCCCACCCCCAACTAGGGTGTTCCCTCGGGTCAATGTCACCCAGATGGGCAGCTGGGGACACTTCAACTGCTCCTACTCCTGCTCCTTCCTTCTGGCTCCGGAAGACCCCCTGTTCCCTACTGTGGGGAGCCTCTTCCTGCGGGAGCTGACCAAAGAGTTTGGCACCGATCACATCTACGGGGCCGACACTTTCAATGAGATGCAGCCCCCGTCCTCAGAGCCCTCCTACCTTGCGGCAGCCACTGCCGCCGTCTACCGGGCCATGACCACAGGTTTGGTGCCAGTGGGAGGCGGGGAAGGGGAGCCCCTGGGCTCTTAGGGGGTGGGGCTGGGAGAGGGTTGGAATAGCACCCAACTCGGACACAAAGCACCTGGCGGTTTGCCCGCAAACCTCGTCTCATCTGATCACACCGGCTGAGGGGGGAGCTCTGAGCTCAAGGTCTGGCACGGCCCCCTCCTGCCTGTGCGACTTGTGACAGGCCGCCTCCTTCCTGGTGCCTCGGTTGCTTGTCTGTGGCTCCCTCAGGAGTAGAAGGGTGCCTGGCCCAGAGTGAAGTGCCGGTAAATGCCGGCTGTTGAAAACACGGGGGTGGGCAAAAGTAGGTTTACCGTTGTGAGTACTTGAAACACAGGGTTTGTTCTTGTGTTGTTATTACTTATTGTCATTTGCATTATAACTGTAAACCTACTTCTGCCCACCCCGTGTTTTATTTGGTCTCTACCTCCATGCTGAGGTACTTAACTCAGGCTAGAGATTGGAGAATGTGCCCAAAGCTGTGAGGTACCCTTCCTGGGGCACCAGTGTGAGCTGAGTGCTCCTTCCTGCCACCTACAGGGGAGGGTGGACTGAGCCAGGTCCTGAGTGGCTGGGGGAGGCCTCCATGTCACACAGGAGGGGAGCCGGGTGGCTCAGGGCTCCGAGAGCAGCGCTGCCCCCATCTGATGGTGCCCAGGGCCTGCCAGATCACACGTTCAGCCTCCTCCCTTCCTGGGCCCACGTTCTGAGTCACGGGAGCAGACTGGGGCCCAGGAATGTGTGTTTTAACCAGCCCTCCGGGCGATTCAGATGTTCCATAAAGCGGACGGCAGCTGGTGGCAGCTGGGAGAGAAGGAGAGGGGAAGGGTGTGTGTGAGGAAGCGCCCTGCTGGGTGGGGGTACAGGGGAAAGGGGAGCCTGTGCTAGTCACTTAACTTCTCTGGACCCCTGTCCCTCATCTGTAGAATGGGTGAGTGTTCCCTTGGCCTCTCTGCTTTTCTCATCACCCTTCTTTTCTATTCCCAACGCCCACCACAGTGGACCCTGACGCTGTATGGCTCCTCCAAGGTTGGCTCTTCCAGCACCAGCCTCAGTTCTGGGGCCCTGCGCAGGTGGGGGCAGTGCTCAGGGCAGTGCCCCGTGGCCGCCTCCTGGTTCTGGACCTGTTCGCTGAGAGCCAGCCCGTGTACCACCGCACAGCCTCCTTCCAGGGCCAGCCCTTCATCTGGTGCATGCTGCATAACTTTGGGGGCAACCACGGCCTGTTCGGGGCCCTGGAGGCTGTGAACCGAGGCCCCGCAGCCGCCCGCCTCTTCCCCAACTCCACCATGGCAGGGACGGGCATGGCGCCTGAAGGCATCGGCCAGAACGAAGTGGTCTACGCCCTCATGGCTGAGCTGGGCTGGCGGAAGGATCCCGTGACAGATTTGGGGGCCTGGGTGACCGGCTTTGCCGCCCGGCGGTATGGGGTCTCCCACGGGGGTGCGGAGGCGGCATGGAGGCTGCTTCTCAGGAGCGTCTACAACTGCTCCGGTGACGCCTGCACGGGCCACAATCGCAGCCCGCTCGTCAGGCGGCCATCCCTCCAGTTGGTTACCGCGGTCTGGTACAACCGATCAGACGTGTTTGAGGCCTGGCGGCTGCTGCTGACGGCCGCCCCCACCCTGGCCACCAGCCCGGCCTTCCGCTACGACCTGGTGGACGTCAGTCGCCAGGCGGTCCAGGAGCTGGTCACCTTGTACTACGAGGAGGTGAGGACTGCCTACCTGAGCAAGGAGCTGGTTCCCCTGCTGAGGGCAGCAGGCATCCTGGCCTACGAGCTTCTGCCCTCACTGGATGGCATACTGGCCAGTGACAGCCACTTCCTGCTGGGCAGCTGGCTGGAGCAGGCCCGGGCCATGGCGGTCAGTGAGGCCGAGGCCCGCTTCTATGAACAGAACAGCCGCTACCAGCTGACGCTTTGGGGGCCAGAGGGCAACATTCTCGACTACGCCAACAAGCAGCTGGCGGGACTGGTGGCCGATTACTACACCCCCCGCTGGCGCCTCTTCCTGGACATGCTGGTTGAGAGCCTGGTCCGAGGGGTCCCTTTCCAACAGCAGCAGTTCGATAAAGACGCCTTCCAGCTAGAGCAGACCTTTGTCCTCAACACGCGGAGGTACTCTGACCAGCCCCAAGGTGACACTGTGGACCTGGCCAAGCAGCTCTTCCTCAAATACTACCCCCGGTGGGTGGCTGGCTCCTTGTGACAGATTAACCACCCCTGGGCCATATGCCCCCCAGGCCTGGGTGAAGGAACTCCAGACCTGCCAGTCAGATGGGGGGAAGGAGATTTGGAGGGGAGTGAGCTGCCCTCCCCCACCACCCCAAATTGGGGGTTAAGGTACTGTTTTAATACAACTAATTAAACTGGTGAATCTCCTGGGCCTGTCTGTCTGAATGTCACTGCTATGGCGCTGGAAGGGCCAGGGTTACAGCACAGACCCAGTGTGAGGCAGCTTCTGCCCACCCTTTGCCCTAGTAATCCCATTTTTAATACTGATCCCTGACCTTTGACCTGAGAATGCCTTCTCGAAGCATCTCCTTTCACACCGTCAATAGCAAACTTTGGAAACTATAATTGTCCCTGTGGGAAGATCCGCCCAGGGTGCTCAGTGGCCACCTGGGAGCCTTCACTTCTTTTTTTTTTTTTTAATTTATTTATTTTTTATTGATTATGCCATTACAGTTGTTCTATTCCCCCCTTCATTCCCCTCCACCCTACCCCCCGTCCCCACCATTACCCCCCCTTTAGTTTATGACCATGTGTCTCAGGTTCTTTAGATTCTATATTTCCCATACTATTCTTGCCCCCCCCACCTATTTTCTATCTACCGTCTATGCTACTTATTTTCTGTACCTTCTCCCCCCTTCTCCTCCTCCCACTCCCCTGTTGCTAACCCTCCTTGAGATCTTCATCTCTATGTTTCCACTCCTGATCTAGCTGTCCTTTTAGTTTGCTTTTGTTTTAGGTGTGGTTGTTAATAACTGTGAGTTTGCTGTCCTTTCACTGTTCATTTTTTTAACTTCTTTTTCTTAGGTAAGTCCTTTTAACATTTCATATAATAAGGGCTTGGTGATGATGAACTCCTTGAATTTGATCTTATCTGAGAAGCACTTTATCTGCCCTTCCATTCTAAATGAAAGTTTTGCTGGATAGAGCAATCTTGGTTGTAGGTCTTTGGATTTCATGACTTGGAATACCTCTTTCCAGCCCCTTCTTGCCTGTAAGGTCTCTTTTGAGAAATCAGCTGACAGTCTGATGGGAACTCCTTTGTAGGTGACTGTCCCCTTATCTCTTGCTGCTTCTAGGATTCTCTCCTTCATTTTAATCTTGGCTAATGTAATTATGATGTGCCTTGGTGTGCTTCTTCTTGGGTCCAACTTCTTTGGGACTCTCTGAGCTTCCTGGATTTCCTGGCAGTCTATTTCCTTTGCTAGATTGGGGAAATTCTCCTTTATTACTTGTTTAAATAAGTTTTCCACTGGTGGCTGTTCCTTCTGGTACCCCTATAATTCGGATGTTGGCGCGTTTAAAGATGTCCTGGAGGTTCCTAAACCTCTCCTCATTTTTTTGAATTCTTGCTTCTTCATCCTTTTCTGTTTGGCCATTATTTGCTTTCTTCTGGTCCACTCCATTGATTTGAGTCCCAGTTTCCTTTTCATTGCTATTGGTTTCCTGTGCAATTCCATTCATTTCAATTAGTTTCGCCTTCATATATTTGTCTAATTTGTGGCTATAATCAACCAGATCTGTGAGGATCCTGATCACCAGTGTTTTAAACTGTGCATCTGAGAGTTTTGCTATTTCTTCATCGCTTAGATTTATAGGCTCTGGGGCTTTGAGATCTTCTTGAGCCATTTTTGGTCTATTCTCGGCCATTAAGTAGGAGGAGCGGAGCCTTGGACTCCCAGGTCGCTGGGTTGTGACGCTGCATGTGGGGGCGTGGTCAGAGCGGGGAAATGGCACCCCCCTCTGCTGTTTCTCCCTGCTGAGCAGAGCCTTAGGCGGTTCCCCATGCCCGGGCCACACAGGTCGCTGGGTTATGACGCTGTATGTGGAGGTGGGGTCAGAGTGGGGAAAATGGCGGCGCCCTCCGCTGCAGCTCGCCACTGGGGCCTGCTGGGACCCATCCAATCGCCCACTCCCTCGCTTGTCTATCTGCGCACGAATGCGCGACCACAGTCAAATCTCGGCCCTGCTCCCTGGCTGTTTCCCGTGGTCGCTCGCTCGGTCGCTCACTAGGTCCAACCCTGCGCCTGGGTTCCGCGTGCCCGAATCCGTCTGACCGAGTTTTCCTGTGCATTCCCGCTCCTCCAGCTGCTGGTTTCGCTCCTCTTACCGATCAGGCTGAAGAATTTGTTGTTATGAGACTTCCAAAAAGTTCAATTTTCTGTATTCTGGCTGTGTTTTCTGTTGCTGATATTTAGTTGTCTCCAAACTTGGTTGTGTGAGAAAGCACAGTGTCTCCACCTGTGCCTCCATCTTGGCAGAAGTCCTCCGAGCCTTCACTTCTTGACTGCAAAGTTTTGCCCTGCCTCTGACCAGCAATGGAGAGAGGGCGTGCCCAGCAGTGGCCTCATCCCTGCCTTGACCGGAGAGCTGAGTGGGGAGATTGGCCAGGGACCTCCGGAGGGATCAGCCTTGAGGTGGAGACACAACAAGGGGCGGGGAGCTCTGCAGGCATGGGCAGGACAGAGTAGGTGATATCTTGTCCAGAGACAGAGCCTGACACTCCCTGAGCCTCTCCCACGCCCCTGTCCCCATGGACCGCACCGTGGTGCTCATCACCGGCTGCTCCTCCGGCATCGGCCTGCACCTGGCCCTGCGTCTGGCGTCAGACCCATCTCAGAGCTTCAAAGGTACATGAGGGGATTTGGATGGAGACAAGGGGGCAGCCCTGGGTCTAAGAGAATCTGGGTAAAGCGAGCAGCTGCTCAGATCCTCGTTTCCTCCCCCGCCCTCCAGTGTATGCCACTTTCCGGGACCTGAGCACGCAGGGCCCACTGTGGGAGGCGGCTGAGTCCCAAGGGTGTCCTCCAGGCTCCCTGGAGACATTGCAGCTGGATGTACAGGATGCAGATTCTGTGGCTGCAGCCAAGGCACGAGTGACCGAGGGCCGCGTGGACGTGTTGGGTGAGCCTCCCCAAAATGCCTGCCAGAGCCTTCCCTGCCCTGTGTCCAAACCTAGGTGTCCCGAGGCCCAGGGAGCACCAGGACCCCGGCTGGGGCGGAGGGCAGTGCGGGAGGCACAAGGGGTTAGACCTCTCCTCGCAGTGTGCAACGCTGGTCGGGGCCTGCTCGGGCCGCTCGAGGTGCACTCAGCTGACGCCGTGGGCTCTGTGCTGAACGTGAACTTGGTCGGGACAGTGCGGGTGCTTCAGGCCTTCCTGCCGGACATGAAGCGCCAGCGATCAGGACGCATATTGGTCACCGGGAGCATGGGAGGCTTGATGGGTGAGTGGAAGGGGCCCGGCAGGGTGGGGACACAGCCTGCTCTCCACAGACGCGCACCCCTCCGCCTCTTAGCAGCCTCATCTCCCCTCAAAAGGGATGCCCTTCAACGATGTTTACTGTGCCAGCAAGTTCGCGATCGAAGGTTTATGTGAGAGTCTGGCGGTTCTGCTGCTGCCCTTTGGGGTCCAGTGAGTCACCACCCTGCCCCTGGAACCCTCTGAACCCCAACTTTGGGAACCCCCACATCCCATCTCCTCTCGTTGGAGCTGCTCCCAGGCAGGCCCCCTGGCCTGTCCCCATTGCAGCCCATATTTGTGCGCCAGGCACTGTTCTGTGCCCACACATGGTATGACCTAGCTAGTGAGGTGTCTAATTATTGGGAAGCTCTGGCCCAGAGAGGTTAGCTGACTGCCTCAAGGTCACACAGCACGTTACCCAGCCAAGTTGGAATTCTGATTTCAGATCCGCTCTCACAGCCTCAGATGCATGTAGAAGCCCCTCTTGGGCAGAGAACCACTTTTCAAGTGCTCTGTCGCTAGTCACCTGCCCGTGCACAGACCCCTTCCCACCCTCCTTCCCGGTGCTGCATGGTAGCAGGGGGCTGGGGGCCAGGCCGGGGGCCCTGCTCTCATCGGCCCTCAGCCCACTCGCTGCTCTGCTGCTCTCCGGTTCCCAGTGTGAGCCTCATCGAGTGCGGCCCTGTGCGCACCGCCTTCCAGGAGAAGTTCCAGGACGGCCTCAGCGTGGTGCTGGACAATGTAGACGCCCAAACCCAAAACCTCTTCTCCCAATATCAGCGCCACAGCAAGCAGGTCTTCCGCGAGAAGGCGCAAGACCCAGAGGAGGTGACAGAGGTGGGTGCCTGGTGAGCCCTGGCACCCAGCCGCCTGGAGAGCCCTGGCACCCAGCCGCAGCTAACGCGCTCCCTCCCTCCTCCACAGGTCTTTCTCACCGCGCTGCGCGACCCGCAGCCCGCCCTGCGCTACTTCAGCTCCAAGCTCATCCTGCCCATGGTGCAGCTGCGCCTCGCTGACCCCAGCGGCTGCAGCTACGTTGCTGCCATGCACCGCTTAGTGTTCAGTGACAAGCCCACCACCACCGGTCCCGACAGTGCCCCAACCGAGGCCGGAGCTGGAACTGGGGGACCCTGAGCTCGGCGCTCCTCCAGGTGCCCCGCAATAAAGGCCTGGTCCCCATGGTCTTCTTCTCTCTCCTTTGCGTCCCCCGGGGATGTGCGGTTCTGGAAAATGGAGCAGAACTGCACCGCGAGTGGGCAACCGGGAAAGACTGTGTTAGCTCAGGTTATACCTACTGGGAAACCTCCCAGGATGAGGGGAGAGTGAGCCAGGGTCGGCCTCCAGTCCACTACTCTCGTCTGAGCAGTAGCAGTTAGGCAGACTTGGAGGGGAAAAAATCTGGTTTGACTTGGCCACTAGTCATGGGACCTCGGGCAAGTTCTTTACCCTTTGGGAGCCTATTTTCTTACCTGTAAAGTGGGTATGATATGTATGTCATGGATCAGAGTATTAATTGAGATAATGCCTGAACGTGCTGGTATAGAGGTCTTCACAGAAGGCATGAGTATTATTACTGCTAGTGGTATGACTGGTATTGTAACTAGTCCCATCCAGAAGCCAGATGTGGAAAGAAGAAACAAGGCCAAGTGAATCAAAAAGAAACAGCCCCACTTATCCTGTACTTTGCCCCCTGCCCTGGACAAAACTTGTGGGGAGAGATTCCCAAGAGCCCAGAAGCTGCCTCTCACCGGCCCGTACTCCTTCCTGAGGTCAGCCGGGGGAGGTGGAATGGAGGAGCCCCCGAAAGGGCCTGTGGGGTGCGGAGCCTGTCTCCTTCTAACTGCCTCCTGGGCTGGGTGCTGGAGGGCGGGGTAGAGAACAGGTAGAAATTGGGGGAGCAGGTTTCAGGCAGAGGAAAGGGGCAGGGGTACCCTGAGGGGATGGTACTGAGGGACAGACGAGGAGAGAGGGAAGACAACCAGGGGCCTGGCAGTGGGAACAGAGAGGAACCTGCTGGGGTTCCTGGGGCTCTGTGTGGGACCTCGGGGGAAGGAGGCGCTGCTCCCCAACCTGCCCACACTTCCAGAAAGTGGGCTGCTCTGAGCCTTCGGACCTCCTGCTGCTTCTGCTCCTGCTGCAGCTGCTCCTGCTGCTTCTGCTCCTCCCTGGAAGGTTCAGGAAGGGGCCTCAGCTACCCACTCCCTGCCTATCTCCCTGCCATGCGGCCCAGATAGGTCTGCTGTCCCTGCAACACCCAGGAAAGTGTCCGGGCCACACAGCTCTGGCCCAGGAGAACTGTCCACTACGAGCCCGGGTGTGAGAGTGTGACCTTGCTCTAGAGGTCACCCGTGGTGCCAGGGGGGAACATGATGTGATGATGAGAAAGGCAGACCGTGACCACTTTCTCTTCCATGCATCCACACTCTTAATAATCTCAAGCAGTCCAAGACAAAAAAAAAAAAAAAAAAGGCCCAAATGAAAGAACAGATCAAAGCTTCAGAAAAAATACAACCAAGCAGCCAACCTATCAGATGCACACTTCAAATGTTAAGTGAAATAAGCCAGGCGATGAAAGACAAATACCTTATGATATCTCACCTTTAACAGGAACCTAGGCAACAGAACAGACAAGCAAAGAAAGTATAGCCGAAGACATTGAAATTGAGAACAGGCTGACAGTGACCAGAGGGGAGAGGGGAGGGGATAATGGGGGAAAGGGGTGGACAGTTTACAGGAACAATTATAAAGGACACACAGACAATAACAAGGGGCTGGGGTGGTGAGGAGGGGTGGGGGGGAGGCAGAAAACTGCACTTGAACAAAAATAAAATAAATGTTTAAACATCTTTTAAAGTAAAATAAAATAATTAATAATCTCAAGTAGTCCTGTAGCACAGCCCCTGTTATTTCAATGCGCATAGTATTTTTGGCAGCTAAAATGAAATAATTTCTTTTCTTTGCACTTTTTATTTTTTTATTAAAATTTTTTTTATTGATTACACTTTTACAGTTGTCCCAGTTTTTCCCCCCATTGCCTCCCCTCTACCTGGTACCACCATTCCCTCCAGCAGTACCCCCTTAATTAGTCCTTTGTTCAAATACTAACCACTCTGCTTGTTCAACCCCTTTAGTTGCTGAATTGGCATCTGCATATCAGGAGGTGATAACTTCAGGGTCAGGAAGAGAATTTTATGAGTTTGTTTTGCAGAAGGAAAGAATGTGTTCAAGGTAGCAGGGACCAGTTGCTGGTACCCAGGAGTCCCATGCAGAAAAAGCTATCTGTGACTTAAAGAAACACAGACTTCTCTCTCAGTTCCCTGAAACTCCCCCCGCCCCCCTCACTCCGTATCTCACAGGCAGCAAACACGAGGCCCGTGGCAGAGTCCTGCCCTGGTGGCAGCACCGAGCTCCTTGCCCCTAGTTAAGGAGAAGTCCTATTTATACGTCCCTAAAGTTACATTCGGCCCTTCGAAGGCAACCATGAGGCTGATGTGGCCCCCGGTGAAAATGAGTTTGACACCCTTGCTGGTCTATCCCCTTAAAATTTCCCCACTTTTTTGCTTTTTGGAAGAGCCAGATTTGAGCAATCTTGCTCTTCTGTCCTCTCACTTTGATCAAATTGAATAAAACATTCTCTGTCCCTGAGCACTAGTGTCTCGATGCGTTGGCCTAGGAGCACATCAGGTACCTGAATCTGAATCTGATGGGTGATTCAATAGTAGTCCCGTGACTCTGAATACTATTTACATGCTGATGACCCCCCAACCCCCCAAACAAAAACTCCCACATATCTCCGACTTCACTGTCCCCCACAAACTCCAGCTTATATATCTGAACTACCTGCTGAACATCTTTTCAATTTTTTAAATTGTACTTTTTCCATTATCATATAACACCCTTCCACCTCCCTTCCCCTCCACTCACCCCACTGTTGCCCATGGCCTTGAGTCCTTTATCCTTTTTGCTTGATCCCTCCACCCCCTGACCTCCCAGCTCCCAATAGCCGCCATCCTACTCTCTATGCTGCTCAACATCTTATGCCTAATAAACTTAATGTGTGCAAACCCCAATTTCTGATTTCCAGCCCTTCTGGTCTTCCCTACTTCAGCATATGACAATTTTATGCTTCCGGTTGCTTAGTCCAAAAACCTTCGATACTCAACGCCAGTCTCTCTAGTCCCTCAACCAATCCAGCAAATGCTGACAGCGCTACCTCAGTCTTCAAGATGTACTTGGAAGTTACCCGAGCCCCTGCAATACCATCTCTCCTGGGTTTCTGCAGTAGCCTCCTACAAGACTCAGGCCAGTTCCCAGCCCCCAGACGGCACATGACCCAGTCAGGCCAGTTTCCAACCTGCTGAGTCAACCGCTGCCCATGACTCAATTATCCCGACTGACTTGATAGCCTGAGGCTTAACTGAAACTCTCTCCTACCTGGCCCAGTCAACACCTGACTGAGCCACAAAGGCCAGTGGTCAGCCTGACCTTCGTGTGCCTGGGAACAGCCCAGCCCTTTATCTAACCCATTGCCCTGACACATCCTGGAACCAAGAGGCTCCGGCCCAGAAGAACAAGACATTAATCCCTCCCCTATCCCCCCACAAACCCTGCGCTTTTTCTTTTAAAAATCCCATTCTTGCTTTCTTCTCTGGGGTTGCAACTGGTCCAGACTCAGCCCACCTGTAAGCACAGTTCAAATAAAGGCACTTGGATCAGATCATCCGGCTCCTCTCCCCTCCGTATGTCTTGCATTTGAAACTGGAAAAGCTGGTGTTTCTGCTGCCTGTCACCTACCAGACCCAATAAGCAGAGACAAGGATAGAATCTCTATGGGCACTTTACTCAGATGGCCTGCGATCTGAGAAGACTGCGGGTTTGTACTCTACCAGACCACCTTACATTTCCTTTCAAGCCAGCCTTCTTATACCAGAGAACAAAGAACGGTGAGGAATTTGAAATTCAGGGAAGATTAGATTTAAAAAACCTGCAGCAGCGCTTGCCCTGGGCGGTTAGCTGTGCCCCAGGCAGTTGTCTTTCTCTCTGGAACACGATGGCTCAGACGCCACCTTGACTGCTTGTGATCTCATGTGGAACGCAAAGGTCAATGGCTGCGGGCTCCTGGAGGCAGGGTAGGCGGTACCTAAAGTTCTTGGAAAAATCGCTTAAAATTTTTCATTTATTTATTTTTAAAGAGGGGAAGGTGGAGAGATAGGGAAGAGAAACATGAGTGTGTGGTTGCCAATCAAGTGTCCCCTACTGGGGACCTGGCCCGCAACCCAGGCATGTACCCTGACTGGGAATCGAACCCATGATTCTTTAGTTTGCAGGTCAGCACTCAATCCACTGAGCCACACCAGCTTTCCTTTTCATTAGGGGTTGGGTGGCATGGGGTGCTTTGTCCATGTCACTGTCAACCACAATATCCTCCCCTTCCCTCTCACTTTCCCAGGGATTCCACCTCCGGGATCCCCAGTCAGGCTCTGTCACAAGCACTCAGGCCTTAATCTGAGGCATCTTATGCACCCCCCCCCCCCCCCCCCCGGGCTTTGCAACGATCCTGCTCTCCCACCCGTCTGCCAGCCTCAAGGCGAGCAGAGTTGTGGACAACTGCACATCCTTTCTGACTTCAGCTCTTCTTGCAATTTTCTAATTCCACCTTCAGCCTCTAGCTGGGCGTGGGTGGCCGGCCAACACCCCCACCGTGGAGGCCAGCCCGCCGTGGCAGCCCCTGGGTTCCCTCCTTTGCTGCAGCCAACTATGTGCAGTTCCTCAAACAGGACGTTAGACCTTCTGGCGTTTGGGGTGTCCCTGTGCTCACGTAGTGGCCCACAAGCCTCTAACACACAGGCGGCCCCTCCGCATACAGGGGTCAATGGCCAACCTGAACTTCCCCAGCAGATTCCTCTTGTCCAAGGCCCATTTCTTCTGGGTGGTTTGCAACCTGGGGAGTTCCCTGGGTGGAATCTGAAACCAGCCCCCAGTACACAGAGGGTAAGGAAGAAAGAAGCAGGGCACTCCAGGTTAGTAGCATTTTTTAAACTTTCGGTTTTCAGTGACGATTGGCACTCATTATTACTTGGTATTAGTTTCAAGTGTACAGCACAGTGGCTAGGTGTTTAATAAGCGAGAAGAAAAATTACGTATAGGCTTGTCCAGGGTGGACCCAAGGCAAGTAGATCTCCACCCCCATCCTCCACCAGAACCTTAAAAGTTTCTAAGGAGACTATACAGTCCAGATGGTCTCAACAACACATTGCTGTCTCGAGGCTTTGTCCTTGAAGACAGCTCCCACATGAGAAGTGTGCACAGAGCATATCAGTTGCAAGGGCAGGGGAGGAGCTTCCTAGTGCCTAGGTCCAACTCAAGGTCAACCAGCAGTTGTCCCCTCAATGTCCTGGTCTGACGGTGACCCCATGGAGGCACATGGGATTGTGTGCACAGATGTTTCAGAGTGATTCCTAACAGTCTTTACAATTTGCTTCTTCAAACCACTCCTCTCTTTATTATTTATTTATTTATTTTTAAGATTTCATTTATTTATCTATTTATCTTTAGAGGGGAAGGGAAGGAGAGAGGGAGAGAAACATCAATGTATGGTTGCCTTTTGTGCGTCCCCTGCTGGGAACTGGCCTGCAGGGAACCAGTCTGCAACCCAGGCATGTGCCCTGACTGGGAATCGAACTGCAATTGTCTGGTTCGCAGGCCCGTGCTCAATCCACTGAGCTACACCAGCCAGGGCCAAACCACTCCTCTCTTTAAAACTCAACCTGCAAGTGGACTCCTGCAGAAAGCCTCACCTCAGTGCCTTCAGGACTCTATAACTCTCCATCCCTGACTCCAGGGGCAGGTCCAGGTTCTGTGGGGCCATAGGCTTATACACATTGGGGGTGGGGGGGCGGGGAGGAGAGACTCTAAGAATACGAAAAACAAACACATAATTAGATGTGAAAGTTAGCATTTATTTTGTTTGGGAAAATAAACCACCAACTACCTAAAATCTTTCCTGATGGCAACCTGGCTTCTCCCCCTCACGAAGGCTACCAATCCCAGCCTTTCCAGCTCTCACTTGCCTCACAGTTAAGCCCTCGGCTTCGGCCCTCGCCTGCTTTTGTCTTGACCACTTTCATCCTCTGGCGGCTCCACGGAGCTCACACAGAGCTCTCCTCCGCCTCTCCCCCGCCAACTGCCGCATCACTGGGTTTGTGGGATATTAGAGCATCCCACGTTGGCCTCGGAGTCACATTACATGGCGCCCGCCACCACTTCCCTAGATGGTTCCTGAAACATACAGGACCTCAATTTTCCCATCGGTGAAATGGGGACTTGGCCAGAGTTTTCCTGTGGCCGCCCACGTGAGGACCCTCGGACTGCAAGGAGCAGGAGGACTCCAGGAACGCTGAACCCTAATTTAAGCATTACCTTGTAACCCCTCACCTCCGTCTCTGTAATTTGTTAAGAAAGCCAGGCGTTCTGCCTTTGTAGTTGTGCCCTTGATGACCTGGCTGAAGCCAACTTTTCTCTCAGGGTCTGAAGCGCATTCGTGAAATGGGCTTTCAAGCTCGCATTGTCCTACTTTGCTCAGTCTCGCGCGGGAGAGGTCCAGAGAGAAGAGTTATCCATTTCCCAAACATCCGGACTCCGCCCCGCCCCTTTCTAAATCTCGCGAGAATGCTGCCCCGGACTGCTATGGGTAGTTTGGCCCTTCTCGGTGTCCGTAGCTCGGAGTCGCAATTCCTAAACCAGTGTTTCCGGGTTGCATCTGGGGAAAGTCTTTAGCGGTGTTGAAAGTGGAACCAAACCCCAGAGGTATCAGTAAGTAGGGGACCTAGCCGAGCCTGAGTGTTTGTCTTTAGTCCCCTCCTTTGATTCCTTGAAGACCCTGGTGAAGCTTAGCAGGAGGGCCCAAGGCTTCTGGATCCCCAACCCTATGACTCAGGGGCTCCTGTTCGGTTTCCTCTCCCAGGATTTCGATTCAGTTCAGCAAGCTCACCTCCCCGTCTTACAGATGAGAAAACTGAGTCTTACAGCACAGCCCCGAGGCTCTGTTTACTAAGCCCGGTCCCCGCCCCTGGGTTCCTCTCAATTGGCACAGACCTCGCCCCTCTCCACGTTCCTTCCCTTGGGTCCAAGGTCCCCTACAGACATCGACCTCGGGCACATCCCCCTCAGTCACCCTCTGCTGGTCTCCCTGACTGTCTGTCTACAGGCTTAGGCAGCATGGCCTTATTCCGGTCGGGCCTCCTGGTACTGACGACGCCGCTGGCCTCCCTGGCCCCTCGCCTGGCCCCTATCCTGACCTCCGCGGCCCAGTTGGTGAATCACACACTCTACGTACACCTGCAGCCGGGCCTGAGTCTGGAGGGCCCGGCTCAGCCCCAGTCCAGCCCCGTGCAGGCCACGTTTGAGGTTCTCGATTTCATCACGCACTTATATGCTGGCGCCAACATGCACACGAACCTGGACATCAGAATCCTGCTGACCAATATCCGAACCAAGAGCACCTTTCTCCCTCCCCCAGCCAGCTCAGTCCAGAACTTGGCCCACCCGCCGGAGGTGGTGCTGACTGACTTCCAGACCCTGGACAGAAGCCAGTACAACCCGGTTAAGCAGCAACTAGAGCGCTATGCCACCAGCTGTTACAGTTGTTGTCCGCAACTTTCTTCAGTGCTACTCTACCCCGATGATGAGCATGGAGAGCCGCCCGTGGAGCCCCCGGACAATCCCTTACCCTCCACCATTAAGCCATCCTACCCCGTGGCCAGATCTCCGAAGCAGCCGGTGCGTGGCTACCGTCGCGGGGCTCTGGGTGGCACGTTTGACCGCCTGCACAACGCCCACAAGGTGTTGCTCAGTGTCGCATGCGTCCTGGCCCAGGAGCAGCTTGTGGTGGGAGTAGCAGACAAAGACCTGTTGAAGAGTGAGTGGGAGAGACGCTGGATTAGGGTGGTGGAGAACCCCCAACACTCCTTGCACTCACCATGCCAAGATTGAGAAAGGGTGGGGCCATCCATTACTCGCTCCCCACCCCCTACCCCGCCCCAAATGTCACACACATTCAGCACTCGGTGCTAAAGAAATCTTGTTAAATGAGTAAAAGCAGCTTTCTCAGTGTGTGGTTTAGTCACCACTCAATCCGAACCCCCAAATGTGGAGCCAAGGAATCTGCACTTTTAACAAGGTCTCCAGGTGAGGAACCCTGCAGTTTGAGACCCTGGGAATAAATGGGCGAGTAAGTTGTAGGTAGCGGTGGCAGAGACAGTAAGAGGGGACTCAAGCATGATATGGTTCTTGAAAGTCTGCGTCTGGCTCTGGTGCCCATTGGTACTGCCAGTTCTCCAGACACATGCCAGCCCTCGTGGGGACTACTGTGCTTCCCCGGTGCCTTCCCGTCATAGCTTTCCTGTCACCGACCACTTCTCAGCCCTTTCTTCCTGCCACCCTCCTCTAGAGATAGGATGCTTAGGGACACTCTTCCCCAAACTGGCCCATACTCTTCCTCCCCAATAAAAAGGTCTCACTGTTCTGGGCTCCTTCCTCAGGCAAGTTGCTCCCTGAGCTGCTCCAGCCCTACGCAGAGCGTGTGGAACATCTGAGTGAGTTCCTGGTGGACATCAAGCCCTCCTTGACTTTTGATATCATACCCCTGCTGGACCCCTATGGGCCTGCTGGCTCTGACCCCTCCCTGGAGTTCCTGGTGGTCAGCGAGGAGACCTATCGTGGGGGGATGGCCGTCAACCGCTTCCGCCTTGAGAATGTAACCCCCGAGGGAGATTGGCAGAGGGAGTGGATGGGGATGGGGAAGGCTACTGTGGGGGGGGCTGTTGGAAATATACCATGACCCCAGAAAAGAGGAGAGAGGGCTCAAGGTGGTAGAAAGAGGCAGGGAGGAACTCGCTCCCGGGTTGTTCTCTGAGGCCAGCTCTGCCTCTGGGGTAAGTAGGGGAGGATAAAGGGGGCAAGTTGGGTGTCAGTGTTTGCCCTTCTTCATTTCAGCCCTCTTTCCCCCTCCTCACCCCTCCTCCTTTACTCTAGGGCCTGGAAGAGCTTGCATTGTACCAGATCCAGCTACTGAAGGACCTAAACCACAAGGAAAATGAGGAGGACAAAGTCAGCTCCTCCAGCTTCCGCCAGCGAATGCTGGGAAACCTGCTTCGGCCTCCACATGTAAGCATGTCCTCCCTTCCTCCCCTCTGCTTGGGTAGGCTTGAAATGCTGGCAGGCAGAGACTAAAGGATTTAGCCCGAGCATGGGCCTGAGGACCCTGGTAACTGGGGTTCCTCTTATCTACCCCCAGAAGAGGCCCGAGCTCCCCCCGGGTCTCTATGTCATTGGGCTGACAGGCATCAGTGGCTCTGGGAAGAGCTCAGTATCTCAGCGGTTGAAGGGCCTGGGGGCATTCATCATCGACAGTGACCAGCTGGGCCATCGAGCCTACGCCCCAGGTGGTCCTGCCTACCAGCCCGTGTTGGAAACCTTTGGAACAGGTAATAACTGGACAGGACTGAAGGAGGCCAAAGTGGGGAGATGGCCCGGTCTCCTTGCCCAGTCCTCTGTCTCTTCATCTAGATATTCTCCTTAAAGATGGCACCATCAACAGGAAGGTCCTGGGCAGCCGGGTTTTTGGGAACAAGGTAAATGCACACCTCTCCAAAGGTTGTCAGCTGCTATAGACCCAGGGGCTGGGGCCCAATGGACCTCTCTGGGCTGGCCCCATCTCCAAGGGGAGGTAACCACTGCCCACTCCCTCTATCTTGCTCCTCAGAAGCAGCTGAAGATGCTCACAGACATTATGTGGCCAATAATCGCAAAGCTGGCTCGAGAGGAGATGGACCTGGCTGTGGCTGAGGGTGAGTCGGAGGGGTGATGGGAGTGCCTAAGGGATGCAGTTAAGCACATGCTTTTCTGAAGAGTGTCCCCACCCCAAGCTAGACCGTCCCCTTTGCCAAGAACTGTGTTTCATGGGCTCTCTGACTGGTAGCAAGTGGCAGGGTACCGCTGGCAGTGACTGGGGTCTCCTTATAGGAAAGCGTGTCTGCGTGATTGAAGCCGCCGTACTGCTTGAAGCGGGCTGGCAGAACATGGTGCATGAGGTGTGGACCATTGTCATCCCTGAGACTGAGGTATTTGGAGCCCATGTGCTACCCATCTCCACTGCAGACTGCATCCTGCTCTAAGCCCCTGGTCCAACAAATGTCATGTCTGTGTCCAGGCTGTGAGACGAATTGTGGAGAGGGACGGCCTGAGTGAGGCCGCAGCTCAAAGCCGGCTGCAGAGCCAGATGAGTGGGCAGCAGCTTGTGGATCAGAGCCACGTGGTGCTGAGCACCTTATGGGAGCCACATGTCACCCAGCGCCAGGTTGGTGCCCAGGGAAAGGCTGGGTTGTGGGGATGGAGTCGCCAGTGGATCCCTGTCTGACTATGTTCTCCCTTCCTCCCAACATTCTGGCTTGTCCAAAGGTGGAGGAAGCCTGGGCCCTCCTACAGAAGCGTATCCACTAGATGCCATCAGGCCACGACTGATAATGAGTTTTCTGTAGGGCCAGATGGGCCCCTGGAACTGAAGAGAGATCCAGTGGTGAGAAGGAATGGGGGCTTCAATGCTCACCCTAGAGCTTGGGCCTAGACGGCTCTGAGCTGGGCATAGCAGGGCAGTGCCTGGTGGACACGGGAAGCCTACCCAGCCTGCTGGTGTTTGGCCATCACTGAGGATGTGGTCCATAGGGGAACAGGCCTCTGGCATTCCAACCTCGTTCCTGCCTACCCCTGCCTGTAGTACTTGTGGCTGGGGTGGGGGTGGCGGGTCAGGGGAAGGCAATTACTGGAACTTTTAATACAATTAAAAGTGAATGATTGTAGGTGCTGCCTGTGTGGTGTCTGCTTTCTGTTCTGATGCCTTTGGGTGGGTGTCTTTGGGACCCTTGAGCCACAAGTGCAGCGCGCAGGCCTGGCTGAAAGCTAGCAGTGCAGTGGTTAAGAGCATGGCCTTTGGCCCTACCACTGACTGGCTGTGTGCTTCTGGACAAGTTACACACTTTCTGGGCTCCTCAGTTTCCTTATCTGTAAAGTAGCATAACTTGCCCAACAGCCTTTTTGATAGCGTTAATTCCACAAATACCCAGCCAGACGCTGGGCTGAGTGTTAGGAGGACCGTCCTTCAACAAGCCAGGCTGGCCTCTGCCATCACAGCCTGCAGCCTGAAGTGGGACGAGGTGGCCAAGGCTACAAGTCCGAGTGGCCTGGCAGGGAAAGGTGTCCCCAGGAGCCGGATGGGCCTAGCAGTGTAGGTATGCACAACTATCTGCAACACTACTAGAACAAGGCTTTTGAATGGACCCCATTTCACAAAATGTGCTTCATACCGTCCACCCGAAAGAAGGGCGAGACCAACCCAAAAAGCAGAATTTGCTCGCTCTGCGGGAATCGGTTTCCCCGCGCTACGCAGGCGCACCACTCTCGCCACGCCCCTTGCCTTTGGTCGCGGATTGGTGCGTTTGGGTCACACGGGTGCGCCTCGCGCTACTCCCCCCCGTCCCCCGCCCCCGCGCGGCGAGACGCGCGCGCACCCGCTAGTTGATTTCCGGTGTGCTGGGTTGGAGATGACGGAACCCGGCGCCTCCCCAGAGGACCCCTGGATCAAGGCAAGCCCCGTGGGCGAGCACGCTGGTGAGGGGAGGGCGGGTCGGGTGCGTGCACGTAGGGGCCCCGGAAGATGAGGGAAGTCTCCCTGGTCCCCGAAGTACCCCAGCCTTCGCTCTCTAGTTCGCTCTCTGGGCCCAGGGGCTGCAGAGGAGACAGCTCACCCCCCGCGCGTTCCAAGGTGGGGAGATGACTGAGGCTTGTGTGCGCGAGTGTGAGGATACGGGGTTTGGGACTGGGGAAGTGTAGGTGTGGGACGGGCGGGATCATGCAGAGGGGCAGCGCTCCCACGAACTAACCAGTTTTAGTTCTGGAGTGAATCCTTTAATTACCTGCACGTGTGTGTCTGTCCTTTAGTTGCCCGCGCACCCGTGTGTGTGCGCGTACGCGTTCACGCAGAGTAAAAGGTGGCGACTGCCTCCAGAATGGAGGTCTGATGAGCTTTTCTCCCTTACTCGGTGCCGCAGGTGGAGTATGCCTACAGCGACAACAGCCTGGATCCCGGTGAGTGCCTCCCCCACCGGCTTCAGCTCTGGAGTGGCTGACACTCCCACTTGAGCCCTGTAGGTTTGATTGGCCTGGTCGGCCACACCTGACCACGGTCCACTGTCCCTGAACCTGAAACAGGGAGGAGCTGGAAGCATGGAAGGGTTAGCTGGAAGCATGGGAAGGTGGCCTCTAGTTCCCTCCGTCCTGCAGCAGGGAAGTGATGGGAACAGCGACAGCCCTCATCAAGCCCAGACGTTACTTCGTGAGCCAAGGAGCATCACTGCAGGATAGGAGCAGTGTAGGCACTAGGGACAGGAGCATTGCAGCATGGCACCACAGGAAGTTGGTGGCCCAGTATGGCTGGCTTTTGAGTTTAAGGGAAGAGGTGAGCATTTAAGAATCAGGGAACCATTGTGCCCACAGGTGTCTGAGGGGCTAGCAGTGATCCCCCCCACCTTACTCCTTAGTGATCGGGGCCTCTTTTTTCCAGGGCTTTTTGTAGAAAGCACCCGCAAGGGGAGTGTAGTGTCCAGAGCTAATAGCATCGGTTCCACCAGTGCCTCTTCCGTCCCCAACACAGGTAGGCAGTAACATCCCCTGGTGGGGCTCAGATACACCATCATTTTAGTATCTTGCTTAGACAGGAAGCTCCAGCTCTCTATGTGAGGTGCTAGAGCCCTAGTGCTAGACACAGGGTCTCACCTCATCTAGAATATTAGGTTCCCATCGGCCATCTGGGCACACAGTTTTCCCAGGTAGGGACAGGTGGACTAGCTGGGCCTCACTAGACCCCAGAGTGACCCCTTCCTGCTTCCAACTCTTGAGTGTAGATGACGAGGATAGTGATTACCACCAGGAGTCCTACAAGGAATCCTACAAGGACCGGCGGCGGCGAGCACACACTCAAGCTGAACAGAAGAGGAGGGATGCCATCAAGGTGATTGGGGAGACCTCGGCCAGCCCAGGGAGGCCCGTAGCACTTGAGACTCCTTGTGCCCTGACCCCGGCAGACAGCCCCAAGTGGCCTGGGGACAGCGAGTCTCGTCCCTGGACATGAAGCTCCTCCCCGCTTCTGGCTCCTCACCGCTTAGTTGTGAGCATAGAATGTAGTGTCATGGAAGAAAAGCTTTGTGCCAGTTTGCCTTTGATCCCTCCAAGTTTAGGAACCTATTTCCCACGCTTTCTCCACAGAGGGGCTATGACGACCTTCAGACCATCGTCCCCACCTGCCAGCAGCAGGACTTCTCCATTGGCTCCCAAAAGCTCAGCAAAGCCATTGTTCTGCAGAAGAGTACGGCCAGGGAGAGTGCCGGCAGGGTTGGAGCCGTGGGCTGGGAGGAGGCCAGCCTGACGTGTGGTTGGCCTGGCCCGGTGGGGTGGTTGTAGGGGGAGAGCTAGGGGATGGGGGCAGAGGAAACAAGATCCGCCTTGTCCTCTGCCTGAGATTTCCTTGTGTCCACCCCCCTTCCCACCTCCTCCCTTGCTCCCTAGCTATTGACTACATCCAGTTCTTACACAAAGAGAAGAAAAAGCAGGAGGAGGAGGTGTCCACTCTACGCAAGGACGTCATGGCCCTAAAGATCATGAAAGTGTAAGGGGGGTGCTGAACCATGGGGACCAGGCTCCTGAGGGACCCAGGCCAACTCCAGCTCGAAGGCCCCATCAGATAATACTCCTGCTCCCTCGAGTGGTCACTTGGAGGCAGGACCCTGTACCCCATCAGGCCCTGACAACACAGCAGACACTCTGGAAAGCCTGTTAGGGTGATGAAAGGAAGGCTGGAGGAAACAGGTCTCCATTCTTGTCCCAGAAGCAATGTCTAGCTGATGAATGTAGCCCACAGGGTCTCTAGGAGTCCCCTTCCGGGTGGCAGTGGGATATAGGGGCACCCTGTTCTTCCTCCTGGCCTGGTAAGGCTGCTGTAGCTAGCACCTTAGCTCCGGTCTGCTGGCTTTCAGGAACTATGAGCAGATTGTGAAGGCGCACCAGGATAACCCCCATGAGGGGGAAGACCAGGTCTCTGACCAGGTCAAGTTCAACGTGTTTCAAGGTATCATGGACTCCCTGTTCCAGTCCTTCAACGCCTCCATCTCCATGGCCAGCTTTCAGGAGCTATCGGCCTGTGTCTTCAGCTGGATTGAGGAGCACTGTAAACCTCAGGTACGGGGCAGCAGCGGTCCTGGGACCTGGGGTCTCCTCCCGGACCTCAGGCAGAGGGACCCAACCCATTTTCAGAAAAGCAGGTCGCAGATTTTGAGTTTCTTCAAAGGGTTTCTACAACTTTAAATACTCTTGTTTCCCCCTCTGCTTTCAAGTCCAGATTCTCCTATTACAGTTTGTCAGGTACGGTCTGAGCACTTACCCCAGCAAGGTCACGTTCGGCCTTGGTTTAGCCCATGTTGTGGCCACCTCGGCTGCCCCCATCACTTGAAGCAGAATTACTTGGGGTTTTTGGAAAGATTTCTGGCCCCAACCCTGGGTCTAGTAAGGTAGCATTTCCTGGGACTTATTATTTGTAATAGTGTAGTTTGTTAATGTTATTAAATTTGAGTCTTCTGTTTTTGAGGATTAGTCACTTTTTTTGAGGCTTGAACTTGTATCTGAGATTCCTGCTTTCTTTTTATTTCTCAACATTTTTATTGTGAGACACTTTAAACATACTGGAACACCAAGAGAATGTACAATGAACATTCATGTGTCTACCACCTAAAGTGGATGGAGGTGCCCAACCTCCTTCCATGGATGGAGGTGGGTGGGTAGGGGCAGGGCAGGGCAGGGCAGGGCAGAGCTCAGGCCGTGATGCAGGCCAAATGCCGCGCACCTCCTCCTGTGTGGCCTGGTTCCTGACAGGCCAGACTGGTGCCAGTCTGCAGCCTGGGTGTTGGGGACCCCTTACCCCTAACATTCTGCTGTTAATGTTCTCCGTACTTGCTTTATCGTATAGCTCTCTATCTCTCCATCCTGTTTTGGGAGCACTGCAAAGTGAACTGTAGACCTCAGTGCTTCCCGGGGGCTGCTTTCACTACAGAGAGCACACCTGACGGAGGCAGGCGTCACAGACAGCTCCGCACCTCTCCTGAGCATCATTTCTTACTCTCCTCCCAACAGACCCTACGGGAGATCGTGATCGGTGTGCTGCACCAGCTGAAGAACCAGCTTTACTGACCTGCAGAGCAGCCAGCGAGAGGCCTGTCTCCTACTTGGTCCCAGAGCCACCGGGCTTATGAGGGTGGACTGCGACACCTGATGCCAGTCAGCTGGTTTCCCCCTGGTGTCTGGGTCCCCAGCCCGCCTCGTTCTCAGTGGGGCTGGGGTGTTTGTTTTGTGAAAGCTTCTGATTAATTTATTACACTGACCATAGAGCTCGAACCTGCCCAATCTTCACCCACCCCTCCCCATAGAAGTCCTCAGAATGGGGGTCTGCTCTGGGCACCCCCCTTCTCCTAAGCCTCAGGTTTCAAATTTTGGCACATGAGCTACTCATATTTAGAAACTACTGTTGGCCTGTTTGGTCTCTCGGGCAATAACTGGCTCAAGTCTGGCCGTTTTGGCAGTAGATGGACAGGAGGGGAGGATTCAGAGGAACTACTTCCACAGCTGCAAAGGGTGAAAGGCCAGTCATGCCCAAGCTAGAGCTGCCTGGTTGGCCCAGAGTAAAGCCACAGCTTTCTGGCCGGTGCAGGGAGGGGCTGCCAGGGTCCCGCTCCTGCCCCTGCTCTCTTCCTTCTCTACTCTGGGCAGTAGAGAAGCAACCTCCCCACCCACTCCTCTCTGTCCCCACAGGCAGCAGCACTGCACAGCAAAGCCCTATGTGACACAGCACCACATGTTAAAGTTTTTATTTTTCTAAATACCAACAACACAATTTTGTTAATGTTACAATTTTAGAAAATTCACTGGGCCTCAAAACCTCCCCAGCTTTAGTCAGGCGCACCCAGGTCTCCACCATCTCTTGGGGCTGCCTGCATTCCTCCCAGGGCTTGGGGGTGGGTGGAGGCCTGCCTGGGTGTACAGAACCCAAGGGAGTCCGGGGCGGGGCAGCCCTGTGCTCCCCGACTGCTGTGCATGATGGCCTCTCTCTACCCTCGTCCCCCAGCTCCCTCATTGCCTTCCTCAGATTTGATATCTTGAGGTTTGATTATCCAGAGGAAATTAAATATTTTTATATCAAATTATATTACAATAAATACTGCCAAATGCTCTCCTTTAGCTTTGTCCCAAATTTAAAGGGTAGTAAGCTCACGCACCTGAAATGTGGACGATGTAATGAGCATAGCCATCCACTGGGGCAGCCAGCACTCCCCACCCTCCGCCTGACACTGGTCTGTGCCCCTCTCCCAGCTGCTCTGCTCAAAGGCGGAAAGCAGCGGCGCTAACAACAAAAACTGGCCTAAACGGAGCAGCCAGTCCAGGACATCTCTCCCCACCCGCCAGTCTTGCCACGGCTCTCAGGGGTCTGGGAGCTTGACGTTGTAATCTTCATCTGTCTCTATCCCGACTTCCTCCTGTGGGGCAATGAGACGTGAAAGAGACCTGGACACACAGCCCAGGGGAGCAAGCAAAGGAGCAAGAGCCACTTACGAAGAACTGCTTCTTGCTCTTCGGGTACCCTTCAAGGATTGCATCGCACAGCTCTGACGCCTGAGGAGAAGCAAACCCACCCTCTGCAGATGGGCAGGCCTGGGCACTGCCCGACGGCTCTGGGGCTGCTGTCTCCAGGCAGGGCCTGCCTTGGAGTTCTGCACTTACCATCCTCTTGCGCTTCCTCCATTCCTTACAGTACTTCTGCCTCTCCCTGTACACCTAGATGGGGAAAACGGGTTCCTTTAAGCCCTTAGCCCCATGGCAGAAGGCGGTCACTGGGGTCAACCCTTGTCCTCACTGCTCTGCAGGAGAGAGGCTGGCCCTGCTGGCCCACCCCCCTAACCCACCTGCTCTTTCTCTTCTGGGGTCACATGGTTGGTGGCTGCTTTGACGTTCTTCAGTCTCTCGGTGTAGCCAGCACATTCCTTCTGCAACTCCTGGATCTCTTTCTGCATCTCGGGTGTGGTCAGGGCGCTGGTTAACTCCTTCAGCTCTGAAACCACATCTCCCTGAGGTCAGCTGCTGTCCCCCAGAGGTGTTCTCTTTCCCCCTGGGCACTCCCTGAGGTAGGCAAACAAGCCTCTGCTGGCTCTGGATTCTACACCTAGGGTCCAGAATGGGCCCCTTATTCGGAAATGCTCAGGAGAGATGAAAACTTACACAATTACCAGTTTATTGGTTGGCCAAAAAGTTCCTTTAGTTTTTTCTGTACAATGGCTCTAGTAGTGCTTAGTTGTCTTTAACTTGAAACAATTTTGTTAGATTGTATTTGTGACAATCATATCAGTGTGCATTTTTTTTAATTAGCAAAACAATTTTTGTGCAGCCATTTTAATACTGAAGATGAAAATATACCCCATTTTCAGCATATTATGCTTTTTTATTTCAAGAAAGGTAAAAACACCACTGAAAACCAAAAAAAAAAGATTTGTGCAGTATATGGATGGAGAAGATGCTCTGACTAATCAAAAGTGTCAAAAGTGGTTTATGAAGTTTCTTGGTGCTATTGACATTCTGGCCAAATAACCCTTTGTTGTGGGGCCGTCTTATACACTGGAAGATGTTTAGCAGCACCCCTGGCCTCTACCCACTAGAAGCCAATAGCAGGAGACAGCCAACATAAAGTTATTTGGGAAAATGAAAAAGTGTCTTTTTCATGGATAAAACTAAACGTACTATTTGGCCAAGCCAATAGTCTTTTCCTCCTCCTCCTCCTACAAGTAGTGGGCTGGTGTGAGGCTAAACAGACTGTTAGCTGTAGCCGGTTAAAAGAGTTCGGAATGAAGGGAAGTGTGGGAAGAATATACATACTGATAATCATGGTAAACAAAGCAAGTACTTGTTTTGCCCATTTATATTTCAAAAGCCACCGGCCGTCACACATTTCTTTTCATGTAATGCCATGGCAGCCCAGCAAAGGGATCTTCACTGCAATGGGACAGCCATTCCCTTGGTAACTCCTGACCTCTGGACTGACCCCGGGGCCAGGGGCACCCTCCCAAACAGCTGGTTCCTACCAGCCTCCATGTGGCGGCAGCTCTGCTGCAAGCTCTGCACCGTGGCCGTGAGGGCCACAATTTTGGCATCCAGGCTTTGAAGGTCAGCATCACTCACCATGTCAAACTGGTCCTGCCAAAGACAAGAAGAAGAAAGAAGAGGGCTGATGTCTGGCACAGGATGGGAACCCATGTCTAGAAAGGCACTGTTCGCACTACTTAAGAACCTGGGTCTCCCCAACCTTCCAAAGGGCCCGAGTAAATAGTGGGAGTGTACTTTTGAGAAGTCATTCGGTTTAGTGCTGGGTCCAAAGTTGAAAGTTGAAAAGTTGATAGGTATCAAAGTTGAAACTTCATACCTATCCTCAAGGGGTTCTAAGTTGGCACAATACTGAGTAGGACGAATATCTTGTCGGTTTAGTGGTTAAACCTCTCTCTGGGCTAAATAAGTAAAGGAACATTCTTTCCAAAATGTTCATACCTAATTATTAGTTTCCACAATAGGAAGACTCTGGGTAGGCAAAGAGGCATGGAGGGAGGACTCAGTAGAAGTCCGTGGAGCCCCTCCCACGGGAAACCAGCTGCTAGAACAGGACCATGGTGGGGCTTAGGAGGGGTCTCCTCAGTTGGTGGGCATGGAGGGGCAGGTGAGAAAGGGCACGAGTGCCATCCTGGGCGGTCTGAACTCTACACTAAGGCCAGGTAAACCTTTACAGCAAGTGGCAGTCAACTACAGGCTATGAGCCAAATCCCACCAGATGGGTGTTTTCAAAAAGACATAGAAACAGCCACCCCCATTCACTGCATATTACCTATGGCTGCTTCTGCTCTGCAGTGGCGGACGTGAGCAGCCATTGCACTTGTGTAGCTGTGCAGACCGACTGGCCTGTAGAGCGTGACAATATTAACAGTCTGATCCTTCACAGAAAAACCTGCCAACTCCTTTAGGGGACCTTCGACAAGGCAGTAACACGGTGAAACCTCCTTTGGGAAGATTAACGTCTTCCCAAACCTTGACGGTGGTTTGGTTCAATTAAACAAGATTTAACGTCTGCTGGTTGTTAAATGCTGTGGGGGTGCTAAAGGAAGATGAATGAGAAATGGGGTCTAGTCTAGATGTCCTAGGACAGTGCAGTGAGGAGACAAGTAAAAAGACAACTGTAAACAGGGCGGGCGCCTCCAGAGGTGAGCGCCTGAAGAGGCCGTTTTAACTTAGGGCGTCCAGCACTCACAGGTTTCTGCAGAAGGTGCTGCCTGGGTGAAGTTCTAAGGCCTGAGTGAATTAGCTGGGCGCAGAAGCAGAAGAGGAAGAAGGGACTGAAAAACTCTGGGCAGTGGAAGGACGACGAGCAGAGGCTCCAGGAGTAGAACACACAGAAATGGCCCAGTGTTAATGGGTGGAGAAATAACAGGGACATAGAAGGTCAGAGGCAGGCTGGGCCAAGTCTCCAAGGGCCTCCTTTCACCTGCTATGGAGAGCGCCAGGGTTTCAGGGAGGGAAATGGCATGACTCGGTTTGCAGGAGCACAGGTGGCTCTGCCAGGAGATGTTAGGTACTGCAGCAGACGAGGAGCACCTGGACTGGCGCAGTGACGCAGGTGGGAAGGAGAGGACGTTGATGGCTGGCCGGCCACGTGAGGTAGGTTAGGAATGGCTTCCTAGTCTCTGACTCGAGTGAAGGGTGATTCCATTACGAAAGAAGAATGTGAGAGGAGCCAGTGTGAGGTGAAGCATTCTACTTTAGTCATAATGATCTGAAAGACACCCAGATGGAGGGCTGGGCTGGAGATACAAAACTTATGTGTGTTTGGCCATGGGAGTGGAGACAAGGAAGTCATCTGGCAAGGGGTGGTTCTAATCTAGATGATTGGGAACAAGACCTTCCAAGTGGAAAGAGGTCTTGGGAGCAACAATTCAGGATTTTCTGTTATATTTCAAGTCTAGAAATCTAATGAAATGTGTGTGTGGGTCATGGCAAGGGAGCACAAGCTGATTTAAAGAACGGCTGGGGCCCTTTTCATGGCGTCAGACAGCTGCGCTTTATGGACTGCCTCAATTCTCCCTAAGAGAGTTCACACCAGGTACCGATCCACCTCATATTGGGCCCTCACGCGGGTGAGAATCTGCGCAGGCTTCCCTCACCTGGTCCGCAAAATATATCTTCTGCTTGCCGTACGTCTTTTCTTTGATCTTGCCTTGCTGGGCCAGCTGCTCCAGCGCCTTCACCACCGCCTGGCAGAGGGGAGGGTGCGGAGCAATTAGAGTGACTCCGAGGGGGGCAGCCAGTGACAGCGCGGGGCGCGCGACAGCCCGAGGAAGCCCAAGGGGAGAACGGCAGCCGCGAGAGTGCAGGACCCCAGGCTGATTCGAGGGACCCCAAGGCGGGGAGTCCCGGAAGAGGGTCCTCACCGCTTTGCCCAGTCCGTGTTCCCGCTGCAGGTTCCCGAACACATCCTGGGCGCTGTAGGGCCGGTTCTGCTCCCGCAGGTACTTCAGGAGGATCCCGGGGGCTACGGCAGAGATGAGCCAGGCGGGGCGGGGGGCCAGTCAGCCGAGGCCCTCCCCGCCGGGCCTCCCGGTCTCCCAAGGCCTGCTTACCTCCAGTCGCAGCTTCAGCCCGGCCTTTACTCATGGCTTTTCCCGCCGCCAAACTCCGAAAGCCGGACGTTACAGTCGCTCGGGCAACGGCTCCTTCCGGCGCCGGGAGGGGCGGCCCCCGTGCGGGGACAGGCGGAAGGCGGAGCCTTCCGGAGGATCGCAGCGTTTTTTCCGGGGCACCGCGGTTGGTTTTCCTTCAGAACTTGGGGGTCGCTCCGACCCCCGACCTCCCGGGTCTCTGCGGAGGCGGCGGGGCGCCTGCCCCCAACCTCGCTCCTCCGCCCCGTGGGGATGAAAGCCGCGGTAAATGACGCCTCTGTTTCCAGCCCCAGCCCGACGGCGGCCACGCGCTCGTGACGCGGAGTAGGGCTGAGCGTCCAACGGGGGCAGCCCCTGCCCAGCCCGCGGCCTGCTCAAGGTCACAAGGCCATTACGCACAGGGACGTGTCCTACCCCACGGCCCGAGGCTCCTCGCCAGCCAGCCTTCCCGTTTGTAAAGTGGGAGCCAGGGGTACACGCAGGAGGGTGGTCGCGAAGACTCATTGCGTAAAACGCCGCGGAAAGTGCTCGTCAGCCCTGTTGGCCCGTTACCGAGTTCCGCCCACAGAGGGCGCTCGACTCACACTGAGGTTCGAACGCCAAGGACAGGTAGGCTTGGGAGGGAGCTAGTGTTAAGCCACAAAGCTTTAGAAGTTTCCGTTTGGTGGGGTCGGTCAATCTTTTGGAAACACCTGACAGGTGCTTTCCACTCCTGCCCACAGTGGTCAATGGGACAAAGCCTAAAATAAGTATTTCTAGTTTCTGAGGTCGGTTAAGGCCTCAGAGCAGCTGTCCCCGCAGCCCAAACAATGCAGAGGAAGGGTGGTGTTACTTTTTAAAGACCTGTTACCTAAAATTTCATTAGCCTTTGAAATATACTTGTCTTCACACGTTTCGGAGGCAATATCAAGAATTAGAAGTGATGACTGCAGGCTAGATGCTGGCCAAGAGTGCGAGACATGCCCAGGTCTGGGCTCTGCTAGGGAGGAGACTGGCCTCCAACCACGGTGGTTCTGACCATCACAAGGGAAAACAGGCGTGGGCAAGCAGGTCCCCTCCTCTTCTTAGGCTCTCACCTCAAGTTATCACACGTCAGACTAATGAGAGAAGACTTACTAAGGCGAGGACACCATTCAACATTAGTCTCTCAAAGATTGTTCTCATACAAGATTTATTCCCCAGCACCCCTCCCACCCCATCCCCACCCCAGTTCACAGTGGAGGACTAAGGAGATTCAGAGCAGGATCCCCCATGTACAAGAAACACCGTCCAAAGAGTTTGCTCTCCTTCCTTCCCTCCCTCTCACTAACTCCCAAGGCCTAAAGCTGCACACACTCATGCACACACAAAATCCCACTCCTTTCCCACACCTCCCATTTTTTCCCACATCACAGACCTGTAAGACATCTAGGCTCTGCTGAGAGATAAGGTGTCCACAATCTGAGAACCCTGACACAGGGAGATGCCATCACCCCAGCCTTCACACACGTGTCTATGGAATAGGCACGTTGCTCTTCTCCCTTCTCACTGTTAACTATTTTCACTTCCTGGCCTCTACCTCGTCCATCAACCAAGAGCAAACATGTTCGTACACTCCCACCTGTAGCACATGAAAATGGGCTCTGTCCAGCATCCCTCACCCAGGTGTGGGGTGTTGGGGGAGTGGTCCCTGAGGATCCGCAAAGGGTTAATGGCAGAGAGAGAGAGAGAGATAAGAGTTTGGCTTCAGCTCTGATCCTGGAGGCAGAGAGAGGATGTAAGCTGGCACACATAGAATTACCAATTTCGGTATTTGTCTCACATGATTTTTACTAGGGGCAGTCTAACAGATACCCCTTGGAGGGGTCTCTGCTCATTACAGACATATTCTTGCTCAATGGGCTCATCCTTAAAAGAGGCCCTACCAAGCTGGGAAGCAATGAAATATAAAAAGTACTAAAGGAGTTGAACAGGGAATAAGAAGAGCTGGTGCAAGAAGAGCTGGTGGCTCCTGGGATGAATGCCACTGAGCCATCTGTAAAGTGCTACTCTGGCATCCCCCATGGAACATTGCTTCTCCAGAGGAGGAGCAGGGGAAGGAGCAGGAACACGGGAACGGGTACGGTATTGCTTTGCTGGCTGCTCAGGCCTATGGTCAAACGGAGCCAGAGGGTTAGCAGCACCAAAGACAACCAGGCAGCTCCTGAAGATTCAGTGAGACCATGAGCTACAGAAGCAGTCACCCTCCCAGCCAGCTGACCTCGCAGCCCGATGACGTAGAAGAGGCCCACTCTCTCACCAGGTTCACATTTCTTAGATTTCACGAGCAATGATTTGGAGCACTGGAGATGAGGCCTCAAGAAATGAGGTTGAGCTGGAGCAGAGGGAACAGGCCTGCTCTGCAGAACCAAACGATAAACTGCTTAAAAAAAGACAAATCAAATCATGGCTTAGCAAAAGAGGAGGATGACAATGCAACTGTTCCAGCTGCTGCCTGACTTGAACCTCCAGGGAGGTGATGAAGGAGGAAGGAGAAGAAGGGCTCTTCTTTCACTGAGGGCCCCCAAGCACCCATACCTAGAAGCAAACAGCAGCACCCCCTCAAAGGGGAACCAATGCCCCTGACTATTTTGTCCCCCACGAGTACCATCCCGATGGAGAGAAGCCTCCCCAAGGAAGCACACTCTCACTTCACTGACTGAGCTTAGAAACGGGCACCCAGCTGGTAGCAGGGAAGGGAGCATCTGCATTCAGCAGCCCTCTGAGCGCCAGCCGGGCCACCAGGCACACACACATATTCAGGGGACAGGACCTGGGTTCTTCCCTTGCCCCTTCACCTTTAGTGGGATGAGGAGAATAAAAACCTAAACCACAGTGACCCCCAAAAGGAGTCTCTGCCTCAGTGGCTCCTGGAACTAGCAGGGTCCAGCTGATTCAGCTCTGACTGATCCAGAAGTTCAAAGTCATCCCCCTCAGCATCAGTGTCCAGGTCTGAGCTGGGGGCCCGGAGGAAGCCTCTGGTTGCTCTCCGTGGAGGTGGGCCAGAAGGGCCTGGCTGGGAGGCCCCTGACAGGGCCAGCTGGATCATGCCCTGGGAGACCAGGCCGGCAAGGTTGCTGGTAAGGCTGGATCCGGCAGGCAGGGCTTCAAGCAGGAGCTCCGGCAGTGCAGCTTCGCCCCGGCTGGCAGGGGGCAGCTGGGGCTCCCCAGGCCCTGGTGGGGAACGGTACATCAGGCTGGGCATTCCAATGCTGGTGTCATCCTCATCATCCAGGCCAGCAGGATCCACATTAATGGAAGGGAAGTCTGGAAGGTCTCTGGCAAAGGATTCCTCTGGGTCACTGTGACCATCTAAGTCTGAAAGAACAGGAGGGTGCCTGAGACATGGCAGCTGCCTGGCCCCGCCCCACAGTCAGTCCCCTGTAACCAGATTTCTCCTCCCTGGGTATCAAGGGGCCGGGGTGGGCGGGGACCAAAACCTGTGGCACCAGTCAGCTTTTCCCCTCCACAGTCTGCTGTGACCTCTACTGGCCAGAGAACTTCCCCTCTCTTCTCCCACTATGCCCCCCATGAACCTACAGCCTGAGGTGACCAAGGAACTGAGGCTCAAGGAGAGCAGCTGTGCCATCCTGGCTGTAGCCACACCCCTAAGGCTGCTCTGCCACCCGATGCACTACTCAGGAAGCAGGAGAGAGGGCAGTATCCCCTATGTCTAGGGAAGCTGAAAGGCAACAGTCAAAGCCATTATCAACTCAGACCCAAGGTCCACCTCACCTTCAGAGCCTTCTGTTAGAGGCGTCTGGCCCCGTGAAAGGTTGAATGTGCCATTGTCCGTACAGGAAACCTCAGCATCTGAGTGCTCAGAGTCTGTGATGGCCAGTTCCCTGGCAACAGTAGAATCATCCAGCTTTGGAAAGAAAAAAATCACCAAGCATGAAGAGATGATGCCACTGAGAACAGATGCAGTTCCCCAGTAACAGCTTTACTGATTAGCAGGCCCTAAAGGCCACCCTGAGCCACAAGTGTAACCAGGAGCACATGGGGACGTCTGTCAAAATCTCGACCGTTTTTAGGCTGCTCCCCCAAGGAAAACACCCTTATCCTCCGATCTCGAGTGAGTGAAGGAAAGCAGTCTCGGGAGTCGGTCAGCTACTTACTCTTACGCAAACTTATCCAGAGGATACTTTTCACAGGTGGCCTGGAGGACACACGCACTGCCCAACCAAAGGCGAGCAGGGCTCTTTAAAAGATGATCACACCAGTTCCAGAAGTTCTGCCATGATGGGAGGAGTTAAAGGGAGACATGGAAGAGGGTGTGCTGGTCACCAGGCTCAAACTGAGGTCCACGTACAAAGTCCCAACATTAACTCTAGGTTTTCTCCTCACGGAGTGCCAGTTACACTCACGCCTGGGCTCTCACGGGGCAGGGGAAGGGATATCTGAGCCACGAGTTCACGGCCTAACTGCGAGGTGCCGGATGTTCAAAGGGAACTAAAGAAAACTAGCCAGT